CGCGCACTCGTACAATCCCATGCATCGTTGATCCTCTGCACACTTGCCTGTTATCCCCGACATGCAGGGTGACTGTAAGGAACGCGGGTACTTGAAAAGAGCAACTACATACAGGGATAAAACTCGAATTGTTCCCAAGTTGCACATGTTGCGATAGTTGCATCAATCACTAGTTTTAGCAATTCAAGCAAGACGCCATCGAGTGCTAGAATATGTCGATCCCTGAATAATCATCATCCCACTTACCCCGCGGTTCCCCAAAACGGCCCCGAACCAGCGGATGATCCGATGGCTGTCACAAGCTTGATTCAAAGCCCAGGAACTCCGACTCGGTCTACGCCGACTAACATTTCCCCCTCCATTAGCAGCCGTGCAAACAAGCCTATCTTTCAGCTACTGGTCAGGCTTCCCACCGATGCAACCCTACGGCTGGCTCATATTAACATCGTTACGCCGCAGACGCGAAATAAGTTTCGGAGGGCAGCCAACCACAGTGCGCCTACACAGCGTGTTCACTTCACAGGCTTGCGAGATGCAGAAGTGTCAGAGGAGACGCAAATACGTCTCAAGCAATCCCACACGCGAAAGGAATTTGCCGGATCCGGAAGCATGTTGCGACGCCTGCGCCTCGTAGGATTCAGCCTCTAGCCGTGGGGCTGCGCAACTGTGCCTACGTAGTATGACGCATCCTGAGCCATGTATACATAACTCAGATTTGAAATGATACAGGAAAGTATCCACACACGCTCTGTTACTATGCACTACAACTGCATATCTAGTCTAGGAAGCATGCGGATCAGTCGGTACGCAATCCGCTCTTCGGCATACTAGAAGTGATCTAGCCACTCACGATAACTTCGGGCACTCGGTGACCGGTTTTTCGTCACGTGCAGAGCGCGAAGGAGTCGCGGCACGGAGTTGGCTCCGGCGCTAGCTTGTGGAAAGCACCATGAGAGGCTGGTGTGAAATGGACAGTGGCACAGGCATCCTTCACACGTCCAACCGTATCTCGTTTCTTGCTCATTCGCGATGCTATTCTGGGCCTCATACCACCAGGCAGCCGTCCAGCAAGGCCACCAGCTACGCCTTGGTTTTTTTGCGTACGATGATTACAAAGCACAAGTTTTTGGTTGTCCCATTATACTTCGCGACACGTATTCTGTTCGCAAAACATACTTTAAGTTGGCCCTGGAAACCACTTAGTCGCGTACAAGAGGGAGTTGCACATCATACCCGGGCTCGTGCACCGCCCACGAGAATCGTTACGAAAGGTATGCCTCCCTTGAGCCTTTGTCAGCCGAAGCGCTTGGCTCGCTAAACGTGACCAAATGCAGAAGCTGTCTAATGCTAAAGCTTTGACAGGATTCTCTAGCGCCGGTAACTATCGCAAGCCGCTAAGCACTTTGTCCATCCTCTTGGGCGGTCCCCAACGGTCGTTCTGTCGGTAATAACGCCCTTTTAACTCCACCGCCGTTGATCTTAGTTGATCTTGGAATCGTGCGATTAAGTTTGTATTTCGAATTAAACGTCACAACTCTCCGTAGCGTAAAGAACGTACCACGGTATCGTTGACAGACACAGACCCTCACAAGGTAACCCCACATAGCACCTGTAGACTCATTTCGATTCAGCCTTGCGTTCGTACGCTAGTTAACCATAGGATTTCACATGTAACCGACCCAACGAATAACGTTCGTTTAGCGGCAGAGAAACACGTACGAAGCTGCCTAAACGCTTTCAAGACAATGCAGAGAAGAAGGAACGGCCGCAACGCTTTCCTAAAGCGGCAAAGTTTGGAAATTCCCGTGCGAGCCCGAAGCACAGTATTGTATTTGGCGGCTCGTGCACAATCTCTCGTACTTTTCGCACGCCCGGATCCGGGTGGTGACGGTTCTTTCGCATCCGAGAGCGAAGTGGTCCTCCGTCACGCGCCATGCGCAACAAAGGCGTATGGAAATCCAACAAGTTGGTCACTCTCAAAGAGGAGTCACGCACGAAGAGGATTTCCAATCAATGTAATCGCGTCATGTTGTTCACCTCAGCAGCTTGTGAACGGCAGGCGTTTCGTACCCCGGATTTCCCACGTTGTTAAGGTCAGCACTCAAACCTCCTAGAGGGTAACTCCACCGGCGGTTGCTCGCGCAAGGGCTTACTGATCTGACAACCGTTCGCGCGCGTTGTAGGGCTGAAGGAGAATTTACCTCCCACGCGGGGTGTAAGAAGTTGCGTCTGACATGTATTCCTCACCGTCTCCTTCGTATCCGTACTCAAGATACTGCAACCAACGTCTCGAAGCAACACGACGTCAACTTGCAATCGTGACTAACCTTCCACACACCTCCGGGAGCGGAAGCTTCGGACGCCCACGCGTCGCGTAGATCACAGCATCCTTGTCGAGACCCTTAGATGAATAACACGCACACGCCGAAAGATTCCCCTTGCCCCAGTTCCCGTGAAACCCCTATATCGCAAGAAACCTGTGGTGAAGCTGTATTTCTTGTCGGCCGAATCCAAGGGTCCGAAACCAGCTTCCTGCAAAATGGTACAGTTTTGCGAACAACCATGTTTCTCGGTATGCCCGAGCAAATTAAGCTATAGTAAATCCGCAACGATCCGCCCGTGAGTCTATCTGCCGCTTTGCTACCGGCATGTTCCATTCAGATAGATACTTGCTCATCATCAATCGGCAGTCACGTTTAGCACGTTCAGTCAGGGCCTGAGAGCCAGAACGTGATCAACACCAGGCCATAAACAGTCTAGACCCGATCAGCAATAGGGAACCCGTGCTCACGAATTCGCCCCGAATGCTTCTCGCACCGATTAAATCACCAGCAAACGTCCTGCGCACACCGTTCGGACCGCAGGACCGAAACCTTGGTAGTCTCTTTCCTTGCCCCTCCGCCGGCCGCGTAAGGTATCGAGTACCAAGCACGGTGGGCGGCTAGGTAAAATACCGTCTGTGTTGTCTGCCTACCTAAGATGGGAATAGATTGTTGGGCTGAATTATGATTCATGGGCTTTGAAATGACAGCGGGCAGTAGTAGGGCTGAAAGGGATGGACATTTGCGTGGGGCACTTGACATTGCCCTTGATGTGGGGGCTGGTGGAATAGGAGACAAGGAATCGACCAACTGGAGAGTTTCCGGGGGAGATTTGGGACGATTTTAGCTGGATCCGGAGACTTTCACACCGTGAATTGAGGGGGTTGTGGCGCCTTCAGATGGTAGGCGTCGCGCTACCGACTTACAGGGCGAAGATCTGATTGTTGCATCAATATTAGAGAGGTATTAAGGTTTTGTTGGAGGTCTGTTGGAGTAAGGTTGTGAGTACCGTGTTGCATGTTGTTTCGAATCGACATAGCAACTTGAGCGAGTCCGGCTCAACGTTCTCGCTTATCGGCTCGCTCCAAGCATCCCCTACTCTTACTGTAACGGGCATATCGCTGAATACTTCCCGACATCTTGCAACGTCCGCGGTTGTATCGCGAATTTATCCGTTCTAGGCTTTCCATGAAAGGCTTGACATTTTTCGCGATATGCACGAATCGCGGCTCGCGTAGTTGGAGGCGGAAGCACACTGATGCGCGAAATCGCATACATGGCAGGACAACAAACTACTCAGGTTCTACAGATTGAAACCCAAGTTTCCACTACAGTGAACATGTCTGCAGCTTTCCAGTCCCCATCAGGCATGGGTCTTCTCACATAGGCCAAGGGAAACTGCACTTGCCTCTGCCCACCTGCTTGCCTATCAAGTTCAACAGCGAGACGCTACTCTGAAACATTTTTGTATATCGACGCATCCTAAGGGTCCTAAAATAGGTGGCGTATGTAAGACTCAAAACCACGTATCTGGCCATTAGTGCACAATCAGCACTAGCCACCATCCCACTCACTCTCTTCGTCTTAGGAATCGCGCAACACAACAACCCCTCCTTCAAGTAACTCAAATACCCAATCCACTCTCCCACCTGACACTACATTCCAAATAGAAAACGACCCGCCCACTACCGCCCTACATTCAGACTAAAATCTCTCCACGGAACATGCCATTGCCACGATGCACATGCAGACTCGACAATGCATGTCCGCTAATTAAGCTCCATAACCCAAGACATTAACCAACAATTCTATTCTCAATGTTTCACTCTAGAACGTGAAACGCAGCGAATACCGTGTCGAATCGGGTCAATAGAGCGACGCCTGGGGGGGTTACGCCCCAGCGTTTATGCAACTGCCACGAGCTAATCACGCCATTACGCCCTATGTAGCGCAGGAAGGCGGTTCCTCGAAACAAGCACAACAGATGCCGCAGTGATGCTTGGTAATGTATCTAGGGTGGCATCTTGCATGTCGAAAGTGCCTAGATGCTTGGAATAAAGTCGGAGATATGGGGTCGGACGAAAAGTCAGTGGATGACTGTTCACCAACACCACGGCGGGAGGTCGTGCGTGGAAAGGTGAGTAATTCTGGACGCCTAAGTCGGGGCTTAGCACTGTGGGTTTTAGTGAGACCTGCATCGCTCATGGAACGGCACCTGTTAGAGGTATGATTCGCATCTGGAGTAGCGGAGAAGAACTCGGACTGCTTGCTAATCAAGTTCGTTTCTTCCTCGGTATGAGTAAGAACACCGAGCCATGGTAATAGAAGGAAACGATGAGTTATTGGAATGGTCTGGCGAAGTCCAGTGGACCTCAGTGTCGTACGAGATGTGATGCAGTGCTAGAGAATGATAGTGAAAGGTAAGACTAGACGAATGGAGAAGAGTGGGATGCTTGCTTACTCGTACGAAGCAAATGGACACCTGATCAGAGAACTGGAGATAAACTTGTTTAAACCTTTATTAATGCTAATGCGAACTCTATCAAATTTCGTACGAAACGGGGTATAACTTCTAGAGGCAATCAAAATGTAAACTCTGTGCCAAAATGACGTCCAACTCGCCATTAGTCTGTACCCTATCCGTTGTTCACCTAACTCCCGCTTTACGTATACAAAGTACTATGACGCTCCACCAACAGCCAATTTCTTCTTCTGCGCTCTCATCTCTCTGATCGTGCCCTCCTTCCCCAAGCCCCTCCCAACCTCAACAACTATCATTCTAACGAAATCTTTGTTGATCCAATAACTGCTATGCGCGCCCAACATGGTTAAGTACTGAATTTCCAATGGTCCACCACCATACTTCATGTAGAAGTCGATCTGGCCGTTGTCATTAAGCAGATAAGCTCTCTTCTCCGCAATCTCCTCGCGCGTGAAGTTGTGGGTCTCGAGCTCAACGTTGCTGGGCAAACGGATGGGCGCTGGCTTGTCGTTTGAAGAATTATTGTTCTTGGAATTGGAAGAACGGAAAGGGTTCAGAGACGCGAAGTAGGATGTGGATGCCGAGGGAATGGTCGTTTGTTTCAATATAGAGGCATAGACCACATCTACGGTTGGATTTATGCGACAGGCGACAGGGTCGTAGGGGTTAATGATGTTGTAGATGTTGTCGACGGCGAGGCACCCATAAGTGCCTTGTTCGCCGGCTACACCAGGAGCAGCATACGAGTCAGCACCTGGCTTCTCTTTGTCGCGACGAGGCAACAGGTTGGCATTCTTCATGAGGAGGAAGAGACCAACAGGGCTACCACAGACGAAGAGATCAGTGGTGTTGAAGATGAACTGGTCTTGGGGTAGGTCGGCTTCAGGGAAGGACGTGTCAGTGAATTGAGGATCGACATAGGTTGGCTGTTGGCTTAGGATATCAATAGCCATCACCGAGCCGAGCGAATGCGCAATCAAGTGCACTCGGCCGTACTCTGCGAACCCGGGGTTATTGTGGCACCACAGACGATAGATGCGGTTCGCCTCTTGTATACAAGCTGATATCATCTTGGGGTTGTGCATCGGCGAGAGGTAGTATGGGATATCGAGCATAACGTCGCTTACGATACCGCGGACCGAGGGTAGCGTATCCGGGGTGATGTCTTTGAGTGTGTACTTGTTGGCGGAAGGATCCTCGAGCTCTGGGTTTTTGGTGTTATCGACGTCGAGGGATACGCGATGCCGCCAGTTGACCTGTTCTGTATCAGTATGTCTTGTGTCGAGAATCAGTTCCACCATGACCTACCGGCAGGCACATAACACCTCCCATATCCTTTCGCAGATGCCGTTTTACATCGGGAGTTCCAAGCTCGACATTCATCTCTCGTCGGAAGGCGTTCATCGCATGCGTGAAATGAAATGTCTCCATTCTTTCCGACAATTTCTGCCCAATACCGTGTATCACCAAAACTAGATCTGAAACCTTGGGTCGTTCCGACTGCGCGAGTTCGGGGTCTGACTTCTGCCTTCGATACTGCGGCGCACCGCCTTGGGATGATGAGACACCTTCGCGTGCTGCTTGTGCCTTTGGCGTATTCTTGCTCGGATGCAGCTTGTCCCAGATGGCCTGATCAAAACCACGCACCACGTGGACACCGATCGCTCTGCCCTTGCGGATGTAGTTTGCTACTGGTCGTCGGCCGTAGTAGTCGGACGGTTGGAGCGCTGGCTTGAGGATGTAAGCCTCCTTGTCGTTGGAGTATATCACACCCGCTTTCAGATATAGGCGCTTTCTTCCGTCCGCACCGTATTCCAGATCTCCAGCTGCCTTGTGGTCTGGTCCCTCTGGACCTGTGGAAATGTCGATCAGGTCACAGGCATTCTCCACTGTCTCGCGTCGCTCTTTCTCTGGGTCTTCCTCGTCTTCAGGCAGGGTGCTCTGAACAAGACCCGCTGATTGCATTATCCCTTGCGAGGTCGATGGTCTGCTCTCGGATCTCCGAGGTCTCTCGGGCCAAAGGTTGTGTAGTATCTTCATCTCCCCAAGGGCACCAACTTCGACAGCACTGTTCAGTTCGTCCGTCCACGTCTGCGTCCAAGGCTTCAATTCGATGTATCCGGCTTCGAGCATATTGGCGACTTCGACTTCAACCGGCATCATACTGTCCTTGTAGAACCATGTTCCACGAACAATCTGCGCGACATCACTAAGCGGTGACCAGTATATAGGCTCCATGCGTATTGCGTCAGTGTCCATGACTACATGATGCAGTCTCGAGACTCCCACAGGCACCTTTGCAGATGGCCCTGGTTTCGGCTTGGAAGACCTTGTCGCGGGCGCCTTGTCCTTGGCCGTCGATAGAGCAGGCTCCATGTCGTCATCCCACTTGTAGCTGTCCACTTCGTGTATGGTGGGCCGATGGCCTCCCTCCATGGGTGCAGGCTTCCATGACTTGGCCAGGCTGCCTCTCAAAGGGGCTCGGATGAAAGGTGTGCCGGTTGTCGCAGGCTCGAGAGGTGATATTGGGCCGGGATCGTAGGCCTTCAGCGAGCCAGACATGGACTGGCCGTAGCTGCCGCTGCCGCTGCCAGAGCCGGGTGTCTTCTTGTCCACTAGTTCAGCAGACCTCGAGTATTGCCCTCGACTCGATGACCGCCCAGACGGTATGTCCCTTCCCTGGATTGAGCCTTCCTCACTTGAAGCGCTAGCACCTCTCTTCCTCTTCAGCCGCTCCACCGCCGGGTTGGTCGGCGTACCGCGTCCCGTCACATCTTTCTCCCCAAACTCCTCATTATGCTTCAAAATCTTCTTTCGCAGTTCCAGCCACGACTCCTGGATAGCGTCATTGTCGTATTCCGAGAAGGGCCGCGGCGGCACTCTCTTCGCGGTCGAGGTGCCCGTTGGCGGCGGAGGGAGCGGAGACAGCGGGTCGTCTATAGCGAGCGGCGACGTGTAAAAGTAGCGAACGGGTATCGTAGGCGGTGCCTCGGTGTTGTGCAAGACCTCACGAATATATTGATTCGCGCGAGACGAAAGCGTGGGCTCGTTGCCTGCCATGACGTTTGGCGTGGTTTGGTGCGGGCTGGCGTGCTGCAACTTTCAAGAGAAGCAGTCGTGGAAGAAGCGCATCATATCATGATGCTAGCTTATTTCTGTCCCCTCACGTGTATATGTGAAGACGACAGCTGGCTTCGACAAGGTGGTAGCCTGAGGATGCTTCCTTGTTGTTCTAGGGCGGTATATTTCCGATCATCATCCAGAGCACTGACGCAACCGCCACGCTAAAACGACGCGTGCCTGAGCATGTGAACAGCTCCGTCAGCCGCCTCACCGTCCATACACACCACAAAACAACCACTTTTTCGCATAGTCGCGTCGAGTTGATCCCTGTCAACAGGAGCTTCGAATTGTGTACGCGGTATTTATACTATTAGAATACAATGCTGTGGCTTGATCGTTGTGAGCTTGTATCATACTGTGACTATGTTGGACATGGCACTACATAATTGCTTTCTGGTAACTGTTCTCAACAACTCTCCAGAAAGACCATTGCAGTCACAGCGGCTTTAAGAAAGATACATAAACAACACTACCATGACGTCGAAGAAGCTGCAGAGTCAGCAGCCAGTATTGCAGAACTAAATGCTCTTTTGGAACACTGTTTTGACCTCATCGTCTTGTTCGAAGAAGAAAGGACTGTAGAGAAAGTAGAAAAAGGTAAGATCCTATACAATATGTGGCTGACCGACTCAGTTCAGATATCGCAGTTCACCTGCCCCAGTGCACTATCAGCTTGGGGGTGGCAGACAGATGTGTTCAGAGACTACTACGGCAAGGTAGGATGCGACTCAACGCACAAGTTTCCGACGCAGCACAACGGGAGAACATCGTCAATTAAATTAAATGCAAAGTCATCGATACCATGACGGCCAAGCACAACCTGCAGAAGAGACCGGTGGAAACGGTGGAGGGTAAGATGGATGGTTGGCACGCAGCGACTGATACTGCATATCGTATTGACAAAGACGACGCGCTTGCACTTCTGGGCACTCCAAACGGAGCGGGTCCTGCCTATTTGTTAATACAACATAGAGCAGATCTTGGGCACCTGGCTATCGATCATGTGAGACTACGACACATTCATGACCAGTTCGGAGAGACTTTCAGTTTGATTTTCGATTTTATACCTGTAGAGATAGTGAAGGCAAGGTTAGGGCTCGAGCGGACATGCAAGGGCCTTCGTCTCGGCTTTTTGAGAGATGGACTGCGGCGCGAATTTTTATGATTGAAGATAGTTAATATGACATTGTTTATAGTGATGAAAATTCTGGGTATCTTTTTACGCAACATGTACTTTTGCCGAAGTTTAATGAGATGACCGCCATCCCAGCTCTGCTGCACCCCTTGCTGCGAGCCACTCGTTATCCGCCTCTTGATGACTTCCAAGCAACGTTCCAACATCAACCTCCAACTCCGTCCAAAGCGCATCCTCCACTGTCTCTTTAAACTCTTTGTCTCCGCCATGGCTGCCCGATAACACTATCCTGCCCGGTGGCTTCCCCAACCCACTCACAGCATGAATGACTGCTTCCTGTAGCTTCGACCAGAACTTCGCTCGCGGTGCGTCGTAGACAGGGAGGTTCCACCAACCGAGGTCCGAGCGAGTGACGTAGTTGATCATGTGCGGCTGTGGAGATTGGGCGTCGCAAGACGTTTGATGCATACTCGCGCTGAAGGAGCTATCGTCAAAGGCGATGACGAGAACATGTTGGTGTTGCTCTGGTAGCGTTTGCCGGGCACAAGATGTGTGTTCCAGAGCAGCGTGTGTAGCGTACGCTTCCGGATATATGGTGGAGCTTTCCTTGGACGATGCGAATCCGGCAAGTAGCAAGGCGCTTTGAAATAGCGTTTTCTGAGCCCTGCGAAGTGGGAATACGACAGTTGGTGTGATTTGTGTAATAGAGCTGTCGAGTTGAGCTCCGATGGTTGCGTGCACTTTCGAAAGAAATGTTGCTAGTACAACGCTGTCGTTCCGGTTTCTTAGGATCTCATAATCTGAGTATCGGAACATCCACCGCGACATTAGGTCTATGTATCCGGCGTCTCCAGGGATTTTTACGATGTCGATTGTTGTTCCGTTTGCATATCGCGCAGCAGCTACTGCTTGTGACGTTGTGAAATGGACGCCGATGCTGGGAGTGGTATCTAGATCAAGCTCTTTCGCGCTCGTGAGGTCCTTCGTGGCTCCTTCGGCGATGGGTATCTGATGGTGGTATCGTACGGCTCGTGCACTAGCTAAAGGCACAAAGAAAAGAAGAAGACCAGAGAGTTTCATTTTGAAGTCGTGACCTGATTATTACAAAACAGAAGAGTGTGCAATGAAAAAAAAAAACTAAAAAAAAAACTACAACAAACACAGCGGAAGGAGAGACGAGTAGTCGTGGGAGCAGGTACAGAAAGGGACGTAGGCAAAGCGTGAAAGAGCGACGGTAGTGAGTAAGGTTTGGTGGGTGAGAAAGCGGCAACGACAACGGCGGTACGCTCGTCGTCCCCTCCATCAATCATTGGGGCGACTCTCGGCACCTTATAGGAGTCGTCGCAAAGACATCCGTTCGTACCGTCAGCGCATGGAGGATCCGAGGTTCTGGCAAGGGACCTGTGGACTGGCCCACTGTTCCGCCAGCACCAAGCTTATACGAGCTAGCCTGATGTGGGACTGGTGTGAGCTAACCATCTAGAACTTCCACGTTGCTGGTCGATGCGAGGGGACATGCGTATTCCTTTGTCCTGGTATCCATATCTTGGAGGCTCAATTGGTTTTCTGAACCGTCGGCGAGCGACGTTGGCGCGTATGTGAGGCTCTTGGAAGCGCGTCGCCCAGGTGGTGCCCAGGTGTCAGTTGAGCTGAAAATAGCAACCTGCCAAGACCGGCACACACGGCACTACTGGAAAGCTTATCTGCCCCTCTCTCGTACTTTTGTGCTAGCTATCGTAGGCAAGAGCTGGCTCACCCGAGCACTGTGTCGTTTGATCATTTAGCACTCTATTGATTGATCGCATCTTCTCCGCAAAAGGGTTCGGCCGAGTCAAAATACCTGCCGGCCTATACGCATGGTTGACAGAAAGACCCTTCCATCGGACACCGAGTGTCGCTAGCCGTATCTCGTATACCTATCGCGCGCTTTGCATAGCAGTTGCATTCCATCGAGTTTGTTGTGTATACAGAATATACGAGTTCCGTGCAGCTTTGACAGGAAAGAGGAGCGTGGTATCAAGCGACCAGCCTGCACGAGCCGCCCAGGGTGCACCAAAGAGGCATTTCGTGACTGCTGAGAGGTATCCTGTTGCCTAAGAACATTGCCTTCAGCCTTCAAATGCAATGCTGGCAAAAGTTAGATAACCAACTGCGGCAACAACTCGTGGTCAGGATCTGTCGTATGATATTGGTGTCACAAACATTGCTGCCATCGTGTCCGTATTCGTTCTAGTGCGGCGCAGCAGCATTGAAATCCGCGTCATCCTGTTAGGAGTGTCCAGCCGCAGCGCTCGTCGCACTTATCCATGATATTTGACGGTTTTCCATTACGACGTAGCTGTACAACGACGTGAGCATTTGATTGAGAGAGAAGCTAGAGACGGCCACTACATGGGTGTAGACGGGGCTCACCCAAGATGTTCAATGAGCTTCCGAACAAGTTGAAGACACTAGTGGTCAAGTGTGTCAGTCATCGCACGTCTTTCTTCCATCTACCAAGGGATTACTGACGTGCTGCAGCTTCCTCTGCATGGGAGTTTGAGGAACCTTCGCCTCTCTTCGAGATCCTGGTACCATCTAACAACCGAGCGACTATATGAAAATGTCCCGATTAACATCTACGGTCGGAGATGCATCGATGCCTTCATCAAAATCCATGCCACGACATCCAGCTTTACGACACGTCAAGCATCTCAAGTTCGTTGATGAGCCGTCTTGCGATGGCTTTGAGGTTCACCATTCGTGTGCCCCACCGGTACTTCACTGGCCTGAAGACCGAAGGGACGAATACATCTGCCGTGTCCTAGAAACGATCTCTGATGACAAGCTAGAGTCATTCTGGTAGGTTTTGGGATAACAACTCATACTTAGATGAACAACTCTTGGTGCAACTCAGAAATCGGCAATGCAAGCTGAAAGATCTCATTGTACCTGTGCAGGACGACGCCAACATGGCCCAGGATCGCCGGATTGTGCGCATATTTCTACATGAACACACTGGATTTAACGGCGTAATAGGCCTGCTATCTGACATACGGCTCCCTACGAAACGTTTGCTGCTGCGGAATACCGGAGATGATGTTCTCGATTGGCTCAATCCCGACCTTTACGACAGTGGCCACGACAAAGTCATTTTGCAGCTCAGATTTCGAAACCAAAGCTCAGAGGAACTCATACTCAGAAGTATGAGTCTTGATTCCCGATGGTACCAGTTCGTTAGCAAATTTGTTGATTTCTAAACTCTACATAGGATTGTTCTTTGGCAATGTGCCGGGCATACAGGTGATCTGGTCGACTTCCTAATCGCACTCGAGGAACACTACAGAGCTGGACACCTATGTTTCGAACATATCGCTGTTAATTCTCCCGCCGCAAAATTACTGTACAGCGGTGGTATTTCTGTGCCACTAGGTAAGACATTGGGCAGATGTACGAGGCTTCTGAGCCTGCATCTAGGTTGGAATGGGATAAGCAGTGGGAGCTACTACGAGCGAATTTCCGCGGGGATCAGCAAGAACCTCAGGATAATATCGCTGCACGACTATGCCATCGATGATGGACGGAACTAATTGAGAACAGGCTCAGCTCGATTCAAGCGCTTTTGGTCGCGGCTCTCCATCTATTCCTCACTAGCACAGCTTGGAATACAAATGGATGAACAGGAGTGGATGAAGCTACTGCTTTCGGGAGAATTTTTGAAGCATTTTGTAAGTTCCCGAAGCCAACTGTCTCAAATCACTTAGCGGAAGTGATTCGACCTAACCACCGCAATTTAGTCATCCCTACGGTTTATACCAAACCTGCACACGATCCATTTTCGCCAACCCTCTCTTTCACCAAGCAGAAACAAGAGTCTGCAAGATTTTGCTCGTTATCTTTTCGTATACCTTGAGAAACATCAGTTCTGCCCTAACTCCGGGGTGCCTATCTTTGGGATGGAATAGGATGTTATTGATTAAGAAATACGTGAAAATTCCGACATCGGCGTATTCTACCCTAGGAGCTTGCATAATCGGGCGTATTCCAAAAGGGCAAGAGAAGCGCGCGATAGCATTTGGCGGACTGTTGCAGTTCCTGTACGGCTATCTTGGCTCCAAGACAACGAGACTGGGTTAGACATTCTAGATTATGATCCTCACCAAGGGTGGCCAGCAGGATTCCCAGCCTGGAAGCATAAAGTATAAGCGGTTAAATGTCGCATCACCTTGGAAGCATCAGCGAGCCATGAATCTCGACACGAGAAAAAAGCAAAATACAAATCGGCCTCCAGTGCCGTGCCTGTCCCTGACGGAGATATTTGAGTAAAAACGCCCTCAACAGCTGCAGGAAACGGGAGCAACGGAACGCACGTAGATGTGCTACTAGGAATCTCGCGTTCAGGACACTGTCAGCCAGCCGGTTTAATCCCCGTAGCCATTAGCGCAAACCCTATCAGCCTCACAAAACGATCGCCTCAGCGCCACGATACCTAGCAACTCCCGGCCGATCCAGGCATGTTAGCATACTTTACATGGGTTACGCAAGAAAAATGCATCCTTATGTGGAACCGCGATGTATGTCATGTTAGAGAAAGGGTCCAGTTAAGGACCCAAGTGTCCCCAATCGTAAGATGTATCCATCCCATTTTTCTCCTTGCGTGTACGCGCGACTCATTTCCGCAACAGCCCCAGATTTCTGCCTGGGATGAGGTGGTTCGTTAGTCTCCTCTTGACGCAGTCACTTACTGCTCAAGCCTTCCCTCTGCGCGTGCGGGGAGAGGATCTCCGCAACTCGAACCTGTTCATCAACAATGGCGAACTTCCGCGGGATAGGTCGATTTTCACGATCATTTCGTTGGTATGCATGATGGTGTTATCGTTGTTACTAGGTAGGCTTATCCCAAATGTCGAATCAACATCAGATTTAGATGATATACCATTTGCATGTGCATCACATCATCCAGTGCAAATCAATCTTGCAGTTACGTTCTAACACAGACCACAGGTTCGCGATTTGCAAAACTCAAACGAAGCATTATGGTTAAGCGCAGTCTCATGTCAACGCTTGTCCTTATGTTATATGTTCTGGTCTTGATGTTCATCATCTGCTCAGCTGTTCTCGTAGCAGGGCAAGGACTATATACTTATAGGCTGTGCGTCGCGGGAACATGGGTTTGTTTGATCTTCTACACGTTTATCAAAGCTATAATGTGAGTGTGCATGGACAACAATATGATCGGTTGTTAACGATGATAGCTACGTTTTTCTGGTCGAACGCATCCACGTTGTCCGTGCACCCTTTGTCAACAGACGAAAAGATAAGATATATCTAGGCTGCATGACCATGATCGTTGTAATGTACAGCTCCGTCGCCATCAACTCCTACGTCAACCACGTGACCGAGTTACGAGAGTCGGACGGTCGTTGCCATTTTGGTATACGCGGCATCGTATCGATACCATTCACAGTTGTCAACTTCTTCACGGATGCAGTGTTAACAGCTGTCTTCTTTTATCTTCTTCGCCCGGTCGCACAGATACCCGGTATATCGGCTTTCTCCAGAATCTTTAATACCAAGTCGAATTATGAGGGGAATACGGTGCATGGTGGAAATGACACGCCTATCAGAAAGAACATTAGAACGTTGCTTTGGAAAAGCATTGTTGGATCCTTGTTGATCGAGATTCCAATGGCGGCGAACATGGTTCAGTTTGTTATGACACGGGGCGAAGAACTGGGCATGATCTGTTTGACAATCTGTCTTGTTGACGGTAAATTTTGTTCCTTCATGAGATGCTCTTCGATCAAAGTTAACAATCGGCAGTATGCTGGGATGCACTGGTGATTCATTGGTTGACCTTTAGTTCCTCCGGCTCGGTCGCCGAGAAGGACTTGTCGCGGGCGACGGTGGTTTCCAGCGAAGACTCATCGCTCAACCAGATAACAGGTAGAGATCGTTCCCGATTGAGCATTCGCGAGGAACCCAAACCTACCGCGCAAAACACGACCGAGAAGGTCACCGATTCGCAACTCTGTGCGATAGACTTCCGGTGCGAGAGCCCTCGGGATTCAACGGCTGATTTGATACGGCCCACGGCTGTGAAGCAATGAAAACAGGCAATATCGTACTTTCTAGTTCTTGAGCAACGGGCGAAAAGTCAGCCTTCATACAAACATGCTTTCGGTCTATATTGACACTGAATGCGACGTCTTTACCGTCTATTTGGGATCAACCATGTCTGTGCTTCTGTCGACGCAGCAGTACACTCTTCCAAGACCCAAGTCAAGGAACACGAGGTTGCCAGCAAGGGAGATGTGCGCAGCAAGCAGAAAGGAGGCAACCTAGAGCGGCGAAGGAACGAGGTCAAGTCCAAGGACACGCAGGCCAAGAGGTAGAAGACGATTAGTGTATCGTTAGGGCCGCTCTCCGCTGAGAGTCAGGATGAGGTTAAAGCCTCCTTCAAGAGTCATAATCAGACGAATGCTCAACATCTTCTCGACTTTATCCAAGTAAAGAAGCAAGAAAACGGTGACGCTCCAACGCACGAGAGGATTAGAGCCGCAAGGACATGGTCAAAGACTACACACATTAGCCCGTACGAAGCGCCAGAGTGGATCCTATACCAATTTCATATGAAAGGGAAGAAGAACAAAGTCGAAGAGCTGCTGCGACAGGGAGAGAGAGAGAGAACGAAGTTCACGAGGGGGATGAAGCGTCGAGAAGGGTAGGCTGGGAAGACATGCTCAAGGCATTGCAATATTGGCCAACCGTCGGGCCCTCAAAACTTATTCTACTGCTGCACCTGCAGAAGTGATACCGTGCCCCTGTGGCCAGTACAGTTTGAAATCTGATACGACCCACCAGGGAAGGGGAACCATGCACATGCAATGGCAAAACATGAGCGATTCCATGAGCAGGACTGCAAGGTTATTGCCGAGGTCAAGAGGCTGGGCACGGCACGCTTTTGATCATCTATATCATCCGGTAGTAGCTACGTAGAGTAGCGAAAACTGATGGGAAAGCCAATAGCAATGGCGCTGTAGCGGTCTCTCATTTCCCTGCTTTCAAGCAACTGTTCATCAACAATAGTATCTCAGCAACGGCGGATTACTGTGACATATAGTGACGGAGACATTCCAGATCAATAACCTGCCTTTCCTGGGACTATCTCGTAGCATGGTCCGCCCTTCCCAAACATCTTCTGCAGATCCGCAACGATTACATCCGGCCTCTCGTGGGCGGCGAAATGACCACCTTTATCGCTGACACTTTCATGGACAAGAGGACCTGTGTGCGCGTGAGTACAAGCTGTAGGCGCATTATCGTAGGGAAGTCTTACCCAATGTTTTCGCCCACAATCTTGGGACAACAGTGATCTCATTAGGAAAGTGTGCGACTCCCAGCTTCACGCGATCAACCCACTGACTCGTTCGTTCTCGATTCGGAATCAGATCCGTGGGGTTATGTTGTGCTTCGTAGTAGATCCTAATATGTGCATTGGGGCCTGCAGTGCTGAACCAGTAGATACTAACCCAAGTGAGGACTTCATCGTCAGTCCATTGATAGTCATCAGTCCAGTCAACGAGTTTCTCGTAGATCCATGCCAGTAGTGCGACAGGACTATCGGCAAAGGCATATGAGAGCGTTTGTGGCTTGGTAGCTTGTAGTTGGCGATATGCTTGGCCGTCGTTGTGAAACCACTCAGAGCGTTTCAGACCTTTGGATTCAGCTTCTGTGTAAGGGGTGACCGCGTGCTGGAGAGCGAGTGCAGGCTGCGATGCAAACGTCGGCGCGTGCGCGCGCACCATGTTGATGTGACTGGCAAGAACATTGTCTGGATAGAGGATACCCATCGATCTCGTTATGTAGAAGCCCCAGTCGCCGCCTTGGGTGACATACTTCTTGTATCCAAGGTCTTGCATTAACCGGTGGCAAGTCTCCGCGTACTGCGACAATGCAAAACCAGGTTTGAGGATCTTCTGGCTGAACCCAAAGTTCGGTAGCGACGGTGCCACGATGTGAAATGCTGGCTTGCCCTCTTTCTCACCGTTTTCGAGGAGTGGGAGCAACTTCGTGACCTCGAGGAAAGAGCCTGGCCATCCGTGACTGAATAACAGTGGCACCGCGTTTGGGTTGGAACTTCTCTTGTGTACGAAGTGTATGTCGATTTGACCGAAACCATCAACCTGTACTTTCTTCCGGAAATTTGGCAACTCGTTGATCTTGGATTCAGCTCTTCGCCAGTCGAAGCTGGTTTCCCAGTGCTTCGCTAGACGCTTGACGTCAGATAGTGGTGAACCGTATGGCCACTGATCAGGTGTGTTTAGTTCATCAGGGAAGTCCGCGTCTGATAGCTTTCTTTTCAGCTTCTCAATCGCTGAGTCTGGAACCGAAATCGTGTAAGGCTCGGGTTGCGAAGCCATCGTGAATGGGGTTGCGGATGTTGAAGGTGTCGACCTCGTAGTTGTCCGCTCTTTAGGTGATGCGACCCCTCATCTGAACTTGAAGCCAAACAGCGCCCTTTTAGCTATGCACACGTTGACATCATGTGTCATGTATGCGCTCTTACCTTGTTTACTGCTGCGAGTAGTTACGGCTATAACGCTTAGTAATATCGCACTTGCAGCACGCACGCCACCCAGGGCTGTACTGGGGTAACTTTCCTTTTGAAGTAATGTGTGCCTCCTCAATTGGTTAGGCATCTCCCTGTGTCATCTACTTCGCGATCGCACATTACGCTGTTGATCGTGCTGTCGCGCGAGCTGATCATTCGGTGGTTGAGTGAGATGACGGCTAGTCTTCTTCGAACAGTTGCCTAGGCGCGTGTCGCGTGTATCATCACACCATTTCTACCAGCCTGACCCGCATCAGAGCTACAAGCCCTCTCCTTCGCGAAACTGCAGTCTGCAAAGCTTTACGGTACCTGACGACGTCGCTCATAAGTGTGATGGCGGACGAGCAACCCCTTCGAAGAGCTTGTCGGCATTTCGGAATGAAGCGGAACTGATCGGAATGCCTAGCTATCACGGAGATGGACGAGCTCATCGCATTCAATCCTCCGTCAAGGCCTTAGCCTGATGTCGAGCAGTTTCAAGACTTGTGTAGGGGTACAACAGAGCCAATGAGCGAATACATGCCCAGAACACGAGTCATGACCCGTGACATGCTATCCTACGGCAAATTCTCCTACGGCAAAGTTCCGAACTTCCATCCCGAACCGAGAGAGTGACGGGCCTATACCGGCCCTATGAGGCTTCCAGACTTAGAGATATATTAGGCACCACCTCTCCAAGACATTGCTTCTGCTAGATATTCCTGAATCCACTTTCAAAATGAGCTCAATGGCATCGGTCGACCACGCACAGAACATATATGCTTCTACCAATGAGGCTCTCGAAGCAGCCAAACATCGTTTTGCAAAGCGAAACACCAAAAGCTCACACTTACACGAAGAAGCCAGCCAGAGGTTACCTGGCGGTAATACGAGGAGCGTGCTTCACACTGCGCCGTTTCCAGTATTCCTGAAGAGCGGTACAGGGTACCAGGTCACGTCTGAGGATGGACACACCTACACAGATCTCGTTGGGGAATTCACTGCCGCTTTGTACGGGCACTCGCAACCTCTCATTCAATCAGCTCTAATTGACACTATTAACAACGTCGGTCTCAACTTGGGCGGGACGACGACACTGGAGATGAGGCATGCCGCGTTGATATGTTCGCGCTACAAGCTCGATCTTATTCGCTTCGCCAACTCAGGCACAGAAGCAAATCTGCACGCGATTCAAGGTGCAAGAAAATTTACCGGCAAGAGGAAGATTGTGGTGTTTACTGGAGGCTACCATGGCGGTTGCTACACGTTTCCTGGAGATCATCCTGCTGAGAACTGTGTCGATCAAGACGAATGGGTTATTGCAGAGTTCAATGATGTCGAAGACGCGAGAAGAAAGATTGAAGAGTCTGAGGATGTAGCAGCAGTACTCATTGAGGGTATGCAGGGACGAGGGCCGTGTCTCGTGGGTACTCATGCCTTCCTGCATCAAGTTCAAGAGTCAGCAAAGAAGGTCGGCGCAATCTTTATTTTGGACGAGGTGCAAACAAGTCGTCTAGCACCAGGAGGCCTACAAGAGCTTGAAGGGCTAAAACCAGACCTCACGACTTTGGGCAAGTTCCTCGGGGGAGGGATCACATTCGGCGCCTTTGGAGGGCGAGCAGACATTATGCGAGTGTATGACCCACGAGAGAAGGGCTCTTTAGGCCATTCTGGCACTTTCAACAACAACACCCTTGGGATGACAGCAGGATACACCGGTCTCGCGCATGTCTACACGCCTGAAGTCTGTCGCGACTTTAATGCGATGGGTGACAAACTTCGCCACCGTCTACAAGAGCTTTCACACGGAACTAAGATGACAGTTACAGGCTTAGGTACAATCATGGGTATACATTTCTTGCATGATGGCAAAAAAGAGCTGAACAGCTTCCGAGATAGAAATGAGGATCCTGATTTAAGCATGCTGTTTTGGCTCGAGATGATGGAGGCTGGATTCTGGATCACGCAGCGTGGTAGCTTGGCGATCATCCTAGGCACGCCCTGGGAGGAGTTGCAAAGGTTCGCGGACTGCGTAAACAGCTTTTTGAAGAGACACGGGAAATTAGTGGGTATTTGATCGCTTAGTATGAAAGATCAAGGCACATTGGATATTGGGATTCTTAGCCTTCCGGCTGCTACGTTAGTAAGTCTCTTCGGCATGGTCGCGGCGCAGTATGTCTACGGAGCCCTCAACACATAACGATTTGACGATCCATAGAATCTAGCTCGGCTCTATCAAGTACATGCATCAAACACGAGATAAACGCTGTATGGTTACGCCTCAACTTCTAAATGGTGGCCGGGACTGATGTTCGAAGGGGAGCATCGGCTTCCATGCACGCCACATGAGTGCATAATTGATGAGCTGGCAATATATACGCATGTACGCGAGCTTGAATCAATATGCTCGATGGCCAGAAGAGTTTGTTTGTAGTTCCCCGCACGCGTTAGATCCTATTATAGGCGCGGCCCGAGCCATAGAGCGCAAACCCTCTGTAGGCTCGGTCACGCATTCCTTAGATGATTCACTTATTGGTGCACTGTCTTGAGCTACGTACACACACACATGATGAGAAACATCTTGGCGTATTCTCGCGGGTTGATATAAAAGAAGGCGCGGAAAGATCCTCCTCTACTGCTTCTCATCACTCAATCAACAAGCTGTTCTAAGACCAACTGCGAGCTCTTCTGACCGAGTACAACAACTCCTCACGAATTTACCAACATGCACCTCCTCAGCTCTCTTTTCTTCACCCTTCTAGGCTTTCTTTCGATCGCTCTTGCTGCAAACCACCCACGAGACTTCTCCCTCCCAACACCAAGCGTATTTACAACCAACGACAAATGTTACACCAACCGAAAGATCTGCGCCGAGGTCATGATTGGAAACAGGATCAACCAACAGCTAGACTACAACGGTTGCATGAAGATCATGAATCCGGACGAGGTCACTGGTATCAGGATGTTTGACTGCTTGTGCAACTTATACTAGTAAGTGGTACAGAAACGGTATACGAAGACGCCCACTTGTTACCAGTTGTATGCAAAACTAGAGCACACCCTGAAGGATACTTTGTCGTTAATCTTAGATCTCTGTAAGCAACGAATCTGGCATATACTTTCAGGGTTAGTGTTTGAGATACAATTCACAAGAAATGAGCTGCTTCGCATACGAGTACAGCTATGTGCTAATGTTTGCTTAGCGCTGTCGACTCCGGTTCCTGCAATAGCGGCGTTGATGATACTATCGATAGACTTGGACGCTGTGAAGTTGTCACAAGGAACGAGCGGCGCTGGAAGAAGTCGCCTAACTTCTGGAGCTGTTACAACCCCCCGCATTGAGGCTTCATGTATATGTCCTACCTAGTGTAGGCTTCGAACGTTCGAAAATGCTTTCTTTGTTTTTATCGTCGGTTCCGTGGTTAGACTCCATGCTAGGAGGACGCTATCACGGTCTCGAACAGGTAGAACTAGCTCTCTCTCAGGGTCTCGAACGGGTAGAATGAGCTCTCTTTCAGCTCTCTCTTGGTTGCCTCTCAGCTTCCTATTAGCTCCCGTTTGTACAACGCGAATGAAATTGGTTGTGGCGTACCCTTCATGTGTCACTAGTTACAACTTGTTCATATATTAAACCTCAATTTCCTCAAGCTCCAGCTCCTGACTAAATCGACAACAATGCACTTCACCACAGTATTATTCGTCGCCTGCGCCATCGCCTTGCCTTTCATACCTTCTGAGCTTTCCAAGTAAGCAAACACGAAAATTGTTTTGGACTGCTGCTAAATTTCATCAGAGACGTCGGGTGCGTTACCGATGGCGAAGGCAAGGTCTATCAGCTCGAGGTCACTGGTCACAACAACGTTCGCGTGATCACATCGGATAGGAAGGATGGCTGGTACATAAATCCCACCAGCTACCATGTGGAGGCAGCACATGCTTGCAACTTCTACAGCGAGGCAACCCGCGGCGTTGGATATCTCATTGGCGAATTTCAGGGCCCAGTTGACGCCGACTTCGGTAGTCACTGGGCGGCGTTCTACGAGTGCTGGGATAACGATCTCGAGCCCATGTCTCCATAATGGCTCGCAAAGCTTCTACTTCAGCTTGCTGTGGCGTCGTCGCCTCACCAGTTACTGCGCCAAGGTGCTCGACGATGAGCGAGAAGATCCGCTTGGGTAAAGAAGGAGGATGATATATCTCAGAGGCGTTCGTGGTGTTGGATCATTGCGCGTGCATTTTTGGGATCGGGAGATCGTGGAAGCGCACTCAAGAGAGCGGTTCTTTGTGCTTTCCCACTGTTTTGTACCCGTCTGCCGTAAACGCTAGGTAGATAGTAGTACCAGCCGTGAATCTAGCGATATCTTTGAGGACCATTGCGCGGACGCACTGAGGGCCTGTGACTGTGGGGGTAGTGAACCATGTTGTAGTCGCAAGGGGAAAAACAAACGCGTCTTTGGATTTCCCCTACTGTGCCGTACGCATCTGCCACAAGGTATATTATGGGTACAACATTCAGAAGACAAGTTTCTTCTGCTCAGTTGCCGGAAGTCGGGAGTGTTCGCATTGGTCCTATGTTATCGATAAGCTCATTCAGTCGACCCACTTTTCTTTTCGTCGCTGCGTCGCGAACTTCGAACTTCAACATTGCGCCTGGAATAATTCTCCCACCACACGTCACATATCGCCACTATGATCCGAAAACAAGCCAGGGAACGTCGCGACTACTTGTACCGCCGCGCTTTGACCCTGCGCGATGCCGAGCTCGCCTCGAAAAGAGCAGCGCTGAAAGCTTCCCTCGCCAGCGGCAAGCCGCTGTCTAAAGATGTCGCCGAGGACCAGACCCTGCGACAGGATTACAAGTACGATGAGAGCAGGGCGGATAGGACAGCCGAGGAAGAGTTGGGCCTGGACGACGAGTATGCGCAACTGTCGGGTGTCGTAGACCCGAGGATATTGGTCACAACTTCGAGAGGTACAGAAGCCTAGGAAAAATGGGGAAGAAACGGAAAAGCTAACGCTGGGATAGATCCTTCGAGTAGATTGGGAACTTTTGCCAAAGAAATCAGGTTACTGGTCAGTTTTGGAACAACATGCTTGTAGAGCATGAACTAAAGTGGTCGTAGTTACCCACAGCGATACGATTGAACCGCGGAAACATGGTTCTGCCAAACCTCGTCGAGAGCGCAAAATCAGGTGGACTGAGCGACATAGTGCTGCTTCACGAGCACAGAGGTACACCCACCGCCTTGACAGTATCGCATTTCCCCCATGGTCCAACGGCCAGCTTCTCATTACAGTAAGCTCCCCACCACTGCCTCAGTATTATCCAGAAACTCACATTCTCCAGCAACGTAGTCCTTCGCGCCGACATCCCCAACGCCTCCCGCGGCACAGTCTCCGAATCCTACCCCCACCTCATCTTCGAAGGCTTCTCCACCAAGCTAGGAGAACGCTGCGTACAAATCCTGAAACACCTTTTCCCACCTCGGGAAGCCACAGCCAAGGTCGGAAACCGTGTTGTCACGTTCAAAAACATCGAGGATACTATTGAGGTCCGACATCACGTCTTTGTCAAGACTGGGTTCCAGTCTGTTGAGCTGGCGGAGGTGGGTCCGAGGATGAGTATGAGGTTGTTTGAGATTAGGGCAGGAACACTGGATAATAAGGAGGGGGATGTGGAGTGGCATCTCAACCAGTACACAAGGACAGGACGGAAGAAGGAGTACTTGTAAGGGTTGATGCGAGTATGCTTGGTTAGAAAAAGACTAGGACAACTGGACAGAGCGTACACCAGGAAGACGATCATGGCGCAAAGGAGAACTATTTTCAGTTTGAGATACCACGAATCATAAGCGATATCCTGAACTCTAGCGTGCGAGCGATTTGGTATCTCATCGTAAGCTACATGACATCAATACGTTCAGCCTCGTGCATAAACCTGTTGTCGCGACATTGCAGTAGCGATACCCATAATTATGTAAACATAACCCTGGGGTAAAATTGGCCAAGCAAGATAATCATCAACTTTTTGCCTCGTGAGTGAGGTGGTATCTAGCAGACATAAGAGAACACTATCAATATCCCTCTCACATCATGCAACCATTTGACTTGCTCGAGTGAAGATCAGAAACACTCAATCGTATCCTCTGTCCATTGACAGTCATGTAGCTCTCAACAAGCCACTCATACCACACCTTGCGATCGTCCGTTTGCCTCCAGAAACTGACTTCAACCTCTGAGTTGGCGGGGAGCTGCATGGGGTTCTACACATCACGTTAGTCCTTGTCCTCGTCCTCTTTTCCGATACATATATGACAAATACATACCTTGAGCGGGAATAAGATGGGGAACCAAGAAATCATATCCTTGCTCTTCTGTTCCATAGTAACGGGATTTGTGCTTAGCTCCACAGGTCCTTCAGAGCCGCTGTAGAGTACAGTTTCAAAGTATGCGCCGAGACCGTGGCATACACCGGGTTCTTGGATGGGGAAGGCGATGCGGCAGTAGCGTAGGTTATGTTCGTTCGCACCGTCACCTCCACTGAAGCCGCCTCCGCCGCCTATTGCTGAACCACCCTTGCGCAGTGAGGATTGAGCTAGAACGGAAGGTGGGAGGGGATGAGTGAACTCCCACGCTGTTCGCACGTTTGGTGTGAGAGGGGCCTCTAGATTGAAGTGCTGCATCTTAGTACCATTGCCCAGTTGTTGAGAAGCAATCGTCTCTTGAGACTCAGTAGAGAGGTAGTCGAACTGAGTCAACATGACTACCCAGGGGATATCAAAAGCATTTGGATCAACGCTAGTACTCCTAGTATACAGGTCTGACCAAAGCCTTGGGGTCGAGATAGGGGTGAAGTGTGCAGTGTAGCTGGACGGAATCGAGATGCCATGAGTTGGGTTCAAAACGTGCTGAACACCATCAAGACACTCAGGGGACAGTTCGTTGTCGGCGAAAGATCCAAGAAGCTCGCTGACGAGTATGTCCACTTTGCCGAAAGTACCGTCTGGAAGTGTTGGACCTTTCCAGGCTCGCATGTCCGTCTTGACGACAGTGACACGTCCTCCCCATGTCTCAATGTTATGCCGTTGCAGCAAGACGTAGGCGTTGGGGTTTTTCTCAATGGCATAAATCTGGATGGGTACACCGGAGCTCGCGCTGGCATTGAGCGCACGTGTTACAAGCGGGCCGCGACCTGATCCTACAACGGCAACCACGACAGCGCCGTTGTTGGAACTGGTCGATCTGCTCTCGGCATGCCAGTCTTTCAGCGCCTGAGCAATAGCCCGCTCGTACCAAGCGTACTTGATCGGATCCTTTTCGAATACCTCATATGTGATAGACTCAAGGTTATCCGTAAGGGGTTGCAACGGGCTCTGTAGATAATCTTGGAACCCACCACCAAACCGTTCGATTTGGCTTTTAGGGGGTTGGTTGCGCTGGAGGTATCGCATGTAGCTCAAGTGAGGAGTTGGGTCGTTACTGCTACTGCTCTTCTTAGGAAGCTTCTTTGCGATTTCAGCTGCCTCGGCTGGAGTTGGTGCGACTGTTGTTGAAGCCCCAGGGCTCGGTGCATCCTCTACTGTGCGAGGGGACAGATGACCTGTGGAGTACGACATTATCATGTCCGGGTCATCGATACCTGGCAGTGGGCCGACATCCGAGACGAGTAACCAAGGTCCGCGCTGCAGACGCATACAACGGAAGATGAAGACCTGGTGTGCTTTGGACAGAACGAAGGATTGGCGGGCATTGACAAGGAAAGACGACGCCGATAGGTTGAGTAGTCTTACAGGCTCAGAGAACCAGCGTGACTGGACAGCTAATGATGGAAGCCGACGCGGGAGATCAAGCATAATGGACAATCTGTTGTGGTACTTGCAGATGGATCGGATTGTATTCCAAGCATCCCATGAGCTCCAAGAATCGACGTTCTTTGCCTGACTGCTCGCTTCGAACTCAGGCCTTGCAAAGCGCGCTAGGTCTCCCATGTCGTCGGCGTTGGAGTCTGACTGCCTTCCATCCATGGGTAGTTGGACGTGCAACTGGATGTAAGACCCAGTGGTCAGCGCCTCCTTGATTGATCGAGCATACTGAGATACGCCGGTCTGTCCGTGAGTGAGTCTCGGTCCAGGAATGACAAGGTTGGTAACACCACAGAATGCTGCATAGGCGACCTCGAGGTGGAAGACCTGTCGCGACAGGTGCGAAATAATAGGGTCTGGTGAGGACAGATCGATCCACGAGCTAGTAAATGCCACCAATTGACCGATGATGTCGTTCGGGGTGAGCGGTGTATCGAAGTTGTCCAATGCAGGTATCAAGGGCAGCGGTTGAGATTGCGACTCGGCGAGGGTCTGGGTGTAGGAGTTGAGGAGACTCAAGACGCGGTTTTGGAAGTGGTCGTTGGTGATGGTGCTAGTAAGCATATCATACTGGAGATTGTCAGTCAGGGTCCCTGCAAGTCTTCGAGGCACTTACTCCGAGATCTTGGGCATGCTGAACCAATTCGGGCGAGACATGCAGGGTCCGCTTCGACTCGTGCTGGCCGATGTAAAAGACGGCCGCAGACTCGTCCATGCCTTCAGAATAGTCCATAGCGGTATCTGGAGTTAGTCGGGCCAATATGGGAATATTGCGTCAGTGGAAGAAAAAGTTGGTGAATGTTGCGGACTGCCGCGGGGTCAGCGGAGTCGCGAATGCAATGCTGGGGCGCGCGACAGGGGAGGTTCGACGTGATCACAGCGGCAATGGCGTGGGATAGACAAAAGGGACCACCAGCGGTGGAGAAGGATATATTTACTACATGGCTGCGTGTGGATTCTGCTGTGGTGCCTTGCAGCCTGTCGTCGTTCGCGCCAAGCTAGAGAAGTCGCGGTAAGTGGAGCTACTTTGGCCGGTCGCATAACTTTTTCTGGGACGGCGATTGCAGTCGACATACACACGCGCAAACGACGCCACTCACAACTATGACTGCCATGACGAAGCGCGAATACGGCGACGACGACAGTGCCCGCGCCAAGCGTGTAAAGACGGAATCCAACGGCCAAGGCAATATGGACGCAGCGGCGAATCCCTACCTGGCGCACTGGAACGACGAGAAGCCCGTCAAGAGCGAGTACAACGGCACTGGGTCAGGACTACAGGGCTTCAAGCGCCATGCGACAACTACGGCGCAGGCAAATGCCGCCGAAGATGGCCCCAACAACGCCTTCACCGGAAGGCCGCTCTCGAGCAAGTACATGAGCATCCTCAAGAAGAGGCGAGACCTGCCCGTGCACCAGCAGCGCGATGAGTTCCTCAAGCTCTACCAGGAGTCGCAAATCCTCGTCTTCGTCGGTGAGACGGGTTCCGGAAAGACGACTCAGATCCCGCAGTTCGTCCTTTTTGACGACCTGCCGCAGGAGAATGCCAAGATGGTGGCCTGTACCCAGCCGCGTCGTGTCGCTGCCATGTCTGTCGCCCAGCGTGTAGCTGAGGAGATGGATGTTGAGCTCGGCGAGGAGGTCGGATACAGCATTCGTTTCGAGGACAAGACGGGCCCGAATACCATCCTCAAGTACATGACAGACGGAATGTTGTTGCGCGAGGCCATGAACGACCACAACCTTACTCGCTACAGTACCATCATTCTCGACGAGGCTCACGAGAGAACCTTGGCTACAGATATCCTGATGGGTCTGCTGAAGGAGGTTGTCTTGAGGCGGCCGGACCTCAAGCTCATCATCATGAGTGCTACACTCGATGCCACCAAGTTCCAGAAGTACTTCCACAACGCCCCGCTGCTCGCCGTTCCTGGACGAACCCACCCCGTCGAGGTCTTCTACACACCTGCGCCCGAGCGAGACTACGTCGAAGCCGCCCTACGCACCGTCCTTCAGATCCACGCCACCGAACCCGAAGGCGATATTCTGCTATTCTTGACTGGTGAAGAAGAGATTGAGGACGCATGCAGGAAGATAAATCTGGAAGCTCAAGATCTTTCCAGAGAAGGTGGTGCTGGCCCACTTGTGGTATACCCGCTGTACGGAACTTTGCCACCTGCGCAGCAGCAGAAGATCTTCAACCCTGCGCCTCCACCTTCAACACCAGGCGGCCGTCCTGGACGCAAGGTCATCGTTTCCACCAACATCGCTGAGACATCTCTTACTATTGATGGTATCGTTTACGTCGTGGACCCTGGTTTCAGCAAGCAAAAAGTCTACAACCCTCGTATCCGTGTCGAATCTCTCCTGGTTTCACCCATCTCCAAGGCCTCTGCCCAGCAGCGAGCTGGTCGTGCGGGACGTACGCGGCCTGGTAAATGCTTCCGCCTGTACACCGAGCAAGCTTTCAAGAAGGAGCTTATCGAGCAAACCTACCCCGAAATTCTACGATCGAATTTGGCAAGCACCGTTCTCGAACTGAAGAAGCTCGGAGTCGACGATCTGGTACACTTCGATCTCATGGACCCACCTGCGCCTGAAACGCTGATGCGTGCCTTGGAAGAGCTCAACTACTTGGCATGTCTCGATGACGAGGGTGAGCTTACCACACTCGGAGGACTTGCCTCGCAGTTCCCTCTGGATCCCGCGTTAGCAGTCATGCTCATCACTTCACCCGAGTTCTACTGTTCGAATGAGATTTTGTCGCTCACTGCGCTACTCTCTGTACCCCAAATCTTCGTGCGTCCGGCCAACAACCGAAAGCGAGCAGACGAGATGAAGGAATTGTTCGCACATCCAAAGGGTGATCAGCTTACCATGCTAAACGTCTACCACGCCTTTAAGAGCGAAGAGGCACAAGCGAACCCGAAGCAGTGGTGCCACGACCACTTCCTCTCCTACCGAGCGTTGCAGCAAGCTGACAATGTCCGTCTCCAACTCAAGCGCATAATGGAGCGTGAAGAACTCGAGTTGATGTCGACGCCATTCGAGAACAAGAAGTACTACGAGAACATTCAGCGTGCACTCGTGGCTGGTTTCTTCATGCAAGTCGCCAAACGCGATGGCAACGGCAAGAGTTACATCACCGTCAAGGACGAGCAGAACGTTCTTTTGCACCCTAGCACTGTTCTTGCTGAGGACAGTGAATGGGTCATCTACAACGAGTTTGTGTTGACGACCAAGAACTACATTCGTACAGTGACTTCGGTCAAGCCTGAGTGGTTAATGGTAAGTAGATACCATACCTTCGCTGATAAATGTAATACTAACCTCTGCCAGGACATCTCACCCAACTACTACGACTTGTCGCAGTTCAAGAAGGGTGAAATCAAGCAAGCTCTCCAGCGAGTGGTTACTAAGATTCAGCGGAAGGAAGCTGACAAGGGATCACGAAGATGAGGTGCTCCAGATTCGCTGAGGAATCAAGTGTAAAACAGACGTCCAGGGCGAGCTGAACATTAGCAACAGCATGAGCGTTGTACAGACGGCGCTTGCTCTGATATGGTGATATTTGGCGTTGGACTTGCGTATAGATCGGAAAATATACTGAACACTAAGGATGCTGTCATGAAGCGTCTTCTAATTGAAATTCTATGCCACCTTCACTGTCCACTCATATATGCTGGTGATGACTAACCGTATACACTCTAGCGTTAACCCCCACATGTCGGTATCTGCACGCGCCGATATCTCCAACTTTTTTCCAAGCTCAGCACTTCCGCGACAACGCGATCGCAAACCACATTACGCGACGGAACTCACTTGCCTCTTCGTGAAAATGGCGCCAGTACAAAGTGAAGACGCTTCCTTATTCTACACCGAACGTATATCGCAATACGTCTGTATCCCGCCTTCATGTCTTGCGGATCCATTCTCAGCCGTGTGTGCAACCGTACTATCACCGCTACTCCTCACCTACTTCCCACCTGCAAAGGGTGTGGTCCTCGCATACGAAGAAGTGGAACTGAATAGCACACCACCAACTGCACCAGCCTCGAAATCTAAAAGGTCACAATCACAACAGCAAAACGGATCTAGTTCCGATGATGATGCGCCTGCCGAACCGTTGCTACTCAGACACGTCGATGAATACGCAGCGCCGTTTTTCTGGGTTACTGCCTCCTTCATTGTGTGGCGCCCAACTCGAAATGCGTACCTGACCGCTCATATCACGGACCAAGCGAAGACCCATCTTACGCTCGCACATCTCAACACCTTCCCCGTTAGTATACTCAAGGAATGTCTGCCCGCAGACTGGTCATGGCATTCGGAAGAATCTGGTCAAATGAAGAAGGGTTGGGATGGACGGTTGTCGGATGAAGGAGGCTGGTGGGTGAACGGAGAGGGAGAAAAAGTGGAAGGAGAGCTACGGGTGAGGATACGCGATGTAGATGGTAGAATGGATGGAAAGGGCAAGGGCAAGGGTTTCCTACGTGTCGACGGTGCTCTGATCTCCGAAGAGGAAATAAAGGCGACAGAACAGAAGACCGGGAAAGGAAAAAGAAAAGCTACTACAAGCGCAATGAAGGCAACACCACAGAGACAGGCGGGCGGAGAAGTCATGGATATCGACTCGGACTAGGTGCCGGACGATGGGACGCTGTGGGAGTCAATCTGGTCGCATCTTTCGTGAGACTCGCGGCATCCCATTTGCATCAGAACGGCGTTATGGCGTTGAAAATATAGGAGGATGCAAACTTCAGCATCTACGATACCACCACAAATGTACAACCTTCATACACTCCACTTCCCGTCTTTGTGTGCACAGACCAATCAGACAACGCACACCTCCGAAGCTCCGCAGACCGCGGCTTTCCCTCAGATCTTGCTATCCCACCTCCTCCACCCCAAACACACTCTTTGCTGTTATGTCTTCTTCCAAGAAATCCTCATCCTCGTCATCTCGCAAATCCCGATCGCACGATCCCATCTACGAATCAGGCTACAGTAGTAAATCCTACGGCACAACCTACAGTTCCATGTCGCCTTTCTGGACGATCGGCACCCTGCTCGGTGCTTCGAGCGTTGCGCTCGGCGCTTTCGGTGCACATGGGCTCAAGCAACGGATCAGGGATCCAGCGCTCATCGCGAGCTGGGGAACCGCTGCTCAATACCAGGTACACCTCTTCTCACCCCTCATACGCGTTGCCCCTCTCCTCACACCGCATCCCCTCATCTTTGCAGTCGATGATTCTTACTAACGATTTCAACAGCTCGTTCACTCCGTTGTCCTGACTATGACCTCCGTCGTCGCACCGGGAAATACAATCGCAATGGCGCTCTTCACTGCGGGTATGACTATGTTCTCTGGAAGCATATATCTCCTTGTATTAGACGCCAAGAAGTACAAGTCTTTGGGACCCGTTACACCAATTGGTGGTGCCTGTCTCATTGCAGGCTGGCTTGCGCTTGCGGCGAGGGGAAAGATGGTTACACCTAGACCCAGGTCGTCTTGAAGGCAGAATAAAGAGAATTGGTGGAATAAGATATGTACAATCCAACGACGCCTTCGGGTTTGACGTGGCATGAGACGAATCAAAGCCTTGCTTACGAGCATGACGAATGACAATAAGCTTTCCCTGGCAAATTTTGCAACGACTTCAGTACTCCAACGGTCAACATCTGTTGAAACGTCAAATGTGAGACCGAATTAGTTACACCGGCCATCAGAGTCCACTCGGGAATGACTAGGGTTAAATCGAGATTTTGTGTTCACATGACTCGAGACGAGCCGCACCGCACTTACCTGAGCCTAGACCATCAAGTTCAACGACCACTCCAACCTTTTACGTGATAGCGTCCACACCGACTGTTCTATCACATGTCGGGCATTACCAAGGTTCTCGGTTCCCGCATAACGGTAATCAGGTAACGGCTATCAACCGTGTTTCCAATGTGCGCGCCCAGAGACCTCACCCCACTTAGATGTGCGCGTTTGCCGCAGAGGTGCTTCAGGCCTGCAGCGCAACGGCATAGCGTTGTTTCTGTGTGGGCTGCAGGTTCAGGGTAAAAAGCAATGTTTCCTTACGCGAGAAGAGGATCAGAATCACCACATCGTCCCATAACATGAACTCAACGGGCGTTCAGTCGCCGTCAGGGACATGGTTTCCTCCAGTGGGCTACGTGCTGGGTCTCGCGGGTGTCTGGCTCGCATTCAAGTTCCTAGAAGCTGTTTACAACATCTCGCCGTTCCATCCGTTGAGTACGATCCCTGGACCAAAATTAGCAGCAGCGACGTACCTGCCCGAGTTCTACTACGATGTCATCAAGTTTGGCTGCTATACGAAGGAGATTGGTCGAATGCATAAGGTTTATGGTGAGTTTACCATTGACTGCTAAGCGCCAGCCTATAAGCTAATCTTTTGTTTCTCTGCCAGGACCTATCGTTCGCATCAATCCCAACGAAATCCATTGCGATGATATTCGCTTCGCAGATGAGATATATGCTACTGGTAGCCGAAAACGCGACAAGCCGGTGCACCAGGTTAACGGTTCTTCGTAGGCCTCGAACTTCATACTTGGCTGTGATATAGTCTCACTGACGTTCTTTAGTATCGCAGGATCTGGCTTTGACACAACTGATCACGACTTACATAAATTGCGTCGGGTCCCTTTGGCCAAATTCTTCTCCAGGGCAATGATTACACGACTCGAACCTGAACTCCATGCCCTGGTTCAAAAGCTCTGTGATAAGCTACTGCAGCAATCCGGTGATAATGAGCCATTCGATGTCGCCATGGCATACAGCTGCTTTACCTCAGACGCGATATCCAGTTACAGTTTCGGCGAGAGCTTCGGGTTTCTTGAACAGAAAGGATGGTACCCAAACTTCCGAGAGCCAACAGCGTCCGTACTCAAGCCCGTCTTCGTATTTCGCTTCTTCCCGTGGACCAAGGCTAGTGCTGCGCTTGCAACGACCTTTGTCAATTATTTGCCGAAGGATATCGCACTGATGGTGCAGCACTTACAGATCGAGATGCCCGCGAAAGTTCTCAAAGCGAAGGCTGATCTGGACGCCGGCATAACATACGACCGACCAACGATATTTGCTTCACTCTTACAATCGGATCTCGCTCTTGGGGATAAAGGTCCGAAACGCTTAAGCGAGGAAGCACAGGCTGTACTGGGTGCCGGCACAGAGACTACTAGCTGGGCCTTGGCCGTGATCACTTACCATCTACTAACCAGGCCTGAAATTCTCGCCAAGCTTACTCAAGAACTGGAAAATGCTGTAGAAGACCCATTACACCTACCTGGGTGGTCTAACCTGGAAACGCTACCATATCTCGGAGCAGTTATCCAAGAGGGATTGAGACTATCTTATGGCGTCTCTAGTCGTACTGCTCGTATTCCAACTGAGGAGAATCTACTTTATCGTGGCGAACGGAACAAGAAGCCTGTCGAATATGTTATCCCTAAAGGCTATGCGATCGGCATGTCGGCTTACATTACGCACCATGACGAACGTGCTTTTCCCGACTCCTATGCCTTCGCTCCTGAGCGATGGCTGGATGAGAATAACCAGAGGAGAAAAGAGCCCGAGCGCAGTATACTATCCTTCTCGAAAGGTAGTCGCGCTTGCTTGGGGAAGAAGTGAGTAGATCCTATCTTTACTGATTTGGAGACGGTTGCTAACACCGATTTTCTAGTCTTGCTTTATGCGAACTGAATTTGTGTCTAGCTGCATTGGTGCTGCGTGTGCTACCACACATGCGATTGTTTGATACGACTGAAGAGGATGTGGCATATGATCACGACATGTTCGTGCCCATGACCAAAGACAATCGAGGCGTGAGAGTAACAATCGTTTAATGCAACGGCATTTTATTCTATTATACCGTTGCCTGCTCTCCGGCACATCTTCTGCCGAGACTGCAAGACTGGGCCCAACAGTAGGGGAAGTGCACCTCGACTTGGCTGGAGTTTCTTCACTATCGGAAGCTCGTCGCGGTGTAAGCTTGCCGATTCGGCGTGAAAGCTATGACCCTTCGACATGGTCTCGCACAAGAAAACTGGGAGAGATTGAAAGATGGCGCGTTGGCGGAGAGTGGTGCGCGAACGCATTCACGGAAGTTCAGTAAAGACCGGATGCACATGGAAGCCGCTGGGAACTGAGATGCGAATTTCATGCCTGATTTTGAGACATGTAGGAGAGCTCATGACTGTGAAAAAAGTCTCTTCCAAAAAGTCTCAAGAGACCATTTGTCCTCAGTACATACCAAAGAATGCATCTACTTTGTTGAATACACTGTAATATCTACTGCGATGGCGGAGCAGCCGTATTCTGTGTCGCCTCCTTCCTCTGTACCCAACCGAACCTCGGCGAACCGTTGTTCATATCAAAGATCTGGAAATGCGAGTCAGCACTGGTTCATCAATCATATCAAGTTCATCACGACTTACCGCATACATGGCCTTCAGCACGGCATCGCCGTAAATATCCATGTCCATGGATCCCCTACTCTGGATGCTTCCGTACACGTTGCCATTTCCAGCGTCAGCAAAGCCTAGGTCCTCTTTCTGGAATGTCACCATCGCATCACCAATAGCGAGCTTGATCTCTGGCAGGTCGTCCGCGGATGTGGAGGCAGGGAAGACGTAGCCTTGGTTGTTCTGGTCGTATTGAGCGCCGGGTATGGCTTTGTAGACGGCTTCGACAAGAGCGTCATCGACCAGGCAGAGGGTCGTACCAGTATCCATGATGGAGGTGTTGTTGGATCGGTCAACAGTCTGACCATTGATGGTGGCGGATGTAGATTGGATTTGCCAGAAACCTTGGCTGTTGTCAACGTTGGCGTAGTTGGGTTCGGTAGCGCCAGAAGCGGATATGACATCTTGGTCGATGAAACCGAAGGTGTAGAAACTCTGTTGATATGTTAGACAAGGAACGAAATCCGCGAAAGATCAACACCCACTTCTCCCTTGTCGGCTTCATCTGTGTCACGCCAGCTACCAAGGTATGCCGTGAATAGCTGCTCCTTGGCAGTCTTCTGTGCGATGATGTTGTCGACTGGCGTCTTTTGTGGGGTTGGGGAAACAGTGTTGATGGAACTAAACGCCAATCCGAGCAAACCACTTCCATTGCCCTGTGCGAACTGCTGGGATAGCTTCTTTGCAAGCTCTATAGCCTGGTTCTCAACCTTCAGGCCACCCAGGTTCACAACATCGGTGCCTACATCACCACTCGCTGATGATGAGTCGCCGTACGAAATCTTCCACGTCTCGCCATCGAGCTTCTTGAACGAGCTTGACTTGGAAGGATCGAAAGCGACCTGCTGGTTTGAAGGGTTGGCTGAGCTGAGGACGTTCTTGGGAAGCTCGGTGGACCAGACCTACATATCTTAGCACTTATCATAAGTACCCAAGCAGGCTCAACATACCCAAAGATCCGAAGACCCAGTATCGAAATCCAAGTACAGCTTCTGTTCCGGTGTCCCGACACCAACTTCGCAAAGATACAACGAATCGTTCTGGATGTCTTCTGCAGGTACTTCACCCTCAGTTGCCCCGCCGTCGCCTGAGGTTGCGGCTTTACTTTGCGCACCGCCCGGGGCTGATGTTTGCTCTCGCTTTCTGAGAACATAGTGCGATCGCATGCGGCCGCCGACTCGGCCGAACTTGCCTTGCTGCGACATGACCTTGGCTTGGAAGTATGGGCCGGGTTTAGTAGGATGGAAGCCATCTGCTCTTGTTAGCCATGAAGTCTGAGGGCACCAAATGGGACGATGAAAGGGATACATACACTTGGTCATTGCGTAGACGTAGCTCTTAACTCCAGCGGGCTTGTATGCTGGGCTACGTTGAACAGCAAGGCGCTGTAGAGATGCCATGATGTTACTGAACTGCTTGGTTGATGGAAGTGTGGATTTGAGTTATAGGATTTGGGTTACAACATTAGTGCTGTGAAGAATTGAAGCTGAAGAATTGCTCTACTCAAAGTAGCAATGAGGTAGCATATATACCTTCGTACTTTCCACCAACGCATGCATCACACCCACCTTGAAGCAGCAAACCTACCTGCCCAAATTCAAACGCTCCAATCAAGAGCTCTCAACAAGGAACAGGGGGTCACATCGGCCGGACTGTGACATGAGTGGTCATGGGCTTACAAGCATGCGACCAAGCTTTCCAAGCTTTATCAAGCTTTCGTTACGCTCCAGACGATGCATATGGTGCGTCCGAAACATCGCACTTGCAGATCACACGCACGATGATGTGCGATGGGTTACGGCTGTGGTGTTTGGAGATAAGGACCCGAGCGGTCGTAACCGTGACCATGCTGCCTAGGTATAGATGCAGTCGCGCATGCGATGCACGTCGGCCTAGCGATCTATGAGTCTTTAAAAAAAATCCGGGTTCACCTGAGTCGATAAGAGGACTGCGTCAAGATGCGACTTGAAGTCCTATCGGAAGCGCAGTAGACCGCCGCTACTTAGGTGCTTAGGTACTTATCCCCGCATTGTGTGGGGATTCCGCCATGCCCAATCGCAGCCGCATACGTGTCCTACTCGTGCGCAAATAACGAACGAGGATTTTTTTGGTTTGTGTACTGTCTCGACTTCGCCAAACCTGCGTGTAGCGTCGTGTGTATGCGGTGGTGTTTCGAGAAGCACACCCACCTGGGCAGATAGAATGATGACGTCAGTAGCTACGCGTCATCGCTAACGCCAGTCAGGGGACTTATACGTCTCGCCAGCCACTACGTAACATGCTACTCGCCTAACCTTTCGCAAGTACAATCTCATTCACCATAGCCGGTCTGCTTGATCATGGGCATAGGTTTTGTATTAGGCCATGTCGTAGTTTAAGAGAAGTGACAACGCTTAGTACCGGCGCTATCATGGAACTCAGATGTATTCAATAGTAAGACACTATATACGTACTTACAATGAAAAACCATCCGTATCTCTGGAGTCTTCGCTCAAGGGAAAGCACTATAACGAAAGATATAAAACAAGACAATGAACCATCCAGGGTCATACCACCCATGATCACTCCGTCCTGGGTTTGAACATCAGATCACATCGATCATGCCTACTTCGATACCCATTCGCCTCAAACGGTGCCATCTTTTCTGGCGTCGTCTCCGGTGCAACCTCAACTCTAAACGCCCTGAACGTCGCTGCCAAGATGAGTCGCATCTGGTAGGTCGCCATGTTCCCTCCTGGGCAGCGTCTCGCTCCCACACCGAACGGAACAAGCATCTTCCGCCGCTCAGCACTGTGCTCGTCCTCGACGAGCCAACGTCGGGGGTTGTAGGTATCGAAGTCGGGAAAGAGGTCCGGGCGCTGGCGGGACATGCTAAGGGATTGTGTGGTTACGACGGTGCCGGCGGGGAGGTAGTGGCCAAGAACGTTAATACCACCGTCAGGTACGAGGCGTGAACCAGTTAGAGCGACAGGTGGGCGGAAACGCAGACCCTCCTTGATACATGCGTCAAGGAGCTTCAGAGAGTCAAGTTCTTCATAACCCTCATGGTTCGCCACTTCCTTGTATAGCTCTTCCTGAAGACTCGGGTTCTTTGCTAGTTCGTAGTATATGAAAGCCAGAGCCGAGGAAGTTGTTTCAGTAGCAGCAAGAACTTGTCCTGCCATCTCCGCACCAATTTCTGGATCTGTCCATGACTGCTCGACGGGATATTTGGCGTCTGGTGCAGTGAACAACTTGTACACGTTATCAGTTGGTTCTTCACCCACTTCAGCAGCCTGTTTACATAGTGCTGCGCCCAGGTCAAAAAGCTTATCACTGGATCGTACACGGAAGCGTGGGTGTGCGAAAGGGCCGTATTGAAGCCATCTGAACAGCCACTCTGGTAGGCAGAGGCGCCAGACTACGAGGAAATTGTATTCACCGATAACGTGGGGAAAGTCGCTGCAGTCGAGATCAACTCCCGAGCCGCCCATGACGACTTGTGAGTTCTTTAAGGTAGCGATGCGTAGGTGGTATACAATGTCTTCGGACTTTTGACCGTCTGTCCTCGCAAGATCGCGAACCATGGCCTCGATGTTGGTTACAAAGACATCATGCCAGAGCTTCATGTTCTTCGTTGTGGTAGCAATCATTACTGGATGTCGTCTCTGGCGTGCGATGGGGTGTTGTGGGTATGTAACGGTCCAGTCATGACCGCCGACGCGGAGGGCTCGTATGGATGTTGGAGAAGTGTCGAGGTCCTTCCTCACAAAGATTCTCTCCACTGCCTCAGAATCGTTTAGGATGACGAGGTTTGGTGCGATCCTAACTATGGATCCGTATTTTGTCATGAGCTTGTCTGCTTCGAAGGACAGTCTGCCATGCCATCGCTGCCAGCGGATCCAGGCCGATGTTGCTGAGCTGATCCAAGGTCCTGGTATGGCTCGCAAAGGGTCGATATGAGCCCGGTAGATCATCTTGGTGACTTGGGAGACAGCCAGTAAGACCAAAAGAGTTCCGGCGAGTTTCCAACGTAACATATATTCGTTCGCCATCGCCCCTTGGGCGACGGCGGGATCTTCAGCCATTAGGCCGCCTGAGAAGGTGTCGTTCGACATGACAAAGAATACAAAGGGCGATTTTCGAAGAGTAACTCATGCATCAACAAATATCTGACAACATTATATACCTTGCTTAGATACTCATTTCTATATAACTGTTACCCTACCTCTCGCCAAGACAGGGAACCCAAGTACGCCCTCGAGTTGAACCCCATCAGCCCAACGGCTGGGGAACGCTGATCCCCGCGAACTCTAGAGCCTCTAAGTTCGGACCTACTTTGAACTTTATATTCAAAAGGGTCTCGGTAGTTGATGTTACAGGTGTATGGTACATACAGTTGACCACAAATACAAGCAAGCACCAGTGATATCGCTTGTCGCTGAACGTATATTGATCAATAGACGAACTTTGGCATGAAGTCTTGGCGAAAATTGTAGCATGAAAAATACTTAGGACTCTTCGCCTGTTCTCACGTTACTACATATGAACATATCTCCCCGGACGGAGATGGCTCGTATTTGTCAGCCCTGTGATCGTTGGAGTCAACAGCGCGGGTGTAGGTAGCCGAGTAAGCGGCGATGTATGCCATTCTGAGGAGCGTTCGTAACACAGAAGGCCCGATATTTTAACATGAGGTTCAGGAGCGCACATATACGTTCGCCCTCCGTTTCTTGTTTAGGTAGGTCTCGGTCTTCGAAGTGATCGTATTGATTGGCGATCGGCAGTTCCAGAGGCCTAGTCAGCAAAACAGGACGCAAAGCTCCAATGAAAGCGTCGCTGTACTTGGAGAGAGCAGTGCCGAAGTGTTGTTGAGGATCAAGATTTCACTGATGCCCAACAACAGGGTGGAAAGCAAATCTCGAAGTCAGCGTGGTTACGACCTTGATGGCTCAAAGGGTCCATCGGGTGATGATCGTTTACAGCGAAGCCCAGTTGTCATGCAGACTGTGCTCGAACCTCGGACAGTACGCAGGATGTGGCAATCTTCGAGGGATCCGCCGGCGAAAACGTGTTTCACTCCAACAGCAGCGTTCGTGCCCAACATGCGCTGAACTCTTCTCAGCCAATGTGGCGCGCAAGATGCTGCTCATGCTGCGTAATGAAGTGAGTGTTTACAGTTTTGATGTTCTTAAAGGATGTCTTTTACGAATTAGCGGAGTAAAAAGGTTGTGATCATGATATTCATGTCGCTGAGATATAAAAGTTCACAAAAAAAGTTCTATCTCTGTCAGTGACAGTTAAATCTAAGCACGTTGGCAATTCCGTTCAAGGCTAATTTGGGAGTGATGAACGCAAAAGGAACCTTGCACTTCGCAGTACTTTGTCTTGCGACTCTAGACCATGCTCGTAATAACAAACCGAGATGGTTGGCCAGGATAGCTTTCCAGCATTATTGGCGTACATCGTGCAGACATTCGTCGTTATAGAAAGGCACCAACCGCACCACCAATCCGGCATGTGGCCGACATAACATTCAAACGTGCTGCACATGCATTAGGTAGGCAGGAGGTAACGACAAGATGAAGACAATGCCCTTCGTAGAGTTCGAAGACGAGCTTTGAGCCAGCGCGACGCGCACAGACGTTGAGTTCAGCAGGACGTAAGAAATGACGTCAAGATCGGGAGAAAACAAACTTTACCGGTTTAGGTTGCGGATCTACAATACGCGTTCCGTGGGAAGCTTGGACCTTTTCACGTCCCCAACCCCTACCATCGAATATCCCTTTCTACGATCACATCCACATTCGGTGTCATCCGCTCGTGCTTCTATCGTACGCATTTTTCCGCATGTCTTCGCTAGTGTGACTGACGCCTGTGCCCAAGTTACCTATTTCTCTTCTCATGGTTCTCGTCGCAGGCAATAGACACCTCCTGTCCGTGCAGCAATTCACCAGGCTGCAGCTTTGGTGGGCAGTTCGCAATTACTGGCATCAATGCAGCCATCAAGACGCCAAGCCACAAGGCGTCAGTAGACACGGCAGATCCTTTCAAATTACGTGGCCCCTCGGCGTTGGGCCACAGAAAGCTTCCGTAGATGTAACTCGTATGACCAAAACGATTGACCAACGCGATACCTATCGACCTCTTGCGCGTTGGCTGAAACAGAGGTATCGTCGTGTACATCGCGCCAGTCTGAAGGCACAACGTAGCATATTTGACCACGTTCTTGCTGACAAGGATAGCTGCCAGTGCAGCGATTCCAGCAAAGCCGAGCAGGCCAGCGTTGTACCACCTACGGTCTTGGGTCTTGTCCGAAGTCCACGACCTATATGACAGGTATACAATTAGCGACTGTTTCCCAGCTTGCTCTTACACAAAGGATACTTGCCAGAACAGCTGAAACACTGAGCCACAAGTCCAGAGGGGTACCATCATTTACTGAGCACTGGTGCTCTTGTACCCCATTCCCCTGAGCATAGTCGGGATGAAGTATGAAATGATCAGGGCCAGACAATTTGCGGTACAGATGGTTAGAAAGAGATGTGTACGTCCATCTCTGAAAACTGCGAGGAATGCCTGCAATGGCGTGAGGGCTGTTTCTTCCGTATTCCAAGACTGGTCCCTATCGCGGAGGATGCGAACATGAGCAAGAAGGCGTTGCTCTGATGACAGCACCTTGGAGTCGAGCAGCCAGTTGGGAAGGATAAGATATACTAATATTGGTGACAAGTCGGCGAGATCTATACAATTTACGTGCAGAGAATACTCACGCCCGAAGCCACATACAACGGTAATGATGCTCTCTATCACCAACAACTATTGCCAGCCCAGAATACCGCGAGCACCGTCTAGGCTGGATAGTACCACACCTGCCAGAATGCCACCCAGCACTGGAGAAACACAGCCCGAGGCATAAAAGATACAGAAACACTTGCCTAGGGGCCAATGTCAACCACAGTCATTTTTTGGGGCACAGTTAATTGGGGCTTGAGGGACATTTTGAGATCTGACCCAGTTGCAACGGTCCTACCATGTCACAGCCGTACACTCTTGACATATTGGGAGAAGCGCGCCATGTGGGGTGTCGTCTTGCGCTAGAACCTTCACGGAAAGAATGTACGATGAGCGTCTGAACACAACCAACCATCATCATTTGGACATCAGCACACTTACCACATGTCCAGCTTGATGCGAACTCGTCTTTCTGCATGCGATTGTGGCGCCGTTCATAGATCGCAAAGGGCAAGCGGATACGATCTGCATATAGATCGTGAAAGGCTTGGATTTCAGACAAGATAAGATGGGTCCAATTAAACTATCTGTGTACTGCAACTCATTACAACATCTAATTCTCGATGCGTAGTCGGAAACCTATTTACACGTAGATATAGCAGAATGGCCCATCAAGCGTGCTCATCACATCCTTGATCGTGATGTTTTTAAACGTGTCCTGGAACATTGGACCCAGGGTCAGCGTGTCATTCAGCGTGCCATTGCGACTCGGTGGCGAATCCAGGAAGGTAATAGTGCCCGCTATCGCATTCCTCCTGTTCTTGAGGTCTTGATTCTGCCAGATCCACCAAGTGCGGTCAATCTGTGCGTGGTGGAAATAGAAGGCCTAGTGGAGTCAGCAAGCCTGCTTGGTAAGTATGAATCGTGATAGAAGAACTTACGGGGTCGGACGGCGAGTTGAAAAAGTCGGAACCAGCATCTCCTCCAATGGTGTAGTGACCAGCGCTGTGAACGCCAAGGTATCCGGTTGGGAAATCGCCTTGCATGCGGTTCTGGAAGGTAAGAATGTCCTTGCTGTTCTTGATGAGTTCGGTGATAACCTCATCCCTTGACCTGTAAGCAGCATGCTTGTTGACATCTCGACTCAAGCACCTCGGGTTGTAGCCCAAACCGTCAGCTTGCGGGTTCGGCTTGATTCCCTTGACCTTGGATTGAATGGGCCCAATGCCTGTTGTCCAATTTGCTAAAGGACCGGAAATGCAGCCACCGCCGCTTCCAGGCTCAAGCTTGATGGGGCATCCCGCTGCTTCAGAGGGCAGGCAAGTGTAATTCCTTCCGGGAATGTAGGCTCCGGCATCTCCGATACTAGTATCACTGCCGTCGAACAGAGGAGATGGGGCGGGGTCTTCGTGCCACCATGCCCAATTATAGTATGGCAAGTAGCCCTTGTAGCCACACTCGTCACGCAGTAGTTGTTCATAGGCCCAGATATAGTATCGGTGCCAAGATAGGAAGTTGGCCTAATAGTGTTAGCACATCCTGTTGCCCCGTCCGCTGCCATGGCCATTAACTGAGCAAAACAAGTAATTTGACTTTGGAAGATATCCTACATGTTAGACGTACAGTTGCGTGGACGGAATATGTCTGTAACACATGGGTCACGACAAAGTCGTCGAAGCGGCTCTTTGCACCGGGCGCGACCCCAGCTGGCGTAAGAGTAGGTTTGGAGTGGAGACACTTGATGGCATCGATATAGTTTCGCCTCTCAGGCTTTGTGAGCATTGACCTGTAAAGATACTGGTCAACTAAGTGTACTTTGAACGGGGAGTTTGAATATCATACCACTCGCGTCGAACTCTTACGTTCTTCAGTGTGCATTGGCCGGGGTTCGGATAACCATTCTGTGCTACATCAATCCCGACGTTTGCAAGACCAAGAGCTGCCAATTTGTCGTGCTCTGTAATCTTGAAAGCACCGGCACCACTGACAAGCGCTAGAGCCGTAATATCGAAGAAGCGCATATTGGTAAACGACCGGTGTTGATGGCGCACTCGTGCTTGTGTACGTGGAGAGAAAAGAAATTGACAAGAGACCTAGAAAGGGGACTTCTCTGGTGCGTCTGAAGTCCCTTGGACGATGTTGCTCTTCATATATACCTGGCGTTAGCTACATGCTGGTGCTCTTGGCTCATTTCTCCCCTGCAAGACAACGTGTTCGCGAAGCGAGCAACATGCGTTGCCGACTCAGGACCTGGAATGAAGGATCTACTCTGCCATACTACGCCGCACTCTGGATCTTTAGATGAAGCTCCGTAGGATCCATGGCGCGGGATTTAGACAAATGACTGGACGGAACGGCGGTACATCAATTCAACGAGATGCAGACGGATTCCTCCTGCGTTAGGCAAACTTGTTGGGTAACGTGAGCAACCCTTCCTCAACCCTTGTACAGGATCAGATCTAATTGCTAGTGGACCTCATTGCTCCGCTGCAACTAGCTTGGTGTACACGTAAGTGCCATATGTGGTAATGGATGTGATGCCTCAGGTGTTTATGTTCTTGAGGTCAGCAGGCGAAACTGACACAAATGTCATCTCAACTGACGTGCGAGAGGATTTAGGGAAAAAGCCGAGCCTGTCACTTACACTGCCGTGAAAAATGATGAGAGAATAGAGGCTGACGATGGTAGTGCCCAGGGGCGATAACTTTGACCCGCACCCGCGCCGCAATGCCAAGCACGCCCGCGGTGGCTCGGGGCATCGAGCCGCATCTTCATCTCTCCACCTCCCCACCACCTTTCACCGCTAATCATTCAATCACTTCGCTTCCATCCGTGCTTGGCCACAGAATCCATGTAAGATGCCGTCTCATCTGTTTTTGCTACATGCGATAGAAACGTCAGCTGTGAGTTTGATGTTTGTTAAGTATATCACTTCTGCTCAATCAAATATTCCACCCTCTACGTTGATAGACTTAAACATGAGTTCCCATTAGCTTCTCGGTCTATCACCATGCCGTATATCGGCCACGTCCGATATGTGAACTTGAAAAGGCTTGCAACCACGCCGCAACCCTGCTGCGCACAAATAGAGACCTAGATTGGAACGCGATGTGTCAGGCTTTGTGGAATAATTCACTCCGAACCATGTCCGTTACTTGACCCACCCGATGCTTACCATTCTTACCGTGAGCCTGGTTCGTAGTCTTAAGATCTTGGGAGAACCCGTTATTTCGAGAATGCTTAAGTCGAGGCATGCATTAGCCCATGCATTAGCACGTTGATCAGTTCACTCCAACAGGAGCTCAAGGGGTGTGAGAACCAAGCTTCTTCGGCCTCACCTTTGCAATGGTTATGTCGCTTCGAGTTCCGCCAACCGAGCTGGTTCTCGATGCCAAGACTACCTAGCACAACCATATACACGGGAACAGAGGATGGGCTTTACTTCACTGTGAGGTTTCAGCAAGAGAGATTAACACCCTGGGAAGCCTCTCGTTTATGCCGCGCCGCAGTATGATGGCGTTTTGTAAGGCGGTGCATGATAAGTACAGGACTCCCTGTAGCGCTTCAGAAATCGCAAAATTATCTCCCATCTCTCCACTACTACTCTTCAAGCGTTCTCTGCACAGTCACCATGTCGGGTACCAATCCGGCTGGTATAAATTCGGACCTCTCAAATCCTGATTACATTGCCTACACCAACTCACCCCAGCTCCTGACACAGGCCGGCATCCTATTCGGAGTCACAGCCTTCGTTATCTTCCTAAGATGCTACGTCCGAGTTGTAATGCTGAGATGTTTTGGCAAAGACGACTGGACAATGCTACTTGCATTTGCATTCGCCACGGCAACTTTCGTCGTGTATGCTGAACAGACTAAAGTGGGCTTGGGGAAACATCTTTCGGTCATGCGGATGGACACGGAGATGGAACGACAATTTCTGAGACTTCGCCAAGTGCAATCGATTATTGTTGGCATTGGGGTCGGGTTGGTCAAGATATCTATCGCTTACTTCCTGTTGCGGCTGGTTACAAGAAAGGTGTATACATTGTTTTTACGAGGGTTTATCGTCTTCATGGTCTTGTTTACCACGGCTTGTATTGGGACACTAGGTATGAGACTGCGAGATGGTGATGAGTGGGCTGCCTGACTGACTATGCAACAGTGAGTTTGACTTTGTCTGCCTAGAACGACAAGATGGTATTCATCTGTAACCCAAACTGATCTTACTTAGATTTGGCAGTGCATCCCTGTGGCGGCTACATGGGACCTCCGACTTCGTCCGCCACCAATCGGGTCAGGCACTGCCGTTTGTTTCAGCGCACCAACATTCACAGCAATAGGCATGATGAACACAGGTTAGTCAACCTCCTCCTTCTATTGTCATCCACTTATATCCATCTAGCCGTTACGATCAGCACAGACTTCCTCCTCGCTCTCCTCCCAGTCCCTTTCGTATGGCAACTTCAGCTCAACGGCCGCACAAAGATAACCTTAGTTTGCATCCTAGCGCTTGGGCTGTTCGCTGGTGTTGCCGCCATCATCAAGTCCGAGAAGCAAAAGACCGCCCTCATCGACCCGGATCCATACATCGACGATACATTCACCATGTGGCGGTTCATTGAATACGATGTCGGAATTATCGTTGCGTCATTACCATCGCTCAAGCCTCTGTTCAAACATATTCTTCACAATGGTACAAGAGGCACGACGGTGAGCTCAGGACATCAGATTGTGAATAAGGTGAGGTGTTCTATGCGGAACAAGGTAGCGGACGACGACGAGGTACCGCTGGAAAACTACAAGGGGGTTGGTAACTCGGTTGAGGTGTCTTCGGGTTTGCCAAAGACGCCGGTGGATGGTAAGAGTAGTGAGGAAAGCGTGAGACCTTTTGGGTCGAACGCTATATTTGTCGATACGAAATGGCGCGTGAGCTGAGCAATGTTCTGACCAGTATGGTTGTATGGCTAGCGTCGGGAATGGAAGGACTTGTGAATGAATACGTACTCCAGAATGCCAATTATTGTATCTTCCATTGTCTCGTGTATGACCCTGCCACCAAAGTTGACTTTGATCACATATCCCCCAGCCTGCTAGTCCGCACCACCAACACCCATAACACCTCTACCAAACCACTCACTAATAACAGCAAAACCATCCTTACCCCTCTTGAGCGCATCCTGGAAGAGATCATGCCTCTCCGCGCTCTCCACTTGCGCCCTCCGAATAGCCTTGACGGTCGCATTGTTCGAACTACAAATCGGACATTCGACCTCTGCATCATGCACATCCTCATCCGTACTCAAACAGCTCTGATGATAGCTATGTTTACACAAAAAGTGCACAACAGGCAACTCAAGACTCTTCATGCAAACCTGACAACGTGAGTTCTGGAACACCGCGGGCTTGGTGTTTAGATTCTCGAGCTCATGTTTCTTGGCAGAGGTATCGGAGCGGAAAGTCTCAATATTGCGGCGGTTCGCAGCGATTTCTGCGCGCTCACGCTCGATGGTGGTGCTGAGGTAGGCTTTTATCATGCCCATTGTTGCGACGCCGTTGGTAGAGAGGGTTTGTATTACTTGGAGGGGCGCCATGAGGCCGTCTTCGTCGATCTTCTTGAGGACTGAGTCGAGTTCGTCGCCGGCTTCTGCGAGGATCTCGGGGGTGGAGGTGAAGTAGGCGAGGGCCGCAGGGTAGAGTGCTGGTTCCTCGGGGCCGTACTTGCGAAGAGCGCGAATGGCGCCTTGGGTGTCGTTTGCGGCGGTATAGGAGCGGAATATGTCGAAATGCAGTCCTTGCTGTTCGCGGACGAGAATGGCGCCGTCACGGAAGTTGGAAAGATGGGAAAGAAGTAACACATTGGATGTGTCTATTGGTATATCCTTGCCTTCAACAAGCTTCTTGGCTTTGTTCTCCCACTCTTGTCGCTCGCCGTCCTTCTTCGATGATGCAGTGTGGAGGTACATTTCGAACAATGTGGTGTACAGATCGACTTTGTCATCCTCGCGGAGGTCATCGGATGCGATACACGCCTCAAGGAAGACTATAAACTCTTGAGGGTGATCGACGAATGCGGAGAATGCAGTTCGGGGTTTCGGTACTTTGTATTCTGGAGCGGGTTCATCTGTGGTCGTTTCGACAATCTGTGCTTGGCTCATAGTGCTCTTCTGTTCGCCGCTGGGAGGAGATGCTAAAGCATTAGTGTTCATGTACGGCAGCGGAAGTAGTGCAGCAAGGTTTTGCACAGCACTTGATGCCACTCCTAGACCCATACTCATACCGCCGCCTCCTCCCGATGCAGGCGCGTTCGGTATGACGATAGCATCCTTCTTAGGTCGGAATGTTCCGGTGTAATAGTCAATGAATAGCTGCGTCGTGTCCTTGGGGATGTGTTGCAACAGGATCGTCGCGTACTTCATGAGGTTGAAGTAGGCTACCTCCGGCTCCAATCGCCATACGTAGGCCAGGGCTTCTGCATACCGCTTTGAATCCTCAATGAGTACATCGACGACGAGCTCGTGTTCACCGTGTTTTCGAGCAAGGAACGCCGCTTGGTCGTAGTAGCCTCCCTGTCGACACATCAAGATGGCGGTATCGAGGTCGAACTTGAGATCGTCTGGTGACTTGATGAACTCCTCAAGCTTTTCTACGTCCTTTAACTTAGCGTAGCAGTTCAGGAGGAGAGTTGTGTGATCCGATGTGGCTTTGTGATGATCGTGAAGCTCCTCAAGGTACTCTATCAGGTTGTGTATCCTTTGCGTGTCAAGGAACTGCATCAAACGTTAGCATCTGTCCTATTGCGGATCAACCATAACATACCTTTCGGATAACCTGAGATGGTTCGGTATTGTCGATAGCCTTCAGATACTGTTGCATAGCGGTATCATAATCCTGCTTGGAATACAAGTAGTCACCAAACTTCCGGAGGATTATGTTTTGTTGTGACGAATCCAGTCCGGCTTTCTGGGCCAAATTGATGGCCAAGACGTATAGGTTGCGCTGATACAGTATGTCGAGCTTCTGCGCAAAGGGTTTCTCATGGTATCTGAAGATCTTGCCGTCCATTGTGAAGACGAACAGATCGCCCCATTCGGAGATGACGGCCTTCACTTGCGACGTTAGTTGCTCCTGATGTGCGACGAACCTCAACTCTGTGTTGAGCAGCGTAAAGCTTGACGTGTTGAAGACATCATCGGCGGCACCGATGCCAAAAGTACGGAGAGGATTCGACCGGGGCATCGCATTTGATTTGGGGGGTGCGACTATCGCAACGTAGTCCTTGAATGTGGATATCATCTTCTTCTCACCCTCATATGTGTACGGTGGTCCGCGGCCATGTTGGCCGTAGTAGTATATGGCGTCGCTTCGCGCGACCACAACATCCCGCGATACCTTATCCACGGCCATGCAGCCCACACCACAGCCATACTCGTCGAGAGACTTCGCAGGCTGTCCTTGGCCCCTTCCAGATATTACGAGTGTCATTATACGTCCAGTCGTTGCAATGTACAAGGTCGTGATGCTCCCTTCTCTGAACTCTATGCCAGTGATTGGCTCCTCCGACTCGAATACTGTCCTTTGTCGCGCACCGCGGTCGTGTATCAGGTCGCCCCGAACAACAGTCACGGCTCCATTTGCGAATCCGACGGCAAGTTGTGAGAGATCGTCGAGGGCGGCGAAAGCGGATATAGGGAACTGCTTGCGCCCGTTGTGGATGGTGAGGGTGCTCTGACATCGCGGAATGCCCGTCTTCTTCTCCAGCTTGTCCAAAGCCCATACTTTCAGCACTGGCTCCCCAGAGAGGTCTTCCGCAATGGTGACGAGAAGAGAAGTGCCCTCAACCTGCTTCATATGGGTAATTGCACCTGCGTCATGGGCCTTGAATGCGCGCACAACCTTGAAGGCCTGCGACACGATCCGAACGATGCCATCTGCACTGCCGAAGAAGATGCTTTCTGAACCAGATACGATGCACGTGATATTCCCGATCTATTGACACTTATGAGACTGTGTAGCTAGGTATGCGTACATGTATCGTCATACCTCGAGCAGGAAGGAGCTCTCTTCGTCGGGGAGCTTGACTTGCGAGACGTCGAAGAACTTGAACTGCCACTGTTCGCGCATTAGTCTCGTCATGTTGTGGAGCAGAGAGTGAATGAGCGAATACACACCGGAGTGACTGCCATACTGCTATCGCTCCATAGTCGCCCGTTGCCTGAATGGCAAGAGCTATCGTCACTCGCGAGTCCCATGGAAGCTGCGGGCAAGCAAGTGCAACCGTGCACGCCCACCCAATCAGCAGTCACCAAGCATGCGTGGCAGTGTCGGTGCTTGGCGCGACCCTCTGTCTTGTCCTGTTGCCTCGCGCTCTCCCTTTTCCTCATCTCACTCTCACACTCCTCACCATATAATACACCCTCCCCATCTGCCGTTCATCATCAGCAGTTACCAGAACCCGCGCTACTCTCTCTACATTCGCGCAAGCCCACTTTGACTCCTCATTCTCCGAGTCTCACCACCTGCGACGCGCCCTGTCATCAAACAGCGCGCCCCTTTGTCCTCGCAGCCTTACACCGGTTCAGTCGCACCTCCATCAAAGAGACTTTTAGCCTTCGCTGCTTTATCTGCTCACGTCGCCCACTCGACACCAGCGCGCATTTCCATCAACGCCCGCTCAACCAAGTATTACCGTCCCTCAACCACTCATCAACATGTCTTCAAACAAGATGGAGCAGAGCCTCGACGACATCCTCAAGGCCTCCAAGACCTCTCGCCGTGGCCGCAGCGCACGCAAGTCCGGCGCTGGAGCTGGACGACCGGCCGCCGCCGCCGCTCCCGTAGGCGGCGTTTCCAAGTCGACCAAGCCGCAAGGCAGGCAGCCCAAGGGAGCCCCCACCGCACCCGCCGCCGCCTTCGCTGGTGAGACCAAGATCATGGTATCCAACTTGGTATGTCAGATCAGGCAATCGCACACGAAAACCACTAACATTTCACAGCCACGGGACATTGACAATGCCCAACTCCAGGTATGTAAGACCGATGCAGGTCTTTGAGCCTACTGCAGCTTCGCTTTTGCAAGCATATACGAATCCGATCCGACGAACCGAGCCTTTCTACTCCACAACCGGTATGGATGTTGAGCCATAGCTTGCCCAAAGTCACGCCGAGATCTGTGTTGGGCACACAAGACTGGTACAAGACTAGCAGCATGCGAACACTCCAAGGTACCGCGACGACGAAAGTGGGTGATCCAAGTCAAAAGCTACACTTTGCAAGTGTAAGCAAAGACGGCAGCGCACCGGTGACATATTCCCGGTAGCCTTGCGGCAACTCTAGGCGATCAACGGAGCAGCGAGAAGCGAACCCAGATCCAGTTACGTATAGCCATATGGCTTTCAGAGGGGTGGGCAGACATCACAAGACTGGTTCGCAACGTTCCAACACGTTACTCGCAATAACTGCTCTCGCGCTGAGTATGCTTCGTCTCAGTGAACATTGTGTTCACTGTATTCTGACCAGGACACCCACTTTCTGAGCGTTATCTACTGACCGTGTAACATGGAATCGACGAACACCCACCGCCGACGCCGGAACCTCTTTGTCAATCATGCATTTGCGCGAATTTAACCCCTGGTACGACGACTAATACGCCTTGTAGGACTACTTTGTTTCAGCTGTTGGTGTAGGTCGCCCCAAGAAGGTTCTTCTCCAGTACGATGCCCAGGGCCGTAGCGTCGGTAGCGCTACTATCATCTTCAACAAGCACGACCAAGCCGCCAAGGCCACCGCTGCTCTCGATGGTGTCAAGATTGATGGTCGCCCTGTCCGCGTCGAGATGCTGGTCAGCGCCGCCGCTATCCCTGCTACAACTCGCCCATCTTCGCTTGCCGACCGTGTAACGTACGTACCAATCATTCCTTGTAGAGTAGTCAGCAACTAACAAGTTTTCAGTCAGCCCAGGAAGGACAAGCCAAAGCCTGCTACTGTCGAGAAGACTGCCCCAGGTGCCGCACGCGGACGTGGTCAGACTACTCGTGGTCGTGGAAAGGGCCGTGGAGGTCGCGAGGCTCGTCCCAAGAAGAAGACTGTAGAGGAGCTCGATGCTGAGATGGCTGATTACTTCCCTGGTGGCGAGTCTAACGCTGCTGCCGGTACCGCTGAGGTCGCCCAAATCACCGCCGGCGGTGATACTGCCATGGACGATGAGATGCTCTGAGCTCCTTCTGCCTCGAGACGTCCTCCACTCATTTCAGTTTTCACGGTTTAATCGAGCACCAACGAAAATAGTTCGGCTTTTCTGCCAGTCGGTCTGCTTTCAATCTTTCTTTTCTTGGAGGCGTCATCTTTTCGGAAATAGCTTTTAGCGCTGGACACGACTTGACTTTGTACTTTACTCACGGACGTTCATGTACGGTTCTCAAATTGCGATATGAGCTTGAGATAGCTTTATTTGAAAATGGCTATGGTCTCAGACATGATGAAGAATTATCTACGCCATGTCGGCTTCCTGTTGTGATATTCTTCCTTAAAAATCGCGCCTGGCTACGTTTGCATGTTCCTGGTTATTTCGAAGCTGAGAACGAATGGGACACGAATACAATGCTGATCCATACGCACGCCGAATTGATAAGCAATCGTACCCACACAATTCGCCGTTAAGATGTGGAGATGGAGATGATCATTCCCACGTGGACGCAACATCAGCATTGACATGCTAGAAAGAGAAGATCACATGCGGGATGTACGAGCTTGGGAAGCTTCCTGAAAAAGTTGGCCATGTACAGCGAGCGGAATTGCTCCGTGCTCTTAGCTCCAAACAACTTTGCAACAACACCTAGATGTGAATTACACTCGTGGCTGATTGGGTCGGGCGTTTGAGGCACGCATATCACACCATCATCTGTCCATGTGTACTCTACTGCCCTCTGGTTGACACCGTCGTTGCCTTTAAACAGTTCCTATTCGCGCCGCAGTACCCCTTCGTGCGAAAGTCTCACGCCAGCATCATTAGTCAAATTTTGTCGCACTTTCCCCGCGATTGATTAGGTGGTGTGGAGGCCCGCGGCTATCTTAGTCTCCGACCAGGATATGGCTGGGTGAAAGGAGCATTCATCCGATGCAGCTTACGCATCGGACGAGCTGGATTTTTGAATACTAAACTTTTACAAAGCATCTTGTCTACGTAAGAAGAGCAGATATCTCTTGGCTCGGTGTATGGATTAGAGTTGTCCCTTGACACACGGGTGCTCGCTCGAAAACGAGCCGAGCTCGCTGTGGGTACGACGATATGGGTTATAGGGCTGCCACTTCGGAGTTAGTGCTGTGGCTCCGATGGTGGGTATGTTTGGCTTGTTACGTGTCTAGAGCACCGAGGTTAGTACTGCAAGTTATGCACCTCAAAACACGCTGTATAGAGACGGCCACGCGACGTAGGTGGAGATCCGCAAACTTTTTGCGGATGCGCATGAGTTGCCAATAGGTGTCTATTCCAAATTGGAGTGTCAAGTACCGCGTGTAGCAGGGTTAGTTGCGGCTTCAGCGACTCCCAGAGGAGAACTGCGGGGGAGGGGTAGCTTACCACTGGTTACAAGAGCGGGGCAGGAGCTTCCGTCGTTGCATTTAGCGCCACCCGGCCATGCATTCATGAGACATGCAATAGGCTACAGAGCTTTCTCGAGACGGGCTCCTGATGGCCGAGGCTGTCTGGGCGATCGTACTGCTGTCCCTTTGTCAAGTGGAGATAACCTCTAGTGTCGTCATGCGGAGCTCCTGAAAGTACTTAAGATTTGGCTGTGCCTCTACCCCTCATCCACTTCACATCTCTGTTTTCTTCATATACCCCAATTTGTTTTCACAGTCATGACATCTGTAAAGCTCACAACCCCCCAGACGGGTGAGTATGAGCAGCCCACCGGCCTGTAAGTCAGATATCAGGCGTCCGATAATCTTCGGAGGCTTTGCAATCCTTCGGTATTGCCTTTTTCTCCGTGCTAGTACTGACAGTTCACCCAGCTTCATCAACAATGAGTTCGTGAAGGCCCAAGACGGCAAGACCTTCGAGGTCATCAACCCATCCACTGAGGAGGTCATCTGCAGTGTTCAGGAGGCCACCGAGAAGGATGTTGACATTGCTGTCGCCGCCGCCCGCAAGGCCTTCAACGGCCCATGGCGGAAGGAGACACCAGAGAACCGAGGAAAGCTACTTGTCAAGCTCGCCGATCTTTTTGAGAAGAATGCCGACCTTCTTGCCTCCGTTGAGGCTCTCGACAACGGTAAAGCCTTCACCATGGCTAAGAATGTTGATGTCCCCGCCGCCGCTGGTTGCCTGAGGTACTATGGAGGATGGGCCGACAAGATTGAGGGCAAGGTCATCGACACAGCACCTGACAGCTTCAACTACATTCGCAAGGAGCCTGTTAGTTAACCTCTCATTTCTTGTTTGAATCTTGTAGCTGACCTTCTCAGATCGGTGTTTGCGGTCAGATTATCCCATGGAACTTCCCCCTTCTCATGTGGTCATGGAAGATTGGTCCTGCCATCGCCACTGGTAACACGGTCGTCATAAAGACTGCTGAGCAGACTCCTCTCTCCGCATATGTTGCTTGCAAGCTCATCCAAGAGGCTGGCTTTCCACCAGGTGTCATCAACGTCATCACTGGTTTCGGAAAGGTCGCCGGTGCTGCCATCTCCGCCCATATGGACATTGACAAGGTTGCCTTCACTGGTTCAACTGTCGTCGGTCGTCAAATTATGAAGGCTGCTGCTGGCTCTAACTTGAAGAAGGTCACTCTTGAACTTGGGGGCAAGAGCCCCAACATCGTTTTCGCCGACGCAGATCTTGACGAGGCTATCCACTGGGTCAACTTCGGTATCTACTTCAACCACGGACAGGCTTGCTGTGCTGGCTCACGTATCTACGTCCAAGAAGAGATCTACGACAAGTTCATCCAGCGCTTCAAGGAGCGGGCTGCCCAAAACGCTGTCGGTGACCCATTCGCCGCGGACACCTTCCAGGGTCCTCAGGTCTCAAAGCTCCAGTTCGACCGTATCATGGGGTAGGCATTATTATGTTCGCATGAAACGCTGTCACTAACTTCAAATCCAGTTACATCGAGGAGGGCAAGAAGTCCGGCGCAACCGTCGAAACCGGTGGCAACCGCAAGGGCGACAAGGGTTACTTCATTGAGCCCACCATCTTCTCCAACGTAACCGAGGACATGAAGATCCAGCAAGAAGAGATCTTCGGTCCCGTCTGCACAATCTCCAAGTTTAAGACAAAGGCCGACGTCATCAAGATTGGCAACAACTCCACCTACGGTCTTGCCGCCGCGGTCCACACAAGCAATCTCACCACTGCCATCGAGGTTGCCAACGCACTCCGCGCGGGAACAGTCTGGGTCAACTCTTACAACACTCTACACTGGCAGCTGCCATTCGGTGGTTACAAGGAGTCTGGTATTGGCCGTGAGTTGGGTGAGGCGGCGCTGGACAACTACATCCAGACTAAGACGGTATCGATCCGTCTTGGTGATGTGCTGTTCGGTTAAGCGTTGTGTGGGTTTTTAATGAAGGATCTCATAGGTACTATGTATAGTTCAAGTAATTATGAAGAATCTGAATGAATGTGAAGAATCACAAACAATGAAATAAGATGTGATATACTTGCAATCAATGTGCTTCCTAAACAATCGACTCGTCTAGGATATCTGTTATATATCAAGATGAGTCACGTATCACCAAGACTATCTAGGGCTATGGAAGCTGGCAGAGAAAGCTTATCACCCCACCCCACTTCTGCAACAAACCTTGGAACCCTCCCAGACGACACCACCAATTTCCCATCACACGTCGAATAAGTTCCATCCCATCGATCCGCCATACTACCGCTTACCCACCCCCATCACCATAAAACATGGCCCCTCTAAACATCAATCCACCTCTCCTCAACTCTGCAAACCCCTGGTGTACAACTCTCTCTCAACTTCAAGACCTCTACAACAGTGCCCACACAGGCGCTATCACAACCCGCACTTCCCTTCTAAACGGTTTCCCCCATGACCCCACACACCACCAATTCGCCTTCTTCAATCCCTCCACTCACAAGTCTAGCACCCCCAACAAAGATCTCGGGGGTGACGCCAGCACGACGGGAGTTTAAACACACTGGGATACTCGCCCATTCCACTCTCCGAGTACCTTGATTTCGTACAAGCCATCAGCAATGGCCTGGAAGATGCGCCACCGAACGGAAGAACAAGCTTCAAACCGGTCATCATCTCCGTAACTGGTTCCGTAGAAGAAATACCCCAATGTTACCGCGCAATCCACGCCCTGCAACCGTCGGTAAAAATGCGCCTAGCCATGGAAATCAACCTCTCTTGTCCCAACATCCCCGGAAAAACACCGCCAGCATACGACTTCGCTGCATTGCAAACATACCTCGCAGCGCTCAAGACGGAGATCGACGTGGCCATCGTACAGGCGGGTGGAATCGATGAAAGCAAACGCGTCGCGATTGGCATCAAGATACCGCCGTATACGTATCAAGAACAATTTGAAGGATTGATTGGTGTGCTGAGGGAAAGCGTGGACATGACACCAAGATACCTGGCCTGCCCCATCGACTTCATAACGGCAGTAAACACTTTGGGTTCTTCCCTCCTCTTGTCCTCGGACTTGGAAACCTGCCTCCCCACCCTGGCCTCAGCAAACGGCTCCGGTATAGGTGGTCTAGCAGGAGCACCGTTGCATCCGCTTGCGCTGGGAAATGTGTATACGATCAGAAATATGCTGGATGTGCATGCCGATTTGAAGGGGGTTATGATCATAGGGACAGGGGGCGTGGAGGATCAGGCCGGGTTTGAGAGAATGAAGAGTGTGGGGGCTGGGGCCGTGGGAGTAGGGACAGCGTTGGGGAGGAAGGGCGTAGACGTTTTTGGAGTGATTGAAAGAGGATTTTGAGATGGTGAACGACCCTGTGTCATACATAATTTGCAACTCATACCACTCCACCACTACGATAAACGACAGTTTCAAACATCCGAAATTCTGAATTAATGAGCTAGCACTACCCTACTTTTTAAGAACATAATATACAAGAATCCCAGTCGAAAACACTCACACCAATGACCCCGCGAATCCCAAAATAAAGCAACACAAAGGTTTTCCGCCCATGAATGCTGCGCCGATGCATGCCAGAGTGCCAATTTCATTATCCTTTGTCTTCCAGGGTACGCCCAACGCCATGCTTGCATCCCAAAGCGAACGATATAAAAGGTCAAAACGCCGAATAAAAAGAACAGAACAGACGTATCGGGTATGCGACTTCGTGCGCTCTGTGTTTGTTGCTCTTCCTCCTCTTTAAAAGCTGACATAGCCTGTATCCTCGCCGCCAGCATCGTCCATCCAACCAGCACCCACCTCGCCCAATCCCGGGCCATGATGGTGATTTCGCGCCATTCCTTCACCTTCGCCTCGCTCGACCCATTCTTCGTTGATGTCATTCCAGATGCGCTGGAAGTAAAGGCGCAGCGACCGTAGACCACGGAGATAGCCTCTATCGATGCCATCGGGATTCTGGGGTGGACAAGGTAAGTCGTCAGGTAGAGGATCTTCCGCGGTTACACAGTTGGCGAAGTCGACAATCTTGAGTTTGATCTCTCCATGCTTCTTAGGTGCCGGTTTGGAGGTGGCTACCGGCCCGGGTGAGGTAGGTCCAGAGGGTATTACCGAGACGTCTTCGTTGCTCGGGTTCGACAAGCCATTGGGCAGAGAAGGTGACGCATCTTTCTCCTTCGACTCACCGTCCCCACGGTCATAGAGCATCAACAAGCTGCTTGCGTAGAATCTGTATCCTGGCAGTTTCCGTATCATGCGCTCAAGCTGACTGATCTTATCCAGTATGACAGGTATATGCCTTGTTGCCGCTTTGTAGCTCGTTCCGTCCCAGAAGAAGCGCTTTAGTGCGTCCTGGAATTCTTTTCCAGCTTTTAGGTCTCGACCAAAATACTTGTCCTCAAAGATGTAGCTTTGAGTCTTGGCATTCCAAATCTGCATGCCACAAACCCGTACGCCGAGCTGAGCACTGGTGGTCATCTGACACTTGCGTCGCTGGGAACGCTGTTTCTTCTCATCGGCTTCAACACCATACTGGCGCGTACCCATCTTCAGATCCAATACACATGGCCTGGTCATTCCTGCAGTAAGGTCTTCGAGAAGGATGAAGTGTTGGACGCGTTCATCAGGCTGTTGCTGTGCTTGATCAGGGTTGGAGGGTTCCTCCTTTTGCGGAGCACTCAGACTATTAGGCGCAGCAGGAGCTGGTAGCATGGTGCCCTCGGATGGTTCGGGGGGATTGGAACCATTGGGTGCGTCAGGGCCTTGTACAGATCGACCCCTATTCTGATCTTTGCCTTCGGATAGGGCGTTGCGATCCTCATCCATGGTAAACACTTCCTCTTCTGCATCACCACCATAACCGTCTTCTTCATAGTATTCTAGGTTATGTCTCTGGACAGTATCTATCCCCAAAGGCCTCCTGGTAAGTCCGCTGCCAGAATGACGACGGCGGGGAAGATTATTTGGCGCCGGCTTCAGTGTCTCGGCGTTAGTGTCTGGTCGTCCAAGCGAACTAGACGTGACAGAGTCAGCGTTTCTCTCGGAGGCATAACGGTGCGCTTCAGCTTTCAGGACTTGTTTCCGTGTACACTCTTCCGTGAGTGGTGGGTGCAACCCAGACACATCCGTGCTATTTCTCCTGATAGTAGGCGCAGAGCCAGCCACGTTTTGCGGCGCATCTCCTCCTGGCTTACGAGGGGAGATGCCGTGGTGGTGGTGGCGCGGCCGATGATGGATGGTCGGCGGTGCGAAGACCTGGCGAAGTACCTCCTCTTGTAATTTTCTGTTGATGGTCGTGACACCCCAACTGCTAGTATGTTGCAATGGGGGTCGTGCTGGGCTTGTAGAAGTACACCCATAGTCGCTTTGGTTTCGCCGGTGTTGCTGGGATAAGAACGATGCATTCCTCATCCAAGGATCTGGAGTGGTAGAACGTGGTGGTACCCGGAACAAATTGTCTGGGATGATGTGCCGATTGTTCTCAAAAATCACTTGAGGAATGGTCGTGCCGACTTGTTGCGAGTGGCTAACCACTCGGGGTTGTTCCGCATTGCTCCGATCTTCAGGAGCTTTAGAGGCCTGCCTGGAGACGTTTTCTGATTGTGTTGCAGAAGCAGTGGGCGCAGCATCGGATTTGGCCTTGTCCTTGGCTGCTTTTTTCTTTCTGGGTGCTTTACGATATGTCACATTCAAGACGCCAATGTACCTAGAAGATAGCAAAGTTAGCATATGTTTCTATCGGAAGATGGGACAAATGCAAGGATCTTTGCTGAAGTCTCGGCTTCGATCAATAGCGAGTTGGACAATGCTTACCTTGGCAGAAATTCCAACAGCTCTGGATGCTGACGTTCTACCGTTTCGTAAAACTCGTTTTCTCGATTGTTTAGTTGCTTGCAAACTGCTCGCCTGGAGAAACGGTAGACAGTAGAATGACCGCCCACTTGGTGATCATATGGCTTCAGCTCTACAGCTCCCAGTGGGGCTGGCGGCTGAGCTACGTGAGGCGCAACGGCTTTAGCTTCCTGTTTGTGCGTAGTCGCAGTGGGCGTTGTTCCTAAGTCATCAGTCGCACTGGATTCATAACCAAGAAGTGATTGTGTAGACTCGGCGAGCGACTCAGACTCAGATTCAGCTGAAAACGCATCGGTAGCGGACGTCAGCGGCTGTTCTTTATCTTTCTTTACGGAAGTCGCCGTGGAGATATCACCATGAAGGCATTGATTGGTATCTTGAGCTTGTAGAGAAATTTCTACTTCTTGGGGGGTCTGAACATCCTTCTCTGTGGCCCAACCTTTTGGCCCCGCAACCTCGTGAGTTGAAGTCCTCTTCTCGACAACATCCACCTCTCTATCTCGGTTCTGTGTTTCTGTAGAGACTTGCTCACTTGTCTTGAGACGTCGATGGGGGAAGTACAGAGCTGACGAGATTTGCTCCTTTTCCGACTCGTCGTCTTCCTCTGAGCCTGGCGTACGTTCTGTGCTGCCTCCATCTTTGATCTGGAAGTAGTCGGACGGCTTGTGATAGTGTGCCGCTCCATTCGTTGGTGCATGCACGTGGACTTTATCGACAGCCGATGTGGGAAGACTACGTGAGAGCAACGACCTTGGGTCCGCGCCGGGGATCAGGTTCCCAAAGCCACGGATATCCTCGAGAAGACGTCGCGGGAACTGTCGCTTGTCTGGAGAGCTCGCAACGAGTCGCGTGCTTCCATCGGGAGGAGTTGAGATGACGCCTGGCTCTGTGCGAGCTGCCACGTTCGTATCAAAGTATGACTCAGTTGGACCGCCCAGAGGCGACTGTACGACAGAAGAAGCCAGTGATGCGCGACGCAATTGGTTAATCAGAGCGACCGACTCGTTTGTGGCTTCTTCTGAAAGCGTTGACAAGGTTCTCTCGGCGGACGGGCGCTCTTTCGCCTTGTTGTCCTTCTTCCTTGGTTCTTCTGTAGGATCGCCATCCTTGAACACACGCAGATAGTGGCTTGCCTTTCGACTGCGGGCTGATGTAGGTTGCTCGGTCTTGGCAAGTGTCGCTTCTATCTTCTTCTCCATTTCCACATCCATGACGGGCTGGTCTGTGGCCGTATTGCCCTTGAACGGTACAGGCTTTCCTTCGCGCCATTCTCTATTCCTGCGCCTCTCTTCGCTCTCAAGTAGAGCCTCGTAGTGGAGCTCGGGACGTGGTGGGGTGGTGGGGTGCTGTACTGGCGAGTCGACAGGGCTCATGTAGGGCGGAGGACTGTGATGGATGGCGTCGAACACCATACCAGCTGCAATGGCTGTGCGAGGGTTGAAAGGGGTAGTTAGGACGGCGTGGTGGTCGATTGAAGATGTCGGTGGGAGGGTAGAATGTTTTCTACGTATGATGGGCGGGTCCATCAATCGCCTCTGGGGAGGTGCTGGCGCTGCCATCTCTGACAGACTGTGTTCGGGAGCATCGTTGACGGGATCTACATTGCGTGCGCTGCTCCGTGGGGAGGAGATGGGGCTGTCGGAGTGAAGGTACGTGGTTGCGAATATGCTATCGCGCTCATCCAGCTGGGGACGGTCAATTGACGACTTCCAGAGGTTGTTATCGTGGACAATGGGAGCCGTGCGTGAACGGCCCGTCTGGGAGAGCGTCTTGGGCGTCACGGCTTCGTGCTCGGTGTCGGGCGTGGGAACTCCATGGCTGGCGTTCGACCTCACCGATGCGGGGGGTGAGGTATTTCCTTGGGCGTCCGGCTGGGGTGACATGGGCTCGACATTGATTCGACCGTCAGGAAGGCACCTCGTGGCGGGATGGGTGGCAGATATTGCCGGGCGGGCGCTCAGGACGTTGGCCAGGATGCGGTCGTTTGGGCGCGGCGGAGACACAGCGGAGGGCCAGCAGGGGCGGATCTTCCAGATTAGCGTGCAGAGCAGCGGCGCTGGCGGATGGGAAGGCTGCAGATGTGGTTCCAGGGTGCTAGCGAGCAAGACACCAGTGAGAGGTGCGAGAGGTCCACGTTCTAATTCTGTGTGGTTTGGCGTCAAGGCCAAAGTGGCGCAAAGATTATCCCAAGCGAGCGGCCCAATGACGTCTGCCCAACTGCTACCGCGTAACAAAGCGCGTACGTGCGGATGGCCCGAGTGGTGGTGGTGCTGGTGGTGGTTGTTGTTTCGCGACTATACAAATGTTTGTTGCTGCACTGAGGTTGTCAACAGCCGGCTTTGTCGATGGCGATGGAAACAATCAGTCTTGGCAGCAATTGCGCTGGCGATGCTCTGCGAAGTCATGGGTGCCTGTCTTGGTGAAGATGAGGAAAGTGCGTCCGTGCACAAAGAGCCACATGAACGATGTCGGCACGGTTCACAGACTGAGCTAGTCGACGTTGAACCTAACAACCCACGACACATGCCATCGCCCATAGGCTGAAGACACTTGCTGCAGCTTCACTTTGCAGCTTCTTTGGAAATTTAGAGACGCACTGTTGATTCTTTACCACCGGGACACAAGCTAGACGTCTTTCCGCCTCCGCGCCTTCCTCCCTGTGGCCGTGCAAAAGCCCGTAGCCAAACTATGCGGTACCGGCTATACCAGCCCATCGCGATTGCCTCACCCCTTTCGCCGACATCAATCCGTGCTCTGCCCAAGGTCCTCTACCTGCATTGACTTTGCATGGGCTCCAGATGTCGACGACCAATCACTCGAGAACGTGGCCCCTCACCGCCTGCTGCATCCTTACGTGACTGTCGCTGCACATCGCTGTGATGCCGGTACAGGAATGCTTCCATTTGGCACCATCCAAGTGCCACGGCGCTCAAGGCCGTTTGTAAGACGTAAACATGCCGCTGCTTCCGTGGTGCTCCAACCCGGAGTGCATTACTTGCAGAAGTCTTCTTTCTTCTTTTGTCATAGTATTCAAGTGTCGTCTATGTTACGAAGGAAGCCATCTGTAAAATCCAGATCACCAGTGGGGCCAAAGTCACCCAGTGACGCGTCGATGTTCAGAGCCAGAAATCCAACGTCGTTCAATGCTCCTTTGGCCCTGTCACCCAACAACCCCAGGGATTCTTGTGAAGCTTTGTCTGTGGTGAAGCTCCAAAACGATGTGATATTGTTCTTATCCTTCAGTGGAATGCGGTCGGTAGTGGGAGTGGGGCTCTTAGCGACCGCGTCAGCTTTCAGTACCCCGTCACTAGGGCTGAGAGCGAACCTCAAGCTGCTTCTTTGTGGTTCCTCGGGCTTCTTCTTCTTCACTGTGCTGAACGCGAATGGTGATGCTGCGCCAAAAAGGTCCTGCGTGCTGATGGGTGGAGCCTGGAGCACAGTTTCGGGTGCGAGTGCTTCGTCCCGCTGTACCGTGAAGGCAGAAAGAGGCGTGATTGCTGCGCTGAGTACGGCGGGTATTGGACGAGGTGTGTCAAGAGGAGAGGCCTGTGAATCCAATCGAAGGACTTCGGGCGATACCATGGGAAAAGTGCTTTGCTGGAACTCAAGTTGAGCCCGCATCATGGCGGCTTGCGTAGACCAGTCAGACTCATGACTACCATGACTTGTTCGCAGTTCTGGATTTACATCTTGGACAACAGTGGTATCGCCTTCGACTTGGGGCGATGCTGGCACGTTGACCATATCTGCCTCTGTGGAGTCTTCCTGCAGCCGGTCGTCGGCTTCGTTGTGGGTGGCCTTCTTCTCCGTGCACAGCATCTTGGCAGAAGGAACCTTCTCCGGTGATGAGTCAAAGTTGACTGCTCTAGGCTTTAGTTTGGTCTTTCTACGGCCAGCGCCAGTTGAAGAAGCCGGCACAGGCGAGGGCGCATTCTGCGTACTTGGACGAATGGAGCGCCGAGGCTGTTCCTTTGATCTGGAGGCTGGCATTGTTGGACTGGCAGGGCGCTCCGCAGACCGCGGTACGCCATTCCTCGTGTGCCTTCCTTGACTACCCATCGAAGAAGTGATGATTGGTACAGTCCGCTGCGAACGTTGTCCCGGCTCACTGCTGTGGGGTGTTGCTATGGTCGGAGCCGGAGTATTGCTCGTCTCTGCTACCGAGTCCTGGATTGCTGGAGCTTGTGCCTGAACGTCGATATCGCCACCTTTGGCAGGCGAGGAAATCACCATGGAAGCTGAGGCACTTGATCTCCACTCCTCTGGCTCTAAAACTTCAGGAGCCGATGTCTGAGCCCGGATAGCCGCTTTCGGGAGACCGAGTCGCAGTTCTGCCAGGGTTTGCATTTGTGAGGCGCTGTTCCGCGACCGCGACCGTGTTGGAGACGTATCTGTATTCCGGTTTGTAGCTTTACGTATGTCGACTCTTGCAGAGTCAGGGCGACGCAACCAGAATGGGTTTGTCATAGGGGAGCGGTTTTGTATGCATTTGGCCGTGTCCACGCTGAGGAACTCTGTTGCGCCAGACACATCGTCAGCGTCTGATAAGGGCGCCGTTGCGGGCGGGACTTCGATTTCGTCGAGACTATCGTCGTGTTCGCGGTGGTCTAAATCGTCCCTGGCAGCTCTGGATGTCTCTGGCGACTCGATCTGGGGCGCAACGGCTTCTACGACATCCTTCTCAATGTTCCCGCTTGGTCTTGCGCTGCTCCTACGTCCGACGGCGTCTTTCCTGCCAGCAGCGACCTTGTTGCCAATGGCGTTGTTGCTCTTGCCCGATACTCTCTTCTGCTCCACTATGGGTTTCGCCCACGGGTTCTTCCAGCCATTGTTAAAGGGTCCTCTCAGCCCTGCTGTGACGATGACGGGTGGTCGGCCGCGTAGGTATCGGGATGCAATCGCCTCGATTCTTCGTCGCTTCGCTGCCCTATGCTCAGGGTCTTCGTATTCCGCCGGTGGTTGTTCGATGGTGTCTTCTGGGTTAACATGGAAATCGTCAAAGTCCAGTTTCCGCTTCAGGTGGGGATGTAAATATGGCGGCATGTTTATCGACAATCGCCACGAGAACCTTGTCCCCGATGCAATGCACCTCTAAGTACAGTCCAACATGTGACAGGGGTATTTCTAGGTAGTAGTGGTGATTTCGTAGAAATAGGTGGGACCGGGCCAGATCGCATGTTCGGTAAGGCGTGTGTGTATCGTGGCTGCCAGAGGGCGTGAATGGGGGACCAAGCTCAGATAACAAGCTCAAAAGACAAGCGAACGTTTCCGCCAAGCCAGGATCTGCTCCCGTCTCGTAGATGGAATAGCCGTTTGCTCGAGACGGTCTAGTCCTCTTGATTGTCGGGATGGCCATCGTCGGCGCATTGTCATGAGGCGTTTGCGGGAGATCGTATGCTGTTGCTGGGGGAACGACTCCTTAGCGCACGCGGGGGTCGGCCGTGCAGCCGGCATCAGATGTCATAGATGCTCGCTAGTATATCGATATACACCCGATAACAAGTCAGCACGACCCGTCGACGCGTTCTACGACATTTCTCCCGCCATTGAGCCAGCTGCAGAAGCAATATGCCGTTTGCGCTAAGATAGCATTATTTTGACGCGTCGGCGCCTCGCCAACAAGTTTCCTCCTCACCGCATCTTCAGTTCAGCGCCCAACTGAGACATCAACACGGCCAACACGGCACCCGGCCGAGACAACCACCACCACCATGGCCAACAACACCACACAGCCATGGCTCGAGGACCTCTCCGAAGAATGGGTCGTCCAGGACTCGCCGGCCACAATCGCACGCAATGCCCAGAGCCCGGCAGCAACAAAAACTCCCCAGAGTGCATCGGCGAAGGCCCGCAGTCGTCTTCCCCGCATGCGACAATCCTCAGGCTCCTTCTCCGAAATCCAAGTCCGCAGCATCGCCAAAGAGCTGCGACCGCCCAAGCAGAGGAGCGCCCTCCTCGAGCGCAGCCTCAGCGACATCAACGTTCCGCCCGCCCCATCTTCGCCCAACGCGTCACACATGGGGCCCCCGCGTCGCGCTTCGTATTCGTCCTTTTCCATGTCGCAAGGCTCAGACATGCAGTATGGAACAGTAGCGCATAACACGGTCGCGAGGTCGCCCACCAAAGAGCAAGGATCCCACGACACGCCCGAGTGGAGGCGCAGGCTCGTCAATGGCGAAGTCGGCTACGGCAACCAGACCGACTTGTTTGCCCCCACAGGTCTCGAGAACATCTTCCAACCGCCGGCTGGAGGTGCTTCAGACGACTCTGCACAGCCAAAGCGCAGACTTGGACTATTGAAGGGTCTTTCTGCCGTGCCGTTGCCGTCGAGCCCTCCGCCATGGCCTGCCTCGCGACAGAAAGAGCAAGACCACGCAGCAAAACAAGATGAGCAGGAACAACAAACAGACCATGAGGATCCCTCACAGGACGAAACAATACACGAAGAAGAGCCATCAGATTGCTCTCACAATCTCATGCCACCGCCAAGCGACCCTGTACGGACCGTGAGCGGCCAGATAGAATACGAGAACGAGAACTTCAGCCCTGTGTACCTTACCATGACCGGCAATATGAAGACTAGCCAGGCTGCTAACCCGGCCCCCAACTTCAGAGGATCAGAGCTTGCCAATCGGCTACGACAGATTGGATCGCCGCCCCCAGATAACTTTCAGTCTGAGCACGAAGAAAGCGCACTGGGGTACAGCCGCGAAGATTCCTCCCTCGCCAGACTACAGGATGAATCGCTACCGGAAGGTCTTCCTGCTGGCACTCCAGACATGGCGGGAATGAACCGCAATGTAGAGTTTCGAAGAGGCGGATATTCTAGGGACGGGTCTTTCCATCGAAAGCCACTCAGCCCGTCTCCTGAAAGGATAGCTGGGTCGCGACCGTCTAGTAGCCGTGCCAGCACAGCTCAGTCGAATACAACCGCGAAACACCCTTCCCCTCCTCCAGCATTGGTCACCAACCCAACTACTCCGCATCGTCGACGCGAACAGTTCCTGAGTCCAGACCGGGCAAAAGGTTCGGGAAGTCCTCTGAAGCTCTTCGATGCACACGACACCTTCACAAGCAACCGAATTCAGAGACGACTCAGTCAGCTTGAGTACAAATCCGAGAAAGCCTCCAGTGTGAAAGAGGGCACAATAGAGTCAACCAAGGCAGCGCCGAAGCAATCCAGACTAACATCGGTAGAAGAGAGGAGCATGCAGAACCTTGATCAAAGCCAGTCGCAGCTGCCATTTAGACTTCCGTCTTTTGGCCAAGGCCAGCTAAACCAGCATGAATTCTCTGGCGACTTCTCCGCGATATCATCCGATGACGACTATGATGCACAAAACGACAGTGCACCTGACGCGTCACCTTCTACTGATATTGCACCCCCTGGTAGCCGCCAACCTTTCAAGTTCCAGCTTGACGAATCACCAGTCCGGCGGGAACCTTCAAAAGCTAAGAGGCATGTATCCAGTCAGGCAGAAAACTCTGTGAGGAACGTTAGTCGGCCAAAGTTTGTACCACACCGAAAGGTCTCTGAACCCACGACGGAGGAATTTCCAGAAGAATTTTCAGAGATTATCCACGAGTACGCCGAAGGGAAGCGAGGTCCAACGTCGCCGTTCAAGAACCCCACCCCCAAGCGTAGGAGGACTATCACTGCTGTAGATGAAGATGAAGACGACGAGGCTGCACCAAGTGGTGCTGAAGCAGGCACGATACAACACTCACACGCAGCCATACAAGCTGTTGTTGGACATATGCGGAGGGACGGCAGCCTGGATCCTTCGAAAAATATTGCCGACTCAGAGACATTAGCCCGGCGACACATCTTGAGACCTCGCAACCCTACGCCTAGTCAACGGCGGCGAGAGGAGATACAAGCAGAGATTATGGAAGCTACAGAAGCATTCATTCAGTCTTCACCAAAACTCAACACCATCCGGGAACACCTAGATTCATCTATCATGTCAGATACTGACACAGAACGAGATCGGGCAAAGGCAGTCGCCAACCAGGTTGCTGCGTTTACTTTGAGGAGACAGCCTGGCGCGCGCGATAAGAACCGCAAACGATCTGTCACTACACAAGATTTCCTTGACGAAGCGCTCAAGATTATGGACTTTATCCGCACCAAGGGTCGACCAACTAGCGGTCTGGGTAGCCTTGAAGAAACGGAAGCTGAAACTCAGCTGCTCGAGGAAGTCAACGACCATCCCTCTAGTATATTGACATTTGAAAGGCCCCCGACCAAAGAGGGTCGACAGTCATCCTGGCAGGACGCGAACAAGCAAAACATGGATGCGAATATCATGGACCACCTCCGCAAATACCAAGAGAATGAGAACGACACTTTCTTGAATTCCTCAGTCAACTCCATCCGAGTTTCGCGTCTAAGAGGATCTGCGACACCGGAGGGAGAGAGCGTGGTGGTTGAGCAGGATGATATTCGGATTACGGACAATCCCAACAGGCACCAAACCGATGATGACGAAGACCATCGCCCTAGTTCTGCGCCTCGCGGAAACGCCACACTCCTGTCGACAGCTTCATCATTCGGAAACACAATCGTCACAAACGCATCACGTCGTTCGGAATGCGTTGCAACCCTAGCGCCGGAAGCGGTGGCGCATTTAATTCCTCAACAAGTGGCCGGCATGAGCTTTGATCGCGACAAGAATATTTGGGTTCGTCAGAAGAGCCCTTCAAGGCAGCACCAATTCCAAGAAGAAGAACCAAGCGGTATGAACGCAAGCGAAGACGATCCCTTCGGCAACATTCCCGATCTGACTGTGGAAGATATGCATGAGCAAGAAACCAAACCAGGTTCTCCGGTTCGCCTCCAGCCTACATCCGAGACCATTCTTGAAGACACAGAAAGGCTTGACGCCGAGGAAGACTCGCGACCAGTGACCCGTGAAGGAAAGGGTGTTGCTTACACGGATACAAGCTCTGCACCTTCCAAGGCCTCTAACTTCGGCTGGAGCTTCCCCAAGACAGACACACGAGCTACTTCTTGGAGCACGCAGGCCCCGCGAAATTACAGTACACACAAGATGCCTCATGCACCCACAACTTATGCAATCCCAGAGTCAGAAGAAGACGGCATCGAGCACGAGATCCAGTACTTTGAGGGAAGAGACCATGCTCCTGCAACTACGCAACGTCCCCGAGTACGGAATGTTACTATCTCGATCGCTGAACGCGAGGATACAACACGGGACACCCAACCAGAAACCGCCCCAAAACAGCGCCGTCAAAACCAATGGGGACCATCAAGCGCTCAGCAAATGTCAGAAAAGAAGCAACCAGCTTGGGGACAGGCGAATGGTACCCGGACCATGTCGCAAGGACGATCCAGCCGTTTGCCCGTCTTCAACGGAGATGGTGACCTGTCGATTTTGGATGATGCTCCATCGAAGAACTATCGGATGGAACTATCAATGAACGTCTCTGCGCCTTCCCTTCGTCACGGACGACGGGATACGCTTGTCGCTGCACCATCTTCACCTGTAAAGGATGTCACTTTCATGCTCAGCGATCTACCTGAGTTCACCCTGAACCAGATCGACGAGTTTGACCTCCCAGATCGAGTTGTGGTAAAGCACAACGGTAGTCGCTTCTCCAAAGCTCTAGAAGATCGTTATGCACAAGGCACTGCGGAGCTTGTGAAGGCGCTACAAGATGTGGAGCCTGATGAGCCGTACTGGGAAGACCTTCGCAATGTCAGTCTCAGCAAGAAAGATCTCAGTAGTTTACATCGTCTTGATGAGCTCTGTTACCAACTCGAGGAGCTCGACGTCTCGGACAACAGAATCAATCAAGTAGAGGGAATTCCATACTCCATGCGGAGACTGCAGGCGCAAAACAATTGCCTGAATGGACTTACCTCCTGGACAACCCTCGTCAACCTACAGCATCTTGACATATCCGGCAACGATGTCGACAGATTGGACGGTCTCGCTGAACTGGTGCATCTGCGAATACTCAAGGCCGACAACAACAAGATCAGATCTCTTCAAGGCATCCTACATCTCGATGGCTTGATGGAATTGAGTGTTCGCGGCAACGAAATCGACACGGTTGACTTCAGCCGAACAAATCTGTAAGTGCGCCTAGGCTCCTTGCCATCTGTCGTCTGCTAATATCATTGATAGAAAATCTCTTACCGACCTGGATCTGAGGAAGAATCATCTGCTTGAAGTGCGGAACCTACACTGCTTACCCCAGCTTCAGCATCTCAACCTTGGTATGTTTCTTACTCGTTATTTGCCGGGATGTTACTAACTACGAGTAGATGACAATGAGATAGAAGAGTTTCCTCTTCTTGATACGCCTTTCAAACCTTGCAGATTCTTACGGTCGATCCGCCTGTGCCGAAACGGAACCACACTGCTTGATGTCGATCAGTACTTCCCCAAGCTGGAGTCTCTTTACGTCGATGGCAATTGTCTGACACAAGTGTCGGGCCTAGAACATCTTCGACACCTGCGAACCTTTTCCGCTCGCGAACAAATTCTCAATTCCGAATCAGATATGGAGATGTGTGCGAGCAACCTGGTCAGGAACACCGAAGTACGCAGCCTGTATCTCTCACTCAATCCAACATATGGCCTGCAAATATCACAGCACCTGCTGAGTCTTCAACGATTGGAGTTGGCTTCGATGGGTCTCAAAGAGCTACCAGACAACTTCGGCCAGCTTACACCAAACATTCGATCTATCAATCTTAATTTCAACTCTCTGACGGATCTTCGACCACTCCTCAACATCAAGCGGCTGAGCGAACTTCTCCTGGCGGGCAACAAACTCGAACGTCTGCGTGCCAACGCAATAGTCTTGGGCAAGCTAGGCACACTTTCAAAGCTAGACTGGCGGGACAATCCGCTCACGCTTCGCTTTTATGCTCCGACATGCGAGAACCGAATCATGTCTCTCAGGCAGAAACCCTCCGACGAGCAGCTCACGAACCGCTTCGTTCTACCTGAAGGGGAAGTTGAAGCAGACGTGCAACACCTCCAGCGATTGGATTACGAGACCCGCATTAGGCGGCGGGTCACCGAAATGATGCTTGCCAATTTGTGCAGAAGCTTAAGGGAGCTAGATGGGCTGCCATTCGACAAGACGCGCGTGCTAGTCAAGGACGATGTATGGGAGCGTCTGTTGTTCCTTGGCGTCATCCAGCGCAAGCGAGCGGACACGGCTGTTGACGACACCAAGTAATGGTCATGTACGTGGTGATTAGAACATATGAGCACGGAGTTGCGGGGACAAGGTCATTTGGGAACGGAGTTGGCGCACGTTTCGCAATAACACATTGGGTTTCGCATAGCGTTTTGCATACGGGTTTGGTTGGGGGTTTGTACGATATATTCAGAGTCGTCCTGGGCCTTCTTGTTTTCGCGAAGCATTTAGTACTTGAGCATCTTTTAGGCGCATATTTTTGTTTGGCGCAGGTCGAGATGCGCGTAAGCTTCAGTGCGAAAAAGCGAGGATTAGATTATTTTAATGACTTCATGAGCTTTGTTCAGCAATGAACAGTACTTCACATATCCTACTTCGCAAACCTTTTTGATGGAATGACGACGACGCCTTGGGACAGCCGCTAGAATTGGGTGAGATGATCAGCCATCCCCGCGCTCCACTAAACGACTCCGCTGAGGCCCGTGCGCCGTGCATCAAATCGATCCAGGCCCCGTGACACGTACGCAACCATGAGCCCACAAGTTCGTCAGTTGAAATGATCTCCATCCATCATACAATCAACTATGACGACGATATCTGAAGAAGACAGGGCGGTGCAGCTTGCAGATAAGGCAAGTGAGAGCACCAAGTCTGGCGAATTAGCCGTTGCAGCTCGGTACCTGCGTGAAGCTAGTACATTTGCGCCTGAGCATCCGCGGATCAAAGAAGCATGGGTTGCGCTGAAGGAAGAAGAGGGTAAAAGCGAACTGCTAGGTTATTGCAGAGCGTGGGTGAGGAGCAAGGATGAACACGATGGAGAAAAAGCACTCAAGGCGATCAAGTCGCATGGCTTGAAGCAGAAAGAGGCGGAACAGGCGATGGACATTCTATTTGACTTCAAGGGCGAAGATGATGTGCTGGATCAGGTTTCGGGTGAGCTGCTCCAGAACCCTGGAGCACAGATGTGGCTTGCCAAAGCCGTCCGAGAACAGCCGACACGCATTTACTACGAGATGTTCGAGCGGGGAGACGACTCTATCGACGGCTTGCTCAAGGTCTTGCTCAACCGAGCTCTCTGGTCAGACGACGAATCTTTCAAAACAGGTCATAGAGACATGTTCATGCTCAGTCTTGCTATGATGATGGAGGAGGCGCTTGAGCACCCAGAACGCGCGATGAAAGGCATTGCGCAGCTGCTCGCTCATTACGCAGAGCATCTCAAGGGTATCATCGATGCAGATAGTTTCGACGTCATCCTCACTTCGCTTGATATCCGACTGCCCGCTAGCCTACGCAGTCAGGCTACTCTTGCAAGTATCAAGCTATTCGAGCTTGCACCAGAAACTGCTGGCGAATTGATATCGAAATTCGTTGCGACCCGGACGAAGAAGGGTGACGCGAACGACCTGGTCATAGCCTTTTCGGCAGCTGCAGTTATCTTCCCGGTCGCTGTCACACCAGCAGCTGCACTCTTTCTCACAGATGGCTTTGTCAGCACATTGGTGTCTAGGGTCCAGAGCAAGAAGTCGCACAACCTTGAACAAGCGACTCTAGAGCTGATCAGCGCTGCATGTGTGGATAAGAATTGCCGAGAGGCCATCAGCAAGCACTGCAGAGAGTGGCTAGAAGATGTGGTTGCAGGAAGCCAGAATAAGAAACGAGCCAACCTGGCCGCGCTTATACTCGTCAAGTTGGGGGAAGAGCAGCCATCCGAAGATGCACCAAGGATTGTCAGGGCGGAGAAAGTAGACCAGAGTGACTTGATTGCTAGTTTCAAATCGATGGTCATAGGCGGCGACGCGTCTTCAAAGCAGGACTCAGTCGAAGGTCTCGCCTACGCTTCCCTTCAGCCCAAAGTGCGAGAAGATCTCTCCAAGTCGCCAAAGTTCCTCAAACGCCTGATCGAAACCATGAGCGATTCTTCATCACCGAAAAACATTGTATTCGGCGGCCTTACCATCTTCGTCAACATTACACAGTACCTCCCCTTGCAGTCGGAAGAGGAGAAGCGCATGGCACAACTCAAAGCCTACGCCAACGTCCAGAAGCCGTCTGCACCGCACGTCCTTCTCAACGACGAAGATGTCGCAATACGATGCAAACGCGTTCTCGAAGCCGGAGTCGTACCGCTACTCGTCCACGTCTGCAAAAAAGGTTCCCCATCGATCCTCACCCAAAGCAGTCTCATCCTCCTATCTCTATCCAAAGAAACCAAAAGCCGCGGACTTATGGCCCAACAAGGCGCCGTAAAACTGCTCATCCAAATCTGGGACCACATATCCACCACAAACGAACTCTCAACCACAGGAACGACGCCTTTCCCCCCTACCGCCTTGCCCACAACAGCACAAGCCCTCTCCCGCCTCCTCATCAGTATAAACCCTTCTCATGTCTTCAACGCCGCATTACCGAGTACATCAGCCATCCGCCCGCTCCTCAGCCAACTCAGCCGAACAGAGTCGAGCACATGGCAATTACACGCGTTTGAGTCGCTGCTCGCACTCACGAACCTCGCGAGCTTGGATCGAAACACGCAAGATCATATCATACGTCAGTCTTTCGATGTCGTTGTTGATGATTTACTACTCAGTGCAAACACGATGATACGTCGTGCGGCAACGGAGCTGCTATGCAACCTCATGGCCTCACCAGTTTGCATTGGAAACTTTGCTGATGGCTCGCCGCGCGCGAAACATCGGTTGCATCTCCTACTCGCCATGACTGATGTCGATGATAGCGCTACGCGTTCAGCGGCTGGTGGCGCGCTGGCGATGCTGCTTTCTGTTGATATTGCTGTGCTGGAATTTTTGAAGCAGGAGAAGAGTGTGGAGTGGTTGGTGGGGTTGTGTCGGGATGACGATGAGGGGATTAGGTATCGGGGTGTGGTTTGTTTGAGAAGTGTTGTGGAAGTTGATGAGGGAGGGAGAAGTGTAAGGGGAAGGGGGTTGTGGAGGAGTTGAAGGAAGTATTGAAGGGGACTCGGAGTCAGGAGGTGCTGGGGGTTGGGGTGGAGACGCTGAAGATATTGATGGGGCAGTAGATCAAGAAGAGATATCGGGCGAGGTATGATGAAGGTGAGAGACCTCATGTTCGAAAAAGCTTGATTTTTCTGTATTGTACCTAGGTAGCCTATGTCCCCAAAACATGAAAATCAGATATCCAGAAACTTGGCATGCTTGATATCCGCCCCATCAATCCACTCCGTAATCTTCACATACTTCTGAAATCCCTCCGTCTTGCCAAACTCCTCATGTTGGTCAACACTCTTCCACGGACAAAGAAGTACAAACACATTCTCTTTTCCCTGGCCAACACACCACCCACCCCCAATCTTACCGTCCAGCTCAGTGATGGAATCTTGCAAATACCGCTTATTTGCATGGAAAGTATCCAGAAACCGATGTTTCTCCCCAGCCTTGATGGTATGGTGGACAACACTCCATACCAACTCCCCCGTCCTTGCTTGTTCGAGTAGCGCAGGACTCGTCGGTAAGGGAAGATCGGCGTTCGCTACATCGAGATGTTCGAGGTTGGATTCTACGGTAAGGGCGTGCTCCAAGCTCTCCAGCAATGCTTGGTTATCTGCACTTGGGATGAAGTCGTTTAGGTGCTGATCCAGCGAGTCCCATTCCCCGATGACGTAGATGCATGATGGGTCTTCCGTTTGCTGCATGTAGTAAAAGGCGCGGCCTGTATAGTTCTGCAGGACGGTTTTCGCATGAGATAGGTTCGAACGGAGGGCTGCATCGTCGATTGTGGTGCCGGGAGTGAGGTGGAGAAGGGCGAGTTCGGTGATAGGCATTGTGGGCTGTAGACGGCTGCAATGGCTGTGTTAATAAGCTGTTAGTATGTGATCAAGACGGAAGTGCTCCTTTTTATAGTATCGTTGACATGAGCACTTTCCCCGTAAGGCAGACATAGCTGCGCAAACATCTTCAGGCAGAAACATGGTTGCGTGGAACTCCAAAGGGAGGGCTTGGAACCTAGCACGACGCGTGACGCAAGAGCAGGATGCCTGAGCCGTCCACGCGTGTTAGTCAGCCACCAACGGAACTTTAGCTCACCGACTTGCGCCAGTGATCACTAGAGAACACGACCTTCCTCGCAATGTCAGATGGTGTCCCGTATGTTTGCATCATCCTTACTCCCATATATGCTGTGCTTCTACCTACCAGCTTCATTGGGTAAGTCTACGCGAAAGGACTGTTGGGCCCACGAAAGCTTCTTCTATGTTGGTGAAGAGACGCTGCCTGCGCGTTGCGCGCTTTTCAAACAAACCAAAGGTGGGAGAAGAACTGATAAGCCGCTCGTTATCTTCGGAATGCTTCCGAACAAACCCCTCACGACCATGCACGATAGCATTGGGTGCAGGTAGTTTCCTAGCATGGCAGGAGGATGGCGAACATAAGTAACCCTTCTCGGTACTCTACCAACAAACCTTATTACTTGTTGTTGATCTTTACGCTTCGTATTGCGGAATTCTAACATGGACCATTTGCCGGATATACTACCACATGTTAGGTACATGCCTGCTGGTCATGTGGTGGTGGTGTTAATTGTTGTAGCTGTTGTTTTCGTAGCATACAAGGTATTCGTTCCATTACATGCCGACTAACACTCGAGCTGATCGTGACAGCTGCTTACCCGCACCGATATCCCATACATCCGCGGTATACCAGAGATACCAGGCGCTCTCCCAATCACAGGCCATCTAACTCAACTTGGTGACGACCATGCTACAGTATGCGAAAAGTGGTGGCGCCAGTACGGCAACTCGGTCTTCCAAATCCGGCTTGGTAATACGCGCGCTGTGATTGTCAATTCCTTTGAAGACTGCAAGAAGATCCTAGTTTCCAATTCGCAGGGGCTCATCGATAGACCGAAGCTGTATACCTTCCATGGTTTGATCTCCTCGACACAAGGCTTCACTATTGGAAGTTCGCCATGGGACGAGAGTTGTCGGAACAAGCGCAAAGCTGCATCGACTACGTTAAGCAAGGGTATGATGAAGAACTACTACGACATGTTCGACCTAGAATCCTACTGCATCGTCCGAGACCTCCACCGTGACAGCAAGAGTGGGGAAGTAGAAGTCAGCATCCGGCCCTACATCCAGCGCTACGCCCTCAACACAACCCTAACGCTATGCTATGGCATTCGTATGGACGCAGTCTATGATGATCTTCTTCGTGAAATTCTCGAAGTCGGATCAGCCATCTCACTCCTCCGCTCAGCCTCAGAGAATTACCAAGATTACGTCCCCATCCTACGGTACCACCCCAACAACGAAAAGAATCAGCGCTCAAAGGAACTACGCGAACGACGAGACAAGTACCTAGATGAGCTCCTAAACAAAGTCCGCGAGATGATTAAGAATGGAACAGAGAAACCATGTATCAGCGCCGCTATTCTCAAAGACGAAGAAACCCGCCTCACAGGTGTAGAGGTAAGTTCCATCTGCCTATCTCTCGTCTCTGGCGGTTTCGAAACTATACCCGGTACCCTCGTTTCTTGCATCGGCTCCCTATCCACACCTGCGGGCCAGATTTACCAAGATCGCGCGTATGAGGAGATACGCAAAATGTATCCTACCGACGCGGCAGTGAAGGAAGCCTGGGCAACGGACTTTGAAAAGGAAAGTGTACCGTACTTGAATGCTATTGTGAAGGAAGCGGGGAGGTACTACACAGTTAGTAACATGAGCCTGCCGCGTAAGACGATGGGGGAGGTAAGATGGGGGAACGCTGTTATACCGAAGGGGACCATGGTCTTGATCAATGCTCAGGCTGGGAATCATGGTATGTTGATGCCCCAACTACACCTAGCCCTCAGCAATTTGACGACAGACTAACATCCTACAGATACCGACTACTGGGGTCCCACCGCCGCAACTTTCAACCCAGAACGTTGGCTTACTACCCCCTCTTCCCCAGACGCTTTACATAAACCAACCTCACACGCCAATCCGCCTCACCTCTCCTTCGGCGCTGGCTCTAGGTCATGCCCGGGCGCCTTGATAGCAAGCAAACTCATCTATGCTGCGCTGTTTCGTTTGCTCAGTCTGTATAGGATTGAGGCTAGTGTGACGAACCCTCCAAATACAGATTATGTGGATTATAACGCTATTAAGAGTGCTTTGGTGGCTATTCCAAGAGACTTTGGGATCAGGCTTGTACCGAGAAGTGGTGGTGAGGACGGGGTTTTGAGGAGTGTACTTGAAGAGGGGAGGGTGAGAACGGCGGAACTATACAAGGAGTGAGCCGAATTTGTAGGTACGATAGTACTGAGACCTTGTTTCACGCGATCTTAATCTCAGTATCCGGCCCTCGCGCACTAAGATATTGTCTCACTGGTCGCTCCTTCACTTGACCGTTACGTGCGGTTAGCGTGTACCAAGTCACGAACGGGCTTTCCTTGTGTACGTCGCACTTCCCAGTCTTTGACTCGCACACCACTCATCTCACATATTCGAAAGATGAGACCTCGAATCGCTTCAGGCATTATTATCGCGCTCACTGCCTTGGCTTCTGGCAGGTTCACTGAGAATCCTCCTGCGCTCTCACCCAAACTTCTCAGCGATGACCCCTCGAAAGCTCCTCCCGGATTCAGCCCTCCCGATCTTAATGCTCCCGAGTTCGTCCCCGCCTTCGGCGCCAATGACTTCGACCCAAATCATCAAGCTGATCAGGCTCTTTGGGACAAGTATCTGAAAAAGGGTGACCACATGATGTGTTTGATGGAAGCCACCGACAAGGGCGCTGGATGGCTGGAGAAAGATACGAGGCAACCACCTTCCGCCGCAAGCAGATGGAAAGGTGACCTCAGGGGTGAGTGCAGTTCTCCAGAGAGGTATCGTTAAATCATGACTGATATTTTTATTAGCTGAGCTCGAAACATGGTTCTGGCATGATTCAGATCACGATAAGGGCTGGGCGTGTGATTTCGAGGGCATGGGACTCAAGACCGCTTTCGAAGCTCTCGGGCTAGACGCACGGCCAAGGTACGACGACGAGGGTAACCCTCAAGAAGGAGCCAACGATTGCTTGGCTATTCAACATTACGATCAGAATCGTGCCGATCCAGATGATGAGTGGGGCCAGATGATCCCTGTCATGGAACAGAAGTACTATGTCGGGGGCAAGCAGTATATGGTAAGCCATATCCACTTTCACTGTGTCGACAGGGACAATAGCCTACATTTGAGAACAAGGCTGACAAGATACTCTAGGCAACAGCTGCGTATTATGAGTTTGCTGTTAACCACGGTGGAGCGCTGATTGTCAAAAACATCGAGAGTCCACGCAACGCCGTGCTTAGAGGCATGGGTTGGAAACGACCAGCAGGTGCTGGAGAGCTTCCTGAACTCCAGTTCGCGTCTGACATCCTCTGGGGCTATTGGTACCGCGACAATCCGTATATGAAGAAACTCCGAGTCTATGGCGCTCACCATGTCATCAATGCAGACACTAGTCGATTGGTTGCTCGAGCTTTAAAGAATGTTGGCAAGACCGCCTTGGAGACTTGGCCGGGTGCCGTTTTCGAGATTGGGAGCGAGGAATTCAGGGTCCTGATCGGTAAGTCACGTTTCGAAGAGTGTAATTGTCGACCGGATTCACCGTGGGGTGCTCCTGGCCTAATTACCAGCTCACCAATCTTACTGAAACTTCGTACTGACTACCTCTAGGCTCACCCATAGGCGCAACCGCTGGCCACTTGCTCGCAGCCCACAAGGCCGAACTTGGAATTAAAAGGATCACGAAGGCGAACGTAGTGACGAACGAGAAGTCACCGTTCAAGGGTAGACATAACAACTTCGATATGCACATCTTGTTTAGTATCGAAGACGTACCGTCAGATGAGGTGACCAAGCCGGGTGAGCAGGCCACTGCCAAAAGAGAGGTGGGCAGAGTGGATACCAAGATCCTTAGCGTAAGAAACCGGGGGAAGAACGTGGTCCGGTTGCATACTATGATGGCTTAGAGCTGGGTATGTTGCGTCATACGATAGGCATGCCTGGAGAGGGACGGTAGATTTTGTGAGGTAGATATGCCAACAAGGAATGCTGCGCACGTCTTGAGGTTTCACTGAGACCTACTGGAGCATCTTGCCATCGGAACTTACTATCCAGATATCCGGTAATGTACTCCTGTAGATCGGTTCCTACATTGTCATGACGCGTCGCTTGCGTTTCATCCAACTCTTGCTTCGCATAGGTTACATCCTCTCCCTTGCATGATTTAGAAGTATTGCGTTTCATCCCGTCAGTCTATTCTATTGTCTTTCCCTTCTCATCAAGCGCCCCATTGTATATCCTGCTTCCTCATCTTGGTCACATCCCGTGATTTCACGTACTCGTACTGGCCAAGGGCATATGCAAGACGGTTGATCCGCCCCCTCCCTCGAGCACCAGGCTAGACGGGATATGTTGAGGTATGCAATATGCAAGCGAATCTTCCGAACAATACTTTCATTCGATGCCGGATAGTACACAGTCCAACTATGTTGCCGTATCAAGTTCCTGTACTCTTGCCAAAATGTTGGCTTTCCACCTCGTATAATCCTCCTGTTGACGCTCACCAAGATAATCAGTCGCATCCTGCATCATAGTCCCTAAGCCAATATAATCACTCCCACCAGCCCTCAGTCCCATGCCCTTGCCCTGGGCTGCCGCGCCATCGCTCAACTCCACACCTTCCATCTCGTCCCCATCACTCTGAGGCTTAACGCTATCAAACCACTGCATCTGCAGCCATCCCTCTTCCTTTGCCATCTTCATCGTCTCTTCTATCTTGATTTGAAGTTCCCCGTCTGTAACATCTTTGGCAGCAGGAGGTTCCAAGACTGCTTTCACTGCTTTTGCCAACCATTCATTGTATTGTTGTATTGAGACGTCGATGTCTTTCATGCGTGAGTAGACGAGCAGAAACACCACGACGATGAGACTGAGTGTGCGCGTATCGCTGACGTCTCCCGAGGAAAAGGTTGTGGCTCGTTTGGGTCGCTTGCTGGGTGTTTCGGCGGCGGCGGCGGCGGCGGACATGCGGGATAGCAGGGGAAAGATGGATTCCACTCCGGTATATACGTGTGGTATTAAACTGGTGTAGTCAAAATTCTTTGCTAGGGCGCGTATAGTAGGCATGACCCATTCTGGCGCCTCGCCATTGCTCTCAACCCTCCCTGGTGTCTTCCTCGCGCTCAACGGTGTTTTCGGCGTGTTGCGTGCTGATGCTGGGGCAGATGCTGTCGCTTTACGTGGCGTTGTTGGTTCGCGGGTTGTCGTGCTGTCGGGGAGTGCGCTACTGAGGTAGTTGTATAGTTTTTTATATATGCGTGGGGGGCAGGGCGGACGTGATGCTATGGTAGGGAGATTGAGACGCTTCTTCAGCCTTCTGGGGTTCAGTATTTGGTTCAGATGTTGGGCTGATACTTTTCATACCTCTCACATGCTAATTGCGCGCATGCGTATGGTCGTGCGATCTCTTCGTCTGGCTTCATGGATGTCGCAACACTTCGCGAGCGCGTGAGCAGGGAAAGCGCCAACTCTACCAGCTCAGGTGGAAGTGGTCCACTCAGCGTAGGAATCAGGCCCGTAAGGGCTTGCTCAATACTGGCTCGGCTCATTTTGGGTGGTAGTCAAGTTGGATGTTGATATGGCTTCGGAGACTTGATCCTATGTCGACGACGTGTTGGCGCGTCGGGACCTCGCGTTCTCACGTGGACGTCAGGGCCACGCTAGTGCCGCCTCTTTCCCCACTCCCCCTGTGCCACTTCCACTGCGCCCACATCCAGCAGTACGCGCCACATTAGTGTTACGCCTACAGCGACCGCGAAGTATGCATTAGATGCTTTATTACTACGAAGTAGCACACCTTTGCTTGTACTCTCATTATTTAGACACGACCTTCATTGTACTATTACGGCTTCTCCTCTTCGACCGCATTTGCTCTGGTGCTGCTAACATCGTTCGTAACACATCTATATGAGGAATCGGTGCGACTACTTTGAACACTACGGTCTCCAGTTTCTTTCGTCATACCGTTGCAGTAACACCTCCAGCTATACTCACCGCTACCGTCAACCAATCGGTGATCGCGCTGTTGCAGAGATGAAGTAGCAAACTGTGCCAAGTACACTAGAGCTATGTTATCGACACAGATATTACGCCATGCAGCTGCTGCTAATGTCTCGAATATATTCCAATGTTGTACCAGAGAGGCGTGGCTTAGCAGTCAACCTGCTTACCTCCGAACACGTCAACTCGGCTTGACCGACATATTGCGCATATGGCTCCCGATCGTATTTGCCGTCCTTGATGGGGCACCGTAGCAGGCGCATTTGTCAATATAGCGAAGGTGACATCGAAACGGTATATGTGTGCGACGCCCGATGACCATGACAGGCGAGGAAGGGAATACCAAAGCCACGCTGATGACGGGAACTTGCATTTTGACAGCTCGGTTACGACTGGCGATTATATTGAAGTATGAGCTCATTGCGACTCACATGTAGTATTTAGGCTTCGCATAATTTCCATTGAAGCATCACACATCGCCCAAACAACACTTCGAAGATAGTTCTGAAAGCACTCCAGATCTCTCATAAAAAGCCTTTCCGCCTCGCAATCCGATTGCGTTCACAACCACATCAGTTACATCCCGTGTCCCGATTGAAACCAACTTTACCGACCGATAGCTACGATGTATCTCACCACCTTTCTCGCGAGCTTGCTCTCTGCCTTACCTGTTGCACTGTCCGCACCTACTTATGGCGAGCCATACAACTGCGGCTACGTCCTCACCGAACGAAACAGCAGCGCCTACGCTAGTATCTCCGCATATACTGATTGCACGGCGATCTACTACAACCAGTCCATACCTGGATATCAAGAGGCCTATGCTTACAGTCTGTACGGAGGGTGCCAGTGCTCATTTCACTTGTAAGTGCAGTCCGTGCAAGCCCTTGTTGGTCGATACCCGGAAGGGACTCGGACAATTGAAGTCGAATAAGCGCCTACTACAGGATGTATGCTAACAGCTACCAGAAGCGAGGAGCAGTGCAAAGGAGCGATCGATCCACCCATGTATGAGGGACCGACTGGGACGCCTGGCGAGGAGCCCTGCTTCGAAGATTCAAATCCCAAGTGGTACGCATGCGCGACCGTGGGATGAGATCATTTGAAGGGGACTCGAGCGAGCGCGAAGGGATTTGTGGAGACACCAGGATTGGTTTTTTTGCCAGCACATCGGTGGTGGTTGGTCTGGCGGGTAATCAGTGATACTGCTTTTCTTTTCCGTGGGTAGAGTTTATCATAAATTACATGGCAAAGCAAATTTCCCCTCTCATCATAACTATCTGGCTACCTGTGAAGTGCTTCAAATGTATTGGATCGGGAAATAAGTCGAGGAATAAGATCGGGTTGGGCCATGATGAGTACATGCGGATCCGTGTAAAGCAAGTCAGTGTTTTCTGATGATTGGCTCCAGGCTCCGTCTTACTCGTTCGTCACCTGCACTCCTAGTGTTTTGGCCTCTTTCCGCTGTCCTTGATTTCTGGAAAACGATGCAATTCCATTTGGTCATGCCCTTTCAATTCACGTTGCTCAGATCAAGACTGTCCTTCTTTACGAAGTTGAAACCGCCCTGCGAGTTCTTAGCCTTGTGGCACAAAACTCTCGTATCGTTTACCACATCAAGAGATATATCAACCAAAGATTCGAAAGGTAGAACAATAGAATAGAGAGGTGGCGCTGTTAGCTTGAACGGGAAACCATCGGCTGCTGTCACCTCGAGTCCAATAGACAACACTTCCACAGGGCGTACACGGAGAAACGAATGCTCTACACCCCCTTCCTTATGTCGACTTACTAGTTTAATTGTAAGCGTTGTTTCACTCTGACTAATCTTCGTGTCCTTTGGGATGATAAGATGATCTTCCGCCTGAAACCAACATTCCCGGCGGAGACAGAACACGTGCTCTTTGGCAGTATCAACGAGAGTCTCCTGGTTGCAACTAGCACAAATTTTTTGATCTAACGTGGCAAACCGTATTCCCATTCGCCTTAATTCAGGTTTGAATGTATGCATCGTTTGCGACTCGGAAGTCGACAGAGAAAGTCGAACAAGTAAAGACCGCGGTGGTGAGCTGGTAAAAGGCTCTACACAGTCAAGGACGTCTGCCAGCCGGGCAAGAGAGCATAGGTACATGGACCGGTTGTAAGATAGAAGCAGCGACGAGATAAACAGATGCTCCGGCATGCTATAATCCACTGGAACATGGTCCGCGTGGGTAGCAACTTCTACTCAGCCTGATGTAGCAGCAAGGGTCTAGCCCACCTTTTGTTAGTAGCTGATAAGCCACATTGTCTGTTTGGCGTTCCACAACCGGCGCTAAATCATGTACGGAAGATGGGGCTGACCAACACGCAGATGGTATGATGGGGGTGAAGCCGCAATCGCTACCCAAGTAATGACTATAGCAGTTGTAGTAGAAGACATCCTGATAAATGCTCCAGAAAGCAAATTTAATGAGGTGACTCTAGTGTGCACTCTTGAGTAGAGATTTCGTCGCATGTGGTTGCTGTAAGCGATGACATAGCACAAGTGCCATTCATCCAAGCGAAAGTAGGGCGACCCATATTTGCTCATCTATGCGACACGATATCTGTTTCGCCTGCCATTGCCGTGCTGTGGTTTCAGATAAGGTATGCGAAGGAGCAAAAGCTGGCGAAGACCATTCTCGATGCTATGTGGGAAGCTGAATGATTAGCGACGAAAGCAACGTGGTAGAGGCATGAAGTTTGCAGTATTAGGCATCGCATTATTGTTTTTAGGTGGTATTACAACATCCAATCATTCCGTTCCAACATAATTTCCATTACATCCCAATCATGACCAACAAGTCAATGATTCATGCTGCGGTCCAGAAAGTGAGGGTATCTACAAAGCGAGCATGGCAAGGGCGGCGGCACCGAGGATACCGACAGCCTGGGTAGCCTGAGCAGCACCACCGGTGAACTCGGACATGGAGGCAGAGGGAGTAGCGGTCATGTTGCCGCTGGCGGAAGGAGTGGGGGTCACAGAGGCGGACTCGGACAGAGAGGCAGACGCAGAGGAAGCGGCAGATGCGACGGCTGAGGAGGCCGCAGAGAGGACGGAAGAAGCCTCAGAGGCGACGGATGATGCGACCGAAGAGGCAGCAGAGGCAGCAGCAGATGTAGCGGAGGCTACAGCAGAGCTGGCAGCGGGAGCGCTGGCATCGGGAATGCTGATGGGAACACCGGCGGCAGCGCAGGTGGACTCAACAGCGGAGATGGCGGCGGCCTGGTCAGCGGCCTCGCAAGCACCCTCAACACAGGGCTGGACCTGGGAGAGGAGCTCAGCGCCCTTCTTGCAGTGGCATGCGAAGTCGGTGAGGGAGGAGCAGCCGTCGCTGGTGAGGGGACCGACGAAGCAGTTGAGCTGAATGATGTTAGTTTATACGATACATACAAAGGAGAGATCATGGGAACATACAGCGCAAGACGGGATGTTGTCAAGCTGAGCAGCGCCAACAGAGGCAAGAGCAACGATGGTAGCGATGGTGAAGGTCTTCATTTTGGCGGGTATTCTGATGTTGATACAGTGATCGATGTAGTGAAAGTTCTTTGGTATATGTATAACGACAGTGAAGCTTGCAGGAACACGAAGATGAGACTACCACAAGCTCTTTATATCAAGCGGATCTCGAGGCCTCCCATGTCCAGGCAAGAAACAAGCTAGTACTGTAGCATCCAAGTGGATACCACGAAGGGCATCTTGTTCGCCCCCCGTTCAAGATCTGCGTGCAGCCCCTGGAGGTATTGCTCAATGCAGTAGCGCTTGATGACGCTACCCCAGACTACCAACTCCTAGCTGCGGCTGGTCGAGACTGGACTGACAATGGGGAGGTTTGTTGCCACGGAACGAGGCGCGCCGCGTCTACACCAACGAGTGGTCATGATTCATAAAGAGTGAAACAAAGGAGATAGTATCCGCGTAGTTGCAGTACTAATTTTTCTGACGTATTGGATAAAAATTGCAACGAGCGTGTAGTGCAGATAAATCGAGTAAGAAGCTATTTGTGCGTCGATTGAATATCATTGGTGAACATAGGCATTGGGGCGACGGCGAACTCAGGCAAGGGACGGGGGAAGAACCTGTTAAGGCGCCAAGACACTAGAAGCTTTTGTTCATTGGATGTCCTGCAGCCAGTGACGGAGCTGGCCGTCCTAATTTAACCGCTTCTGGAGTTGGCGCAAAGCGAGAAAATCCGGGGCAGGCTTGGAAGGAACGCATAGGAGAACGCAAAACCAACCACCATGTGTTGTGTCCTTGTAAACAACAGCTTCGTCGACAATACTCCTTCTTGAGTATGCGTACAGTAGCCATGGGGTGGCGACAGGCGCAAGGCGAGACACTGTGACAGCAAAATCGATAACTGGCGCTGAATCCGTTGTTACAACCCCGCAGAATTTCGACCCTTCTCGGCCATACATCCGGGGCAATCCATGCTGCGGCTTCCTGGCTAAGCTTGCCCATTAAGTCGTGCAGGAACCTGGCCCACTCGCCGAACGGATGCGCCATCCGAACGCCCACTGTAAAATTCTCGGGAAAAGACGGTCGAGTGGCGAGAGGCTGACAGCGTCAGCTGTACCTGCATTCGTCTGCAGAGATCAATCTCAGAGGCAGAAGCCGTGCTGTGTATTCTTAGGCGTGGTGGTGTAGAGTGCACTTCTTTCCTGCTATGCCGTATTCATCAGACCAATACGACGCTGTTGTTGAATTGCAAGGGTTTGGCCGTTCCTGCGTCATATAATGCGGAGGTGGCTTCCGTCTATGGAAGGATCTGGCGGCTCGGTCTGTCTCTCGCATCAAGTTCCTCGGTTGCATGTGCTTGTATTTACGTTGTCCAGCTACTTTTGCGCAATTTTGGAAAACATGGGGCTGTAAAGCGGAGAACCCGGACGATCTGGGGAAACAAGCATCGCAGTGGTCGTAGGCTTGGTCGTGTTGACACGTTCGTTACATATCTATCAAAACGTGTTGGCCTATACAGAAGAACGGGAATGTCATATGTCATGCTGACAGCATCTGACATGTGAGCTCCGCGCCGCAATATTACAGAGCCATGGCGCTGAGGATCGTGTCCCCTGCAGGTCTGAGTTGTGGTGTGTACACGCGAGCATTCTGCATCATTGGACCGTTTAGCCACCGCAAATATCGGACGATCCGATTTTGTTGGCACCCATGTGAAATCGCTCACCAGTACTCTTACGTACGAGATTGCCGGCCACGTAACCTCATCGGGTTCCCAATGTTGCGTCTCGGGGCTTCCAAGATCAGTCTGTTCCTCCGGTTGGGATTCGTGCATCACATCCTGCGTCCCCGGGCCGTGTACGCTAACAAATGTCATCCTTTCACGAAGAAGAGTAAGCACCTGCAGCGCAGACTGCTACCTGCCTTTCTATCGCGCTGGCCATTGGAGTTGTACTTGGATGAGCGGCAAGATCGTAATAGCTTATGTGAATGTCTTCTTCGATCCCTTAAGATAGACCCCGTGCTCGGTTTTGACTATGAGCAGACGAAATGGTCGATAGTGATGCGTAGGTGTGGTATGCTGCCGCGGTGCGCAATACATTCGAAAGACTGGCTTTATTTGGAGCGTGCTGAAGGTTGCGTATCCATGGTGTCGAAAGGATGCAACAAATTAGTAGAATTTAATGCCTCCACCAGTAGAGGTTTAGCATCAAAGGAAGCCGTACCTGAGGGAGGAATTTAGGAGGTCTGTACTCTCAACTTCAGAGTCATGTCCAAGACAAAACCTGACCGTACAAGGAACAGTCAGGCATACCAGTGGTTGTCGCAAGATGAGAGAAAGTATGTGGATATAGCGAAACGATGAAGGCTGGCCAAAGCATACAACGTTTTATATCAAGAGTCCGAATGGTGTGAAGATAGCAAGATATGTCGTGCTTAAGTCGATCTCGAGGCTGAGAGTGCAGCACGGAGATCAGATAAGATGAGTCTCGGCCTTAGCTCGGCTTAGTGAGGCAGGCGCGCTAGTGAAACTTCCGTCAATGTTCGCGATGGAGAGTCGACGACCAGTAGTCGGCCTCTAGTATCACCCAACACCTCAACGCGTAAGTTTATCCTATCGTCGTCACCTTTGTCGCGTTCAACCATAGCTTACATCGCTGCAGTAATCTCCATCCTCCATATCACGTCGTCACCATGGCCGAAACCGCAGCTTCGCGACTTCCAAGTACGGCGGAACAGCTTATTAGATCGTCCTCGAAGCGGACACGAGAGATATTCGCCGCCGATTTCGCTTCATCAGCAGCACTAGACCACGCCTCTAATGGCAGCTTTTCGATACACCCAACAACACCAGCACCCTCGGCCGCCGCAGACCAGGCCAGCGTCGCATCGCGCATTCGCAACGAATATGAGCACGTACGCGAGCTACCACCTGCGTTGGCTGCAAAGATGGCCAGCGCAGCATCCACAGCGGCCGAGCGACGCAAAAAGATCAAGGCGCAGAACGCCGAAGAGAAGGCATCGGACCCCAAGATGCAAAGAATGATTGAGGGCGTATCAGACAAGGCAGACAAGGCGCGCGACGCGCAGTCGATGCAGTTAGCAGTAAGAGCTGGAGGAAAGGGCGCTGCGCCAAATGCTCAGGGGCCTACGCCAAACAGAGACCAGACGTCCAGCGCGCTGGTTAGGAAGGACGTGGTCCGGCAAGCGAAGCCTGACTGGCATGCGCCTTGGAAGGTCAAGACTGTCATCAGCGGACATATGGGATGGGTAAGTAAAGCAACAGAATTCTATGCGACAGTAACTGACTCCGTATAGGTACGATCGGTAGCAATGGAACCTGGAAACCAATGGTTCGCGACGGGTGCCGCGGACAGGACAATCAAGCTTTGGGATCTGGCCAGCGGTCAACTCAAGATCACATTGACAGGACACATTTCTGCAGTCAGAGGACTCGCAGTGAGCCCGCGGCATCCATACCTCTTCTCTTGCGGAGAAGACAAAATGGTCAAATGCTGGGATCTGGAGACGAACAAAGTAATCCGACACTACCACGGCCATCTGAGCGGAGTCTACTCGCTTTCCCTTCATCCGACTGTAGACGTGTTGTGTACTGGAGGACGAGATGGCGTAGTCCGCGTTTGGGATATGCGATCGCGCAGTAACATCCACGTACTCGGAGGCCACAAGGGAACTATTTCATCAATCCAATGCCAAGAAGCCGAACCTCAAGTGCTTTCTGGAAGCATGGACAGTACAATACGACTATGGGATCTTGTTGCCGGAAAGACGCGTACAGTACTCACTCACCACAAGAAGTCAGTCCGTTCTCTTGCCACACACCCGACTGAGTTCACATTTGCGTCTGGATCTGCACAATCGGCGAAACAATGGCTGTGTCCGGAAGGTAACTTTATGCAAAACTTCTCGCCCGTCAACAGCATCATCAATACACTATCTGTCAACGAGGATAACATCATGTTCGCTGGTAGCGACAATGGCGAGGCCTCGTTCTACGACTGGAAGACAGGTCACCGCTTCCAGCACACAGAGAGCATCGCACAACCAGGTTCTCTTGAAGCTGAAGCAGGTGTCATGTGCTCGACGTTCGACAAGTCTGGATTGCGTCTCATCACTGGAGAGTCGGACAAGTCAATCAAGATCTGGAAGCAGGATGATAACGCTACTGAGGAGACACATCCGCTGGACTGGAAGCCGACACTTGGACGGCGGAAGTTCTAAAGGGCGTAATCTGGGTAGATGAGGCAGCCTGTGCATAGTGTTCGGAGTTGAAACGGCGTCAAGAATGTAACATTATTGGGATCATGGCATTATTTGCATACGAGGTTATACCAAGCACGAAGAGCGCAGTCATTGCCACGGCCGTTGATAGCGCGTAGAGATATTTAGTGCCATATGAAAGGTTTATCAAGTCACTTTCATCTTCGATATTGGCTGAATTCATCGCAATGCTGAAGCAGCGAGTCTGCCCAGACTGATGCATGTGAATACGGGATACGTCAGTGGTCTAAGCTTGAAAGTGGGTTGTCCAAAGAACACCAAGCCTCCCGCACTCCCAACCATCCCGCTCAAGATGCAGAAACGGGCGCCACCCGCACGATTATGGCCCCCGTGAAGCGCAGAGATCTGGTCTTCGCCGCTGTCGCCGTATTCATCGCCTGGGGCTACCTGACCCATTGGCAGCCGAAGCTGCACTATCTGCCCTACGCCTTCATCGCCGGAGTACTTGCAACGCTTGCGCTACTAGCATGGCTCACCTTCACGATTGCCTGGGACAAAGACGTACGAAGCGGCGGAAATGTCGACTATGGACCGCGCCATGTCGCCTTCGTTGCGCCGGAGAGGTGGAAGGCTGAGAGGGAGGCTATGGATAAGAGGAACACGTACATGATGGAGCCGCTATACCCTGCGTCCTTCATGATATCAGACAGTATTGACGTGCTGATTGGGCTGATACTGCGCGACTTCGTGAAGAGCTGGTACGGCAGTATAAGCAAAAGCCCAACATTCGTCAACGAGGTGGACCGGGCGGTACGCGCTTCAATGGGCGAGATACGGGAACGCATACTGGCAGTAGATATGGTCGAGACAGTCGTGTCGCGCATGATACCCCTTATCACCGATCACCTGCGAGCGTCCTACGAAGCAGAGCGAATAGTTCGTGGACGCAAACTGTCACGGGATATTACAGATTCCGAGGAGCTTGACCTGGCCATCGCAGCGAAATACAAGGAGGGCCGGTTGCATCCGGCAGCCTCATTGGCATATTCGAATACCAAACCTATACAGCAGCAGCATCTACGAAGCATCGTCACGCGACTACTGCCAAAAATCATGCCTGCGAACATGTCCACCAGTCCTGCCGTCAATGTACTGATCAAAGAGCTTGTGGCCTGTGCGGTCCTATTTCCTGTGATGCAGATGCTCGCTGACCCGGACACATGGAACCAGCTTATGGAGGGCTATGTAAGATTTATCCGCTCGTGGTAGGACGCCACTAACATGGACAGGGACGATCGTTGATCCAAGAAAGGAAGACTGTCCGCAAAATTCGAGCTGCCCTTGACGAACATGCTCCGCCGTCACCGAAGAACCCCAAGAATGTTCAGTTCCCGAAGCTTGCGCCCGGCGACAACGAGCGACGATTCGAACGTTTTATACGAGCTATTCGGCAAACCAATACCCTTGCAGATGCTAGACGATTTCGCAGCGAGGTATCAAGTCAGCTACGCAAGGACTCGATGCTGGAGGGTCAAGACCCTGTATATCTTCGGCGTCTAGAAACAGCGCGACAAATCCTGGATACAAAGGTCGCCAACCTCAGCGCTGGTGGCTCGGTTCGGGCGAAAGTTGCCGCACAGGAGAAGCCGAAGCACAAACGTACTTCGTCCAAATTCGCCAATGCGTCTCTGCGCGAAGTGTTGTACGATGCCTCCGGCCTGTCTTGCTTCATGGAGTTCATGGATCAGGCGGACCTGATGCGGCTAGTGCAGTTTTGGATTGTGGTGGACGGCTTTCGCAATCCCTTAGAAGTAGAGACAGAAGAAGCGCCGGACTACATAGGTTCGCTACCTGCATGGACAGAGTCTGATCGCGCAGATCTAGCGCAGATCTATGACGGATACTTGTCAAAACCAGAGTTGAAGATACTCCCTGAAGCCAGGCAAGCGGTTGCAGAGTTCCTTAAAGCTGGGCGGAAAGCGACGCCACAGCAGTATCATAATGCACGGCGTTCTCTGTTACAGGCCCAGACGGCTGCGTACGATCAGTTACAAGAACCCTACTTCCGAAGGTTCAAGAAATCCAACTTGTACTACAAGTGGCTAGCCATGGACGAGGCGGCGAACGCTCAGAATAGCACTGTCAATACCAGGACTGTAGCGCAAACACTCGACAATCCATCTGGGGCAGCACCGGCCATGGTCCGGACCCAATCACGGCAAAAGAACGCATTGCAAATCCCACACGGAGATCTGCGCCGAGCTGTAGCATCATCGTCAGATCTGAAGAGTCAAGGAATTGTTAAGAACGCTGAGCCACCCGCACGGCGTTCTTTGGATGTACAGACGCCATCGTCCGCACGCGTACCCCTGTTTGACGACGACTACGACTCTGACCCTCTCGCACACTCGACTGCAAGTCTGAACTCTGATTTTGGCCATGATCGCTCCAATGGCAACAATACGCAAGTGGTCGATGCCATGCAAGCTGCTATTATCGACATCATGGACGAGCCTGAGGGGTCTATCTTCTACGAGCCAAGCCTAAAGTCGCCACTGGACAACATCTCCATGCGCGGATCCGTTGATCTACCTCGAACGTCGTCCCCAGGTCCTCAAGCACAATTACAGCAAAGCAAAGACGGCCTCAAACCAAGCATAGCGTCGCTAGGCCTAGTCGGAGAGCCCAGAACACGTGGAGTCTTTGATGATGATATATTTGGTGATGAAGAAAGGTTTTTGGAAGACGAGATTGATGACCCTGTGCCAAGAAGTAAAGCTGAAGAGGAAGAAATACATGAGGCAGCGCCTGGAGATCTAGGTCTTGCTGAGGCTATCGACGCGCTTACTGCAGATATCGAGCGCTTGGTATCGCAAGAGTCTATCGTGGACTCCCTCACATCGAAGGCTGAGCTAACAAATAATGCCGCCGAACTGAGGATCTTGCGCAAGTCGAAAGCTAGCCTTCAGCGGGAGATACAGAGGAAGGAACTACAACGTCAACAATATATCGTTCAAGAGAGCGACAACAGCTTATATGGACGGGCGACTGTGTTCATCCAGTCAATTATGGTGGGTACTGAGGAAGACGGCAAGGAGTACGCTATGTATGTCATCGAAGTTCAACGACGCGCGGGTGATCAGATGCCTGCCGCCACTTGGGTCGTCTCGCGACGGTACAGCGAGTTCCACGAACTAAACAAAAGGCTCCGTGTGAAGTTCCCACAGGTGCGAAGCCTGGAATTTCCACGCCGTCAGATGATGCTCAAGCTCCAGAAAGACTTCCTGCATAAGAGGCGCCTTGGACTTGAGAAGTACCTGAGGGAACTCCTACTGATTCCAGCTGTATGCCGCAGCCGTGAACTACGCGCCTTCCTCTCTCAAGCTGCGATCAGCCCCGCCGATGCCTTGAGAAACCAAAACCCGAACTCTAACGACTTTGTGACTCGCATCTACAACTCAGTCGCTGATGGCATGGAGGAATTTCTGGGCAACATACCAGTCCTCGATCAACTATCTGTCGCAGGCCAGAACCTCATATCAGCTGCTACCACCCAGCTCGTCAATACGAATGGAGCGACTGCCCAGCCTGCCCACCTTGCCTCATCTGGGGTCCTGGTTGCTGGCGAACCCAACAACGATGCAGAAGCAGAAGCAGAACTACTCGCCTTCGAAAACAAAGAGCTTGAACCATTTGTAAAACCAATATGCGATATTTTCCTGGAGACCTTTGAGCTCAACCGCGAGAATAACTGGCTCCGAGGTCGCGCAGTCGTCGTAGTCCTACATCAACTCCTCGGTGGCACCATCGAACGCAAAGTCCGTGAGTCCTTCGACAACCTGCTATCTGAGAACAACATTGTCAAGTACATCGACACATTGAAGGACAGCATGTGGCCCAATGGCAGAATGAAGGCGAGCGTTGAGCGAACCAGCAAGGACAAAGAGGGGAGTAGGAAAGCTGCGAGTGAGGTCCTCAGTACTTTGGTGCCTGAACTGGCAAGCAGTGTGGTGGGGAGACAGAATGCGCAGTTGGCGGCGAAGAAGATTGAGGGGACTATCAACAATACGCGGTTGAAGTAAGTTCACTACCCGTCGTAACGTAGTGGGCGCTGCTAACAGGATATAGTACGCATATTGCTTTTACTCTCTTGGACGAGATGGTTCAGGTTCTGTTTCCGGATGTAGGGACGAAGTAATGCATGCATGAGCTGGTGTTGCATAGCTGGCGTTGTTTTGGTATGTGTATCAGCGACTACCACGGTGGAGTATTGGATTTACTTGATATCATGTTCCTTTAGTCTGTTCTAATACATAGCGTCATGTTCCATGCTTGTATTCTTTTCCCGATAGTGACAATGGTCACTCGCTCTTTTCTCTTCTTGCACTTGTTACGTTACCATAATAGCAGCCTTACAAAGGATGGACACCTGCAGGCATCAAGGCAGACACGATGTTGCCCAAAGCAGTTCTGTTTATCATGCGTACAGTGTCTGCCTAGATATGCGGCAAGGCTGAAGAGCTGGAACGCTGGAATTGGTTGATGTAAGCGCCCGCACGCAAACGCCGTATGCACGCATGTTCGTCCGCTATTGACTGGTGCCCGCTGTCCCATCGCTTTTAAAAGAAGACCGATACCTCACCTTCACCTCTCACCACAACCCGCACAGTTTTCAACTAGCATCTGCGCAGACGCCAACAAGTTGCTCCTTCCCAGCAAGAACAGACGTCAACCTCATCTTTACAACGGCATATTGTTTTGCAAATTTCACTCAAACCTACGCCTAGAGAGACTCGCTATGTCTGGATGCGGCGGTGGACGCAATGCTCGCGGCGGACGAGGTGGCAGAGGCCGTGGTCGAGGACGCGGTGGTAACACGCAAGGCAGGCACGACACTAACACACAGCATGCCTCTAAACCTGTCAGAGCCAAGGAGACAGAGCAGCAGAGGCAGGCGAGGAAATCGTACAGCTCCTGGAAGCGCCGGCTTGGCGAGGCTGAGACTGACCCAACGACCATGCGCCGTCTTTGGTAAGAACCCCGGATGTACAAACTGCATGTGAGGCATACGCTGAATTCACACACAAACGTTTTAGGGAAGGCGCTGTCAGCATACTCGAAAATGGAGACCGCGACTGGCGCCAACAACTCCCACAGGATCTCAATGATGATTCAGACGATGAGGGTGGTCGTCGTCACATCCTTGCTATCCTGAGTACGAAAATAGAAAACCCGGGTTACGATACCTTCCTCAGCAATGCCCGCAATTTCCTCCTTACGCTTACACACCCATCGCTCCTACGCTGTCTTGCCGTCGACACACACGTCGGATCCATTTACAATCTTTTTGGTGGGGTCGGTGGACGGACGGCAGTACTCTATCTCCAGCGGGTTTGCAAGGCTCTGTCAGCAGCTCGAGCAGCTACATTCTCTTTGGCGTCTACGAAGGATCATGAAACAACACTCCTCGCAATGGCAATGGCTCTATTTGAGCTGTTGAGGCGAGAGCGTAGAGCACGATTCAACGACGATGTTATACCGTTGGTAAACTCTATCCAGACCGCAAGCGATGCCTGCAAGGGCTCGCCAGATACCTCGGCGAGGATCACCAATCGCCTCAATGACACTCGAGCCTTGGTAGCACGTGCACAAGGACTGCTTGCCGAAGATACGGGTGACAATGACACTGGCGACAAGAACGATGGTGGTGGCCAGACGTCTTCCTATCCGAGGAACCTGGTAGTTCCCTCGGGCCGCTTCGATAACGACAAGAAGGACATTGGTGACCTGATACTATTTCCCACTCGTGATGAGATCATGACCGATGAGAAAGAATTCCTACCGTACACGGATCCAGACCAACCGCATTTTCTTGAAGATCCTGTGCAACGTCACATCGACACTTACTTTCGACTGCTGCGCCACGATATCTTTGGTGAGCTAAAGGGCTCTTTGGCTGGAATCATGCACGCGGTATCTCAAGATCCTAACGCGCTGGCCTATGCCAATCTTGGGGACATGCGCGCCAATCAGTATACCAACGCTCGTGTCTGCTACGTTGCGCTCGACAAGCGAAAAGGCCTGCAGGCTCACATAGAATTTTTGCAACCTGCGATCGTTCGCAAGAAGAATGCTGGTCAGAAGGAGAAGTGGTGGGAGGAGTCGCGGCGATTCGATGAAGGGTCGCTTCTTTCATTTATTTGGATCCAAGATACCATCGTTCAACACGTTTTCCTCACTGTCTCAGATAAGACCACTGATCCGAAGAAAAAGTACAGCTTGACGCACCACAACCAGATGGCCTACATAACGACAAGCTTGGTGACTCAAGATCGAACAACAGTCAAGACGCTGATGCACGCACATATTGGAGCGACCCGCGGCATCTTGCTAGAATTCCCGAAGGTCATGCCGGCGACATTTGCACCCACTTTAGAGAGCCTGCAGGCTATGCAGCGACTGAACCGTCTGCCTTTCCGGCAATGGATCGTTCCAGACAAATACAATGGTCCTCCAGGGGAACGTGGGGTCCAAAAGATCCCTCCACCTCTCTACGCGCGCGCTTCTGGCTTCAAGTTCCCAGCTACTACCCTCATGAAAGACAAGAACGACGAGCCATTCTCGATCGATCCGGCCTCGTCATGCGACGACAAGGGGCTACTTGACAAGCTTGAGACAAAGACGCAACTTGATCGCGGACAGTGTCGCGCTTTGATCGCTGCGTTGACCCGCGAGTTTGCGTTCATTCAAGGACCTCCGGGAACAGGAAAGAGCTACCTTGGCCTCCAGATTATGAGAATACTACTGGACATCAAGAAGCAAGTCAATCTTGGTCCTATACTCATCGTGTGCTACACGAACCATGCATTGGATCAGTTCCTTGAACACCTACTGGACATTGGGGTTAACAAGCTCATTCGTATGGGAGGCATGAGTAAGTCGAAGAAGCTTCTCAACCATAACCTTCGTACGATTGGTGACACAGAGACCAAGACCAAATCCGAGAAGTACATGGCGGCTATGAATTACAAGGACTTGGATGAGAATGAGAAGGAGGCTAGAAAACTCTTTGCTGGTCTGCATGGCTTGTCAAAGCGTACACAGTGGAACAATCTCAAAAGCCACATCCACGAGGAGTATCCAAAGATCTACAATCAATTCCGTCGCGTTGATGACCAAGGCTTCCAGACAGCCGGTCGTCACCCATTCGATGTATGGATTGCAGGTAGCGAGGCACATCGCCCAGCGCTATCCCCGGACGCTCTACGGCAAGTGATCCAGAAGGCGATTGCAAACGTGTTTTCTCTGTCGATCCATGAGAGGCGCGCGCTCCTTGGCCATTGGGTTGCTGAGGCTCAAGGCAACAAGGTCAGCGAGCTTTTTGAGGTTGTCAACAGCGCCGCAAAGACTCAACGCCAATTGAACAACATACACGACGAGTTGAATCGACGAATCCTAGAAGGTGCGGATGTCATTGGCGTTACAACGTCTGGTTTAGCGAAGCGTATCTCGGTCCTGCAACAAGTGAAGTGTAAGGTCATCATTTGCGAGGAAGCGGGAGAGGTCATGGAGAGCCATATGATCTCTGCACTACTTCCTGATGTTGAGCATCTGATCCAAATTGGTGATCATGAGCAACTTCGGCCCTCAGTTAGCAATTTCCGCGACTTGTCGCTCGAGAGCGAGCGAGGAAAGCTTCATGCGCTTGATCGGAGTCAGTTCGAGCGCCTCTCGATCGGCGAGCCTGGGCGGCTTTTGATGCCCGTTGCACAACTGAATGTACAGCGTCGAATGCGCCCGCAAATTTCTTCCCTGATTCGCGAGACCATCTACGACAAACTCAGGGATCACGCGTCTACCACCGAGCTGCCTGACGTTGTCGGCTTGCGCCGTAATGTCTTCTGGCTCGATCACACCAACCTCGAAAACGAGAACGATACCGATATGCACAACAGTAAGTCCAAGTCCAATTTGTGGGAAGTCAAGATGGTGCATGCGTTGGTCCGGCACGTCGTTCGCCAGGGTGTTTACAAGCCTGACGATATCGCCGTATTGACACCATACACTGGACAGCTTCAGAAGCTACGAGCTGCTATGAGAACCGATTTTGAGATTTGTCTCAGTGATCGTGATCGAGAAGCACTTGAGAGGGACGGTTTCGCAGTAGACGACAACAAAGCTCCGGAGAATGCTGCATCCGACCATGAAGGTTATCAGGGCAAGCCCCTGGCGAGGAAGCAGCTGTCGGAACTACTGAGAGTTGCTACGGTCGATAACTTCCAAGGAGAGGAGGCCAAGATCATCATTGTCTCACTTGTCCGAAGCAACGAGAGGCAAAACGTCGGATTTCTCAAGACAACAAACCGCATCAATGTCTTGCTGAGTCGCGCTCAACATGGCATGTACCTCATCGGCAATGCAGATACGTACTCTAGCGTTGAAATGTGGCAGAAGGTTATCGGCATGCTACGTGCGACCAATTCAGTGGGTAAAGGTCTGGCTTTGTGCTGCCCTCGGCATCCTGACACCGAATCTGAAGTACAGCAACCCGAAGACTTTCATAGACTCAGCCCTGAGGGTGGTTGTAGGGAAACATGCGCCGATCGTCTCGACTGTGGCCACCAATGTGGTGCCCGATGCCACTCGGAAGCCATGCATGCAGTCTTCTTATGCGAGCAGCCATGCCAACGTCGACACCAGCCGTGTGACCATGCCTGTCAGAAATCCACGTGTGGAGAGTCTTGTGGAAAGTGCATGATCTTACTAGACAGCGTACAGCTTCCGTGTGGTCATGCCAAACATGGCGTCGCATGTCACCTCACTCGGAGTATTAACAGCATATCCTGCGACGTCAAGGTCTCGAAGCGCGTATCCGGCTGCGAACACGATGTGGAAGTGAAATGCTCGGTGGACGTTACTCGGAAAGGCTTCAGGTGCCCCAAACCATGCAGTACACCTCTATCGTGCGGCCATCCATGCCCCGGAACTTGCGGTCAGTGCAATACCAAAGATATGCACGACCGGCCAGTGGTCAAGCACGCTGCTTGCAAGAAAACATGTGGCAGAAAGCATGGGACTTGCAATCACGACTGCAACCGTCAATGTCATGATGGTACGGATTGCGGTCTATGCCAGGAGCCATGTGAAGTAAGCGACACCAGTCTACCTTCAAAATATGTGCTAATTCCATCTAGGTACGTTGCAAGCACACAAAGTGTCCACAAAAGTGCCATGAGCCTTGCGCTCCGTGCGTTGAGCTATGTGTATGGTCATGTGAACATCAAGGCGACTGCAAGATGCCTTGTTCGGCCCCATGCAGCCGCTTACCTTGCGACGAGCGCTGCACCAAGCTCCTCATATGCGGCCACCAGTGTCCAAGCATTTGCGGTGAAGTATGCCCCGTCGGTTATTGTCAGGAATGTGGCATGAGGTCAGAAGCGCTACCAGACATGATCATGATGTCTCGGTATGCTGACATTGACTTGAATGAATCGCCTATAGTCATCCTCAGCTGTGGTCACTTCTTCACGACTGAAACACTGGACGGATTAGTTGGTCTCAAAGATGTGTACAGTCTCGACGCAACCACGGGTCTCTTCAATGGGCTCATTGAGAATGCCGAGCTTTCCCCATCCGTTCCACAGTGTCCGAATTGTCGAGAGCCTGTCAAGCAGTACGTCACTCAACGCTACAACCGGCTTATCAACAAAGCTGTCATCGATGACATGTCGAAACGCTTCATCGTGAATGGCCAGCAGGAGCTGCAGCAAATAGAAGGCCAACTCGAAGACGTCCGAAAGGAGCTTGAAAAGTCGCGGAGGTCGGTTGTTCCTGCCTCAGCCATCAATATCCCCGGCGAGGAAGCTCATGAGTTGACCATGCAGTATATCAACGACGGGATCAAGAACCGTTCTGCGGATACCGTTCGGCTGCTGAACGCGGTCAAAGCATTTCGCCGCAGGATGGATGTTCAACATCAGCCAACGTACACACTGCACCAGGCAACCCTACATACCATAGCGCGAGATGATTCGCTGGACGCCGAGTTCGCGAAGTTGACGATCGATTCTTCCGAAAAATCTACCAAACGCGACCGCGATCAACGCATCACCCTCGGGGGTAGCCTGCTTGAAATCAAGGTGCGCTGCTTGGTGCTCGAGGATAGCTTCGAGATCATGCGTGCCGTGAGCCTCAAGCATCTCAGAAGTACAGTGCCTCTCAGCTTCCCCGCAGGTTCGCCGGTTGCAAAGACGGATCAGTTCCTCAAAGACACCGAAAAGCTCATCGGTGACTGTATCCATGAGAGTCTGCCGAAACTCGCAGTTGAGGCCATACTACACTACGCCCGAGTCACCCAATCCTTCAGTGGTGCTCAGTCTGGTCAAAACAACGATCGCGCAAAAGCTACCGACTACCGCAATCTCGCCAAAAATCTTTTGAAGACGGCCAATAAGCTCTGTGAGCATTCTTTCCGCGATCGAAACAACTTACGCCAAGCTGTCATCGCTGCCACAAAGATGCTGGATAAGGAGTTCTACGAGGCGGTGTCGGGGGAGGAACTGGAGTCGATCAAGAAGGCCATGGTTAGTGGACGCGGCGGTATTGCCACTCACTCTGGCCACTGGTACAAATGCGTCAACGGACATCCGGTAAGTCACTGCTTTTCAACTCAGCACAGTATAATCTCTAACACAACGTAGTTCGCCATTGGAGAGTGCGGTATGCCCATGGAGCTCGCGCGTTGTCCAGAATGCGGTGAGCCTGTTGGCGGTCGGAGCCATACTGCTGTCGCGGGAGTGTCGCGTGCAACGGAGATGGAGCACTGAGAAGGGAAGAGTCGGCGCTTTCGTAAGAGTACGAAGCCATACGAATTGCATCAGCCTCATTCATGAAGGTTTCCCCGTAGACTGATTCCGTAGATCTCTGTCACGCTCGTCCAAGCTCTTTGACGACGTTGTCCGATGCGATGTAGTTACATAGGCCACCCTAATGCAACATACAGCTTTGCTGTGAACCATACTGTTCTCGCATAATTATCTTGTGAACGGTCGTCTTGTAGTCTCGGTGGAAGTTAGGTTCGTCGAAGTTTCATGTACTAAGATCGCGGGTAACCAACTACATTATCTTATCGTTGTCGCGAATGTACGTAATGATCCAAGATAGCGAGCCTGCTCTTTTATTTCTGTCCCAGACCGCCAACACCATTTCTCCTCATTTTCTTCCTGGCGATTTGCCGTCTTGCGACGGTGCAGTGACCAGAAGAGAATGTTTTCCGTTGTAAACGAGATTTCGTATGCAGATCAATGCGATGGCCAAGTTCACGATGTCTTAACGGGTGACGAGCAGAAGGCGCCTGGTGTTTTTCCATCTGGGCAGTACTGCCGAATTGCCGGGGCGTAATTGCGATGTGCAGTGTCGCTTGTCAGTTTTCAGTTCGCCAATCACTTACCATGGAATACCGCGACAACTTATGACTTTCACGATAAGCCGTACCTGCGTACGGTCCTTGGAGGAGCAGTATGGCAGTAGGTGCTTACGTGCCATGCATTATGAGCGCACTCATGACGCAGCACAAGCTGCTCACACGACAAAACGAGGCTGTGAAGTACAACATATGCAGCTCATCCGTCCCTGCATCACTCGGCTTGAGACCATGTGGGCTGCCCTGGAGACGGCTCGTCGAACCCCTGCCATGCTTAAAAAGTGGAAATTTGACCCTCCGCTAACGACATCGCTCGCAATTCTGATTGGCCTGCTAAAGAGGCTTCTCCGCGCTTCAAGGAGATGAGATACAAGGCCCTGAGCGCCGCCATCCCCCATCGCATTGCGACGAGGCTATCGCGCATCACGATGGACGACAATGTTGAGTGTTTGAAGTTGTGGGGTGAGCGACAAACGGGTAGAAGAACGAACAATCAAACGTCGCGCATCTAAACGCCCAACCAAACAGAAACCTCACAGCATAAAGGAGCAAACCCGATCAGCGAATCACTCTCGCTTGTGCGCCAATTCCAATTCCAATGGCCATTTGTTCGCCCGCGGCCTTGTCACAAGATTGATGTTGTAATCTTATTTTTCCACCTTCCGTTAGCCGCCATTTCCCCCCTCAAAGGGCCTGAGGCGAGCAAACCATCGTGAGTTCCTGAGCCGGGCCCCAGTTTCAAATACTGCCGGGGATCCTCCCTTCTCATCTCTTCTCGCCGCTTTGCTCTACAAACCTCTACGCTCATTACTTTTTTGCGACCCTGCGATTGCTGTTGCTGCCCGTCGTCATCATCAGCTTCTCCACACTCTTTAATAAACTCGGTCCGTTGTCATAAGCCGCACGTCACACACGGGACCATCACACTCATTGTAATTGCGATATTCAACACGAAACAACATAGTCAAGATGAAGGGAAACACTATTGCTATGGTGCTGGGTGCGCTTGCCATGGGCGCGAGGGCTCAGGATGCTATTGCGTAAGGCTTCTCCACAATCCACATCCCCATGTGCCTGATCTCACCCGCAATGCGACTATCGCGCGGCTTACCCGCGACCATCATCTTTGGATCCTAGCTAACATGCTGGTTACGTAGGCCCGAGGTTCAATCATCCGTCCTCATGGTTCTCGCTCAGGCGATCCCATCGGATAGCGTAGCATATGCTCTCGCCTCGTCCTCTGCCTTTGCCGCCGAAATGGCATCGTCTCTCTCTGCTGGTAACACACCGGCCTGGTACCAAGCGCTCCCAACAGATGTCCAGAGCCTTTTGCCTGAGATCTATCCCGCTGCAGTCGAGGCTACGCCAACACCAACACCCACACCTTCATCCTCTAGCGTGTACGTGGCGAAGAGCAGCAGTGTTGAGAGCTCCAGCGTTGTCAAGGTTACTCCATACCCAACTGGAAGCAACAGCACCTTGGTCAAGCCTACGATGAGCGCTACTGGAGGTGCTAGCGTCAGTGTGACATTGAGTCCCAGTGGCGCTGCTTCTTCCACCCCGGACAGCCCTCCACCTTTTACTGGTGCGGCTTCTAAGCTCTCCGTTGGGGCTGGCCTCGGTGCTGCGATCGTTCTTGGTATGCTCACTTTGTAGACATACCTTTTTTGTCTACATTCTCTGCATTCTACATTCGTAGCACCGGACTGTGTGAAGATGTCATGGGTTGATTCAAAACCCATGCGTCCTGGAGCACGCGGTTGCTCATCTTCACTATAACGTTTCTTTACGACGCGATGCTGTTATTCTTCTGGGCAACGATTCGCAATATACCTTTTTGACTTTTTTGTTTGACGGGGGGAGGAAAGACCCAATGGGTGGGTTGACGGATCTTCATGTGATGGCTCTGGCTGTAACGCTTTTGTATCCTGGTTTGGTGGTTTGACGTTCGAGCGAGGGAGTTGGGGGACAGTATAGGTAGATAGTAGTAAGTAGCTTAATATCTAATCAGTCGATGGAACACACAACAAAAGCAATAGCTGATATTAAAGACGAAGAAGTGATGGATTGACCCTTTAAGTAAATTGGCATGGGTCCGTGACGTTCGTAAGCAACACGCGTCCTCCTCGTATTAAGCTAAAAATACTACAGTAACGACCTCTTTTCGATTCTATAGTCTCCATTTCGTGCTATGGCATATGGTCCACATCATCGAGCAAATCTACTTGCTTTCCGGTATTGTCTTCCGGTTAGTCCCAAAACGCATGTCAAGGAATCGAAAGCTTCTCTGCGCCAGCGACGGCCAAACTCCGATGCTGGCCGACAACCCGCCATCTGCTGCCTGCCCCGGTATCCAGAGTTCCTTGTTCCCCTCCGATACCATGATGAGCAGCTTGTGGATTTTGACCGCCCCAATCTCTGCCGAAGAGTACATCTCGGCACCCCCCTCCGGTGCCCTGAGAAGCACGGGGCACGTGACCCTATCCAAGACCTTCCTATCCTTTTTGGTGTCTAGGGAGAAGACCTCGAAGCGTCGTAGCATCGCAGCGGGCGAATCGACACCCATACTGCCCACGTCTAGGCCCAACTCCCACCGCGTCTGAAAGCTTATCCCACTCTGCAGACCTGCGGTCAGGTTGAATAAGTCATCGGCGACCCAGCCACTCTTCCACATCTTAACGAAGGACTGGGGGACACGGGTCATTGCCAGCTTGAACATGCTAAAGAACGGGGCGATGGACACGCATGCCTTGACGCGGGCATCACTCGCCGCGCGCAGGGCAAAATAGCGCTCAGTAACGGCGCCCGCAATAGCAATCCTGTCCAGATCCAGCTGCAGCTCTGGCCGCGATCGAGCCAGATTTTTGATAAAGTTCAGTACCTTGTCCGCACAGATTTCTAAGTCGGGTTGCCAAGGGACTTGGGACCTCTTCAACAACAAGCCTTGCCCAGCACCCTCGGGGAGAAGGACAGCGTAGCCCAGCTACGGGCCTATGTAACCAAACAGGAAATACAGCCCCTCTTTCGTCGAATCAGCTCAGCCAATGTACAATAGGAGCGATGTTTTGCCAGGCAGTTATGCCTTTCAAGGAGGGAGATGCAAGTATGCAGACATGCTGATGCCATTCTCATACGGGATGTCCACTATATGTTCGGGGAACTTGGCCTGCTCCGTCAATCCGCGCCCCTTGATAGTGCACGAGGACTGATCCGGTGCGCTTCCCAAGTCGGGCTACCGAGTCATCAAGACTTGCTCTCCAAAGAACTTCGAGCTAGTGGAAAAGTACGGTGCTGAAAAAGACTTTGATTATCACTTGCCGACGTGTGCGGAAGACCTACGGGCATACACCAAAAATACACTGGAATACGCGCTGGACATTATCTCTGAAGCGAGGATCATCCGCCACTGCTATGCGGCGATCGGACGTGGTGGCGGCAGATACATTGGATTTGAGCTCCTATCTGAGGATCTTATGGCCACAATGCGGAAGGTTGTCAAGCCGACTTGGGCCATGGGCTTGGGGGTCGCTGGGCTCGAGCTGGAACTACTGGGAGGGTAATATCGCAAGGCAAACCCCGAGCTGCACGCATGGCTTTACGGGTGGATCAGGCGGCGAACCGCCTTACTCGAGTCTGGAAGATTGAAACCGCATCCCATACAGGTGAATCGGGGCGGGCTAGCAAAGATGATTGAGGGCACGGGGGCGTTGCAGCGCAATGATGCCTCGGCTCAGAAGCTGATATATCCTTTGTACAAATATTAGATAGGAGGTACAATGCTCATACACTAAACATGATTTACCTAGTCATGAACAAATGCCATCGACTCCTTGATACTGGTTCGTATCGAATCTACGTACGACTTGCTACCCCGCAGCGACTTGACGTCCTCCTGGGCCATGACGGCCCAAAATAACTCTGCTCGCTGTCCATGGGAGAATATCCCAGGGGCTACCGCGTTGTGTGGGGCTGCCGCCTCGCCTGAGAGACAGTATTCGGCTGGGATTCCCATACAACGCTCTAGAGTTTGCATCTGACTCTGAATGGCATCGAGAATGCCTAAAGCATACGCTTTCAACGGCATGTCTTGAAGTGAAGAGATACCGCCGATTCGGAGTACTGATTTGACCTTGATGGCATCGTACGATTCCAGCGGCACCTGTGAAAGGAATTTGTGAATTCGGTAGAATAGGGTGTCGAAAAGCCTCATCAACGCAAGATAGCTAGACAGAACCAAGAGCACGGTCTCTGTGCTAAGCACATCCTCAGTCTGCGTATGCAACTGAGCCGCCGGCGTGAAGCTCTGGATGATGTCGGTGAAATCTTTGCTGCATGTAAGAAGTAACGCTGCCGGGTTCTCAACATCTCGGCCGGCGCCCCCGTCTTTGCAGCCCTGTATGACTTTGGAGGAATCAGAATAGTATGCGTCGACCGTCGCAATGCGACAGTCTATCTCTTCTCGCAATCTCACCAAAGAGCTTGCCGCACTGAAGCATTGTGGTGGGGGATTCGGGGGCAGAAGACCTTCCTCATAATCAAAGAGCGGATCGATATGCATATCGAGAGAAGTGCTAGAATGCGCGCCCATATGAAGCGTCGCGTCAAACTGATCATCTGCACTGAGCAGCCCCTGAAGCTGTGATGGGCTGCCCGACTGATCCGTTAAAGAGAGGATATCTTCGCCTGACGCAGGGCTTCGATACATCGAAGCGGAAGGAGAGTCGAAGAAAGCGGAGATCTCGCCGGGCGCTACCCAGAAATCTGGCAATGGCTCTTGTGACATGGGATCTTTTGGTGCATGCGGATGCATAGCGGACTTGGACGCTCTTGCGGGCGCTACTGCTATTGCGGGAGAATGGACCTCGACGTGATGCATGTCTTGCAATGTCGATGTGCGATGGGGTTTAGGCGAGGAGAGGGGGGGACGATGCTTGAGTGGTCTTCCGGGGTGACCGGAGGCACCTGTCACGCATCGCGCGCTCATGTAGGAGCAGCGAGCGCACGGCGCTATACTGTCTTGGGCGCGAAGGCATCTAACTCGCTTCGCTCTGCACTGGTCGCAGGCGGAGCGCTTGACTGTGGACTTGAGCATAGTTGGTATTGTCCTTATCGAGACACAAAGGAAAGCGATTGTGGGAAACTGAGCTAAGGCAACGATGTTAGTGTGGTTGTTCGACAGGCTGGCCATCAACGACCGCGTATTGTTGAAAGAGTGAAGAAACCCTCCTCGGAGGTTTTGTGGTTAACCAATCAGCAACGAAGAACATTACGCGCCTTCAACCCCAGACTGCGTCTGGCCTTTCTGTCACGCTGGCCATTGAAGGGACATTCTGGTGTAGTCGAACCGCGAAAATAACACCATCGTAATCTGGGGCCATGTCGTGGTGATCATCAGATACTATAGTACATTGCCGAGTTATGAAGTCGCTCACTCCGCCAGGGGGAAGAGAAAGCTTTCGCTGGCTTTCGGATAGGGGATTCTCGATATTGCAGGTGGCTGGGATCACGTGCTCGGAAGACTTTCGAAGCTTCCCAGCACCAAGACAGGATCGAAAACATCAAAACTTGCTCTAGTATAGCGATATTTCACCTTTCTACCACTGCAACTACCTCGTACCTACGTTTGCTTTAGGTAACTTACCGTTACATGCACTGGCCGATACCCTAGCTATCTCAGCCGCCGTGATCTAGTGAATGATGCCCTTTTTGCACCTGGGCGATAGTATCACGATGCGGCTGCAGGAACCTCCTTTTCTGTCGCGCCTGTTGCCTCCTCCTCGGCAAGCTTATCAGTCTTATCTACCATGCCAAAGTCGGTCTTGTTCTCCATCCTGAGCGGTACCTGCTTCATCACAGCAGCAGCGATGAGCCCCACCGCGCCGAAGGCAATAGCAACCTGCCAGGACCGCTGAAGCGCGGTGCTCTGCACAGAGATAACCTGAGCACGCGTCTGTGCTGAGAGTTTGTCAAGAAACACTACTTCAGCGGCCCCGTATGCTCCACCCGCTTTGAATTCGGCGGCCACTGCTGCGTCGCTGATGGCGCCTGCACCGGCCAGCTGTGCGGCTCGGTGAGTGTAGATGGTGCCGGCGACGGCGATGCCCCACATGATACCAAAGCTACGCATGAAGCCAAACGTGGCCGTCGCCAGCGCCGTGTCTTTGTCAGTCAGCGTGGCCAGCAGCGCTGGGAGCAGGGCTCCCACGCAAAAGCCCGCGCCGAAGGACTCAAGCACCTGAAAGCCCACCCAGGCGCCTGTGCTCGAGTTCTCGTCGAGGAGCGTGAAGACGCTAGAGCCGATGACGACCAAGGTGAAGGCAAAGCCGAGGATGGGCTTGTAGCGACCGAACTTGCTGAGTAGCAGCCCGCCGATGATGGCGCCTGGGAGGAGTGCAAGGATGGTGGGGAGAAGGTAGATGCCGGCTTTGTAGGCATCTGCGGCGAGAACGCCTTGGAAGTAGACTGGGAGGAAGTAGAGTGCCCACATAGTGACGACGCCATGGAGAAAGGTGAGGAGGAAGACGATGGAGGTTAATGAATTACTGAAGAGGTGGAGTGGCATGATGGGATTTGGCGTAAGACGGGAATTGCCCTCGAGCACGATAAAAGCTCCCATCGTAGCCAGACCGACAAAGAGCGGCACAAGGACCTGATAAGATGACCACGAGTATTGTCCTCCTGCCCAGGCAAGGGCAATCAACACCGGGACGGTGCCGCCGATGAAGAGCGCGTTCCCCAGCCAGTCGAGGCCCAATAGTTTAGTCGCCCACGTCTGGGATTTGTCGTATTTGACCTGCAAGAAGATAAACAGCAGCACAACTGCAACACCTCCAATGGGCAGACCCATATAGAAAGCCCAGCGCCAGCTGCTATAGCTGACGAGCAGTCCGCCAAAAAGAGGGCCAAAAGCGGCTCCGATGCCGACCATGCCAAAGACAGCGCCCATGTAGGTACCTCTCTCGCGGAGCGGGACGAGGTCGCAGACGATGATCTCGCAGAGGACACCGATGCCCGAGCCTCCAATCCCCTGTATCGCTCGACCGCCGATCATCATAGCTATATTGGGGGCTCTGGGCATCGCACTTCTCGTCAGCAAAGACTCCGGGCACCATGAACAGAGATGGCTCTCCGGCCAAATATTGAGAGGTATTAACTTACCCGCCACAAATACCGCTCCCGATCATGAAGATGAGCCCAGATATGATTAGAGGCCATCGGCGGCCAAATACGTTCGCAAGCTGGCCAAACATGGGCATAAGAGAACTCCTACGGAAGATGAATCGATTAGACAAAAAAGCAGCCAGAAGCCGTAGCTCAAGTGTGAGGTGACCGCCTCTTCGTCGCGAGAGGCCAGAGAGGACTTACATGGTCAAGAAGTATGCGTTAGAAACCCAGATGAAGTCTGCGCCCCCACCCAGATCGGCAACAACCGATGGCATGATCGTCGATGTGACTGTAGCTTCCAGGGACGTGAGGAGACTGATGAGAGAGAGGACAATCATGATAGCCCAGAACCTCGGCCCCTTCTCCCACTTTGGCGGGTTCTCTTCAATGGTCGCATCCTGGGCATTGACCGAAGTTTCTTCAGACTCCAGAGTAGGAGCGGCCGTGTCTTGTTGTGCCATTGTGCGAGAAGAAATAGTAGTAAGTGCCGCTAGTGTTCTGGGATGATATACAAGCCGTAGGGCTAATGCGAAGGTCAAAGCAGGTTGAGGTGCGAGCGGCGGGCTGATTTGGAAACCTTTCTACTGACAGTCAAAAGTGTTTTCGGAGTTGATCACACCTACTATTCCGTACGCGGAAGTGTTAACATCTACCCGTCCAAAGGCCGAATGACGTCCGCTTTGGGTGGACACCGCGGAGGGTTTCGTTAGACAACTGTGCGCCCGACCTCGCAGGGTTTTGTTTCCATCCGAGCTTGCGTGATGAGTTCCAGTTGACGGAAACAATGCAGCGCGGTCACTAGTCTTACTACAGGGACTTTGAGAGTCACCGACTCCAAAGTTTTATCGAACCTTTTGGACGTGTTGGTGGATATCGCATGTCAAGTCACTAAAGCACGCAGCGCAACACCTCGAAGGTGCCAGGATGCTTCTAACACTTCATGGTTCTGTTTGCTGCAGCTAGTAACGCTTCATCAATGCGAGTTATTTGGTGTTCGATAAGCACTGTCACTGTGTCAGCTTCATTGATATCTTCGACTACACAGAATTGTGCCAGCAACTACGGACGTGCTTGATGCTATAAACAATACATAGCTAGCAGCTCTAAACAATGGTAACAAATCCGATCTTACTCTGGCCGAGGAATATGCCGTGCTTGCGACTTCGCTGCAGGCGTCGTTCGGGATTTTCGAAGTCATCACATGACTCACCACCGAATCCTGAAGCAGTGGTTCCAGATTCAACTTCACTGGCAGTCACGGATGCCACTCATCCATTTGCGGACTGGCTCAGTCCAAGTCATAAAGGCGATGATGATTTGGATAAGCAGGAGGGCTCGTCTGCCACGTATAATTCTGTGGCAGACTCCAACGAAGTGGCTAAGCCAAGCTTTGATAGAATTCTGCCGATATCTCCTGGACAGTCGCGCTTCTGGTTCCAAAAGTACCTTATGGCAGACTAGACGAGAGCAAACAACACTATATGCGTCGTGATCAACAGAACCATTGGGCTCAGCAGCCTCGAGAGCGCAGTCCAAAAGGTAGCAGCGCGCCAAGAGTCGTTCCGAACCACTTTCTTTGTGGACAAGAACCAGAAGCACGTGCAGGGTATCTCGAGAACTTCGTTTCTCCGACTACAGGCTGTACCTCTTGCCGACGAATCAGGCGTGGTGCACGAATTCGAGAGCCTCAAAAACCACGTCTATGATATCGAACACGGCGAATGCACGCGTATCATCCGCCTCGGTTTGGCGACCACCGAGAGCTATCGTCTTCTCGGATCACACCACATCATCATGGATGGCATTAGTCTGGAGGTCCTCCTGGACGATCTGCAAAAGGTCTACAACGGCTAAGACCCCACCGAACCTGCATACCAGTACGCGGCATACTCTGAGAAATTGCTCTCCCTCTGCTCCCATTCTTGACGGCAAGGAAATGCATCCCTCTCACCACGTACGCGCATAATTCGATAATATATGACATGAATCTGCTGGTGGGCGAGTTTTTGCGCAGCGCGAACGCACTTGGTGGACTTCAGGTCGAACAAAAGCTGTTACTGAATAAGGACTAGGTGCTTACCGATGACCGTGTATTTTTGTAAAACTAATCACTTCTTTCGGGCATGCATACATATCCTACTGCGGAGTAAGGGCAATGCAGGTGGTTGACAACTGGTCAGGTTCGCAGGTGCAAATCGCGTCGCGTCCGGAGACGACTACGTCAGACGCAATGCAGTAAACCTGGCAACCACTAAAGGTACTTGAGCAAAGTCATCCGCGAAAAGATTCATCAGACACGAGCGTGAAAACTGGAAGGAGATGAAGAGTGCAGGTGGGGTTATTCCTTGTCTTTCGAAGCTGGAGATTTGGCTCGGAAGATATGAGATGAGAGGGGACGTCATGACCAGACTAAACATGCCCTCCTGTTAACTATCCGCTAAGATAGCTTTGTATACAACGTGCATGGGCATGTGACGGACAATGAGATTTGAGGGGGGTCTTGACGCGTTAGCGTTGAAACAGGTATATTCACTCCGCTTCCCCTCGCCGCCTCTAGCAGCACTTCACAGTACGTCCGCGCCTTCTCCGACACTCAGTGCTCCGATTAACGACCCATTGCATGCAATGTTGTTTAGTGGAGAGAGTAGGCATGAGAGCGAGAGTGAAGATGGAAAGGAACAGTATAGCGAGACAGAAAGAAGAAGAAGAATAGTGCAGCGAGAGAAGTGCACGTCGGTGCAAGTTCAAATATCTACGTATCTACATATCTATTCTCATTACCATTAAAAAGCCCCTTGGGGCAAACAGGTCATAATCGTAAAGTTCCTCCCTCCCGCAACCATATCCAAGGTCGCAGATCCTCCAGGAACCGTGATCATGACGCTCATCGAAGGCGTGTTAGGTATCATCATCTAAAGCGCGCAAAGCAAAAACCCAGCCGTGATATCATCATCCAGATAACAGGAAAAAGAAAAAGAACATCCTCCAGGTATATACGTGAATATCGCAGTGTCGCAATATGCACAAGTTCCTCCCCGGCTCAGTAAATTTCCAAATACTGAGCCTCATAGTCGTAATCTAATGAACAGCACAAGGAAAGTCGTGATCATGCTTGGACTAGAAGTAAGTGTCGACAATGTCACGTCCGCCGCGAATAGCCCATTCGACAATTTCCATGCCGCTGAGTCCACTGGCGTAGTACGTCTTCTTCTGGCCCTGGAGCTTGTTGAGCTTGCTGTAGGCGCCGCTGGAAAGCGCATCGCCTTCAAAGTGGGGGAAGTAATCCCACTTCTTGAAAGCCTTGACGTCGTCTTGGCAGAAGGGCTGGGATGGCTCTGTGGCATTGCGTGGGTCCTTGTTGATCAGCGATAAGCTCTCAACAAGCAGATCCCGTGCTGCGTCCTCGGTTTGGAATTCGTACGAACCCCAGGACCAGGCGACGGAGACGTTCGATTCTTGACTCAGGTGGAGAACGGCTACTGGCTCGCCATCATTTGGCGGCGGGACCGTCTCATTCGAGCTGTTAGCAATGTACGAGACACCAAAAGGAAGCTCTAGCTCTACGGCGGAAGAGTAATACTGATGGGTCGTGATGTTGTTGAACGTGTCATGCTCCTGCTCCGTCAAATCTACGCCAATGCGCTCCAAGTTCTCCATGCTTGGCGGAAATGCGAAGATGACCGAGGAACACTCTTGCTTCTCCCAGGTGACATAGCTGCCATTGGGTGCGGGTGTAGTGTACGTCACGATAGGGTGGTCGCCGGACCGGTCAACGCAGCGGACCTCGGAAGAGGTGTGAATGGGCGTCTTGCACAACTGATTCTTGGCATACTCGACGAACATCTTGTGGAAATCCATGTAGTACACGCTGTGTAGGCCGACAAAGGCCGTGAGGATATCCGGGGTGAAGTACTGCAAGATGTACAGCTAATCACACGTTAGCGTCCTGCATGCACAATCCCTGCAAAAATTTCTGAGCGTGATGACGTACTGCCGGGACAATGTTGATATCGCCATAACCGTAAAGCGCAACCGGGTTGACGAGCAGAATAGGCAGTGCTGTGAAGTTGTTCTGGCGGAACCATTCTGCGCCCGATACGGTAAACTCGTCTGGTACACCATTCTGTTCCTGCATTAGCCTACCGCACTTTGTGTAACGGCGCACTACAACGGGAGTCGTACCTTGTAGTTTACAACACTAATCGGTCGGAAGCGCTGATTCCACAGCTGAATGTACCTCGGAATTTCTGCGGATACTTGCGCAGTGAATTGCGGGGTCAGGGCGGGGTTCATGGCGATGTCGCCAGTGGTGTAGTCGTAGCGGTACATTTCGCGCGCACCGGCAAGCGCAAAAGGCTCAATGGAGACATTGGTCTGGTTGAGGATGCTGATGGTGTCTGTGTACGTCGCGTTGGAGAAGAAGGCTGCTCCGAGTGGGTGGAATATGCCTCTGGAAGGGTGGTCAGCCGCGTCTAGTGCGCTTGGATGGGTATGCTGTGTAACACTTACTGGTCATCGTACCAAGCCTGGCATTTACCACCAACTTCTGCTTGACGGTCGAACATGACTGCCTTGACGCCCTTCTCTTCTAACCGACCGGCAGCAGCCAGACCAGCGGGACCTGCACCAATAATGCATACTGGATGCTCTTCACAGTTGCATCGACGACCTTGAGGAAGAGCTGATACTGTGAGCGAGGAAAGCGCAATTAGTGGTAGTACTAGCGTCGACCACATCTTGGGAGACTTGAATGAGGATTGTATGAGCGAACAACGGGAATGGCAGATCTTTTAGTTAAGCGGCGAGGTACCTATGGCTTATAATAGCAAGGACGCGAATACAGGTCCCTGCGTCCTTTTCGGTCCATGACTTTCGCGTTCGCAAGTAAAGATGAAGGGGAGAGCTGGGCACGGGCTGCACGGTGCGTTGGCATTAAACGGCGAAGAGCAAGGCTAGCACCCTTACCTGAAGCCAGATGGGCGATTTGCAAGCCTCATCAGGCCCGAAGGAGCATCAATGAGGTAAGTTTGGACGGGCAACGGTCGTGCGGCGAAGCACTGAGCGCCCGCTGTGACGTTTTAGACGAGGGTCTGCTACCTGAAGCGTTGGCTTTTATTATTTCCCACCCCTGGCATAATCGTAGTCCAGGTAACCGCCAGCGCAAGAAAGGGCTGTCCTTCACAGCGCCGCTGAGATGCGCCTGGAGGATGCATCGGATACTCGCAATCGCTAAATTCACACTGCAGGCGCTAGAAGCGGTGAACAGCTGTCTGCAGATGTCATGCTGCAGCCTGTATGCAGTCTGTCTCTGGTGCCGGTCAATTGGTGCCGAGGTTGGACTTTCAGCCCTGCCACTAGTCTCCAAGCCACCGTTTGAGGCCCAGCCGCCCATATTCTCGGGAGTGGTTCCTGACTCTTGAAAAAGCTCTCATGCCCGACTCAATTGCAAATGCGCTCGCTGTGTGAGACGTCGTCAGTCCCGGCATTGCGACAGGGCCATGATTCGATGTCCGAAGCCGCTGCGCCGTATACCCGTATACATTGCGGCGTGGACGTCATACTGAGGCGGAAATTTCTCTGCGCTGGCCTTCCCGCGAGCCTGACAGCTCACCATCCCGCTCAGGGCGAAGACATTTTAAGCCTTGAGAGGACCGAAATTGCGACCGCGATAGAAGTTTCGTAGAATAGCCAGGCAAGTTGGCAGAGTGACATCATGTTCGCTGCACAGATCGACCGCCAGCCCGAAGTTCCCAAACCAAAGGAATGAGCTCAGGGTCCAGCTGGAGTAGAACAAAAGCAAAGAGCGGCCGTCGCACCATGCTTCACACTCCCACACTACTAGAATGTCTGTTCATTTCGTCAACGTTTGATGCGCACGGCATGACGAAGAAGCCCCCGATTAAATGATCTCACCGCATGATGACTGCTTCGGCAGTATACATCCACGAAATTTCAATTGCCCGAAATAAAGCAGCAAACAACATCCGCATAGTTTGCTCTGCGTCGGTAAGATATAGGCAAGATAATGCAACAATGAGCCCACCTCCACCTTCAACCGGTGGCGCAGTCTACGCGAGACGAAAAAAGAAGCTGCAGCGTGGTTGGTGCGTGTCGCGAGAACACCTCAACATCGAACGAATCATGGACCAAACATAAAAGAAGCGACTGTAAAAAGAGTATCTGAAATCGTGTTATTCGCTATCGTGCTCGATGCCTTTGAAACGAGGAGAAAAAGAAGCTGCTACTAAGAGCTCGACTCGCTAAATCTGAGATATCCGCCCAGTGTCGTATTCGACGGGTATTGACAAGAAAGAGAAAGGAAAGTGGCTATGGTGGGGTGAGGTGAGTTGAGTAGAAGTGGCCTTTTGTGGGTCCACCAACTATAGGACGCTGAAACATCGCTCGCTGGATGATTGCGCATATTAGACTAAGTGAATATAAGAGGTACTGCGTCACGCGATCAGTACATGAAAGCTTTTTGCTGCTCTATATCGATATCAAACCGACTCTTATCGGTATCGCCACTCATCGGTCTTTCCGAAGGCGCACGGTAGTGTACCGGGGCAATGGCGGTCCCGGGCCGCGTCTCATCGTTGTCCGTGAGCTTGCGTGTGTCCATCTCGACTTGGTCGATGACAGGCGTGATCTTCTCCTTCCTCTTACTGCTTTGCGAGTTGTTGCCGTACTTGGACCCCTGCTGTCTTGCCCGGTGGGGGAAGAGTAATGGCTTGAGCGCTGGGATGCACCCGCAGATCACACCGACGTTGGTTTCAACGGCGGTCCAAAGCCAAATTTGGTATCCTTCCCACGTGGAATCGTATGTCTCAAAGAGAGTGTAGTGGACCCAGTAGGCTCTGAAACTGCTAGCAACGACGATGACACCACCAACGGAGAAGAGAATGACGAGGCCGATGCGTTGAGTCCATGGTAACGAGAGGGTGAATAGCGTAGGGATGGGTAGCGCGTAGATCATAAAGTCGGTTACTACGTTGAGGACACTTTGCACGACCAGTGGCGGTCCCTCGGGAATGCAATCACGGTGGTCGGCTTTGAGCTCCCAATAGCTGGAAATTGGGCTATGCTTGTCAGCACCAGAATTACTTGATCGTGTGGATACACATACATGCATTGTACCCAGAGGGCAACTAGGAAGACGACGAAGGCGGCAAATACGAGCCCGAAGGTCGCCCAGACAAGCTTGCGGAAGAGCGACTTTTCTGGTGCGATGCGAAAGTACGATACGAGGATGGACATCTTGACGGTGGAAGAAGCAAGGACGAATAAAGTCTGGCCTGCCATGGATGCCTAAAGCCGTCAATATCAGCTTGTGGTAGCACGTGTTGCACAGTGTCGTACCTGTCTACCGACCACCATCTCGTGCGGCTTGAGGTCCCAAACGTGGCGATCCCAACCGTATAGTTGGGATGCCATGATGACGATTACTGTCGTGCCTACATTGCAAGTTAGATGATGGAGCATCAAGAATAGTTTAGATTGCATACCAATGCTGAAGACCATGGCCAGAATCATTAGGTAGTCGTCATACCAGCTCTTCTTCAACCATGCTATCCGTACCCAAAGTCGGAGGAATACAACAATCATAGCAATGGGTAATAATGTCAACTCGACAATCATCAAGCCAGAGCCTCTTGTGACGGGATCAACGTAATTCGGCTTGGGCCATGTCGCAAGGATCTTCGGCGGCGGGGACCTCATTGTGATGGCGGATGTGTTTCGAAAGCCGTGAACGTATGTTAATCGATAGTAGGATGAGACTGAGGAACGAGCGTCATCAGCGTTCAAAGAGCACGGGACTGGGAATGGACAGGAATATAACCATCACTCAGGGCGAGCCAGATCTCCACCCGTATGCTCCAGCTGCGCCGTGCACGAAGGCTCGAATACAAGTGGGACTTGGCCATCGTTGAGAAGCATGGTATGCTGGTGTACAGAAAGCTCATCTGCGCAGTACCATTGGGAGGGCTTCACGGGAGCTCCGTTGCGGGTACGGAATAGTGTCGGTTTCGCCCGCAGGGGTCCGGTACCAGCAACATCCGTAGTCCATCAGCTTGCATCATGACTGGTACAAAAGACAAGTGAAGTGTGGATAATCGACCAGTAGCTAGGAGCTGACAGTGGAGCGTTAATGTGACCGGGTACAAGCAACATGTTGCTGCGGCTCATCAGTGGATAGAGCGAGATTCGACGCTTAGCCAATCGCTATGTCCATGCCGGGGTAGCTGAAAATTAGTACCGAAGCCGGCGTCTGGACGTTTTGCCGCAACTCGACTTGATTTGGAGGCCGTAATATGAGCCGATACATTGGGATACCAGCGGCGTAATCTAGATTACCGCATTCTATCAAGCCATAATGCTGCTTTTCCCATGATAGCGCGACTGTCGCGTGTCGTGGATGAGGAATCGAAGGGTCCAGCGTTGAGATTTGCCTGTCGTGGCGAAGCGCTTCGGATCGCCCGCCTAGCAGCAGGGGCCACCCCCGGCCTCGTCTATCTCAACAACGAATAACCTCACCGCATCACACGTATGTGTGATCCGCCGTCGCTATGAGCGAAGCCCTGCGGAGGCGGGTTATGGAGGGCGCCAGTTGCAGACTCCGCTCTCTCGTGGCTCGCAATACTCCGCTCTCTCGTGGCTCGCAATACTCCGCCCACCCTCTGTCCTACTCGCCATCGACTTTTAGGTGTCTAGTCCATGGTGACGTCTCGTCTTCGGTACCACATACCCATTGTTTATCGTCAGCACGTTATGTCTTGAATGCAGGGTGCCACAGTAAGCGGTATCCCCATTCAGCTTACCCTCAGGTACACACGGCTACTGGTATCCAGACTTACGCGATTCACCTTATGAGACATGTTAATGCCAGGTTTGCCTACTCGGGCGCATCGGACGGCATCTATGTGCGCCACGCAAAAACTTCGAGTTGGAGATACGAAGGTCTCGATTCTCCTTGACAATCAAGATGCCTGGTCCTGGTCTTCCAAAGTCCACATCCCTCTTCCTTGCAAAGATCACCCTTTTCAAACCGCTTCCCCGGCCAGAATTTCCTGGGCCTTGGGACTGGCCACTGCAGTCAGCCGTTACGTACTTCCACTGTCAAAACACTAATGCTCCTTCCGCGGCTGTGCTCCACTCCCTAGAGAGATGCAGCTCATTTACCGACATGCACGCGACGCCTTCGCACACAGATGGCCTCCGTGCACGCTCGTTGGCAACGGTTTTACTTCTTCAGCTCCCCAAGTATTGGCTACCAAAAACCACACCCACAACATGGGCTCTGCTCCTATCTATCTCTATCGGCAATGCGTGGGTCCAGTGCTGTGGGGTTACGGCCTGAAATTAGAGACCCGCTAACCTCAGCGGCTAAGGGACAAAGCTTCTCCTTCCCGTCTGGGCTCAGTTATCGTATACGATTGGATGTCCACTACATGTCCAAGCTGATTGATATCCGTTTTCGTCCCTCAACGTATTGTCAACTCCTCGGAAGAGTGCTTTGATTGCGCCATGTCAGGACTAATCTAGTGCATTACAAAATCACTCCCGTTCTAACGGATAGGGCTCAATTGATATATGACCCGGAACAGCTTCCAATTGACCAGCTGTTGGCCCTAGTTTCACACTGTTGGAGACTACAACGTTCCCAACAAAGGCGTCGCTCTCATCGAGGAAGAGACGGGTATACAGGATCGCACGATGGCCAGACGTAAGTTCATCGTGT